AAATCATGAAATGGCCGCAATATACAGCGATTATCACAGGGAAGGGAGATTAAGAACACCTTCTTGTGATAAAATCGCAGTAACGCATGGCCTCTCATGGCTTATTGCTTTAATATTTGCTAAATCGTTCTATGTCATTTGTAACTCGCGTTCCGCTTTGCTGCCATGCCGTGTGGGTCTTGGTATAAAACAAGCTCACGTTAGACTAATTTGTACTGTTGAGTGTTCAAGAGAGTTAAGTTTTTATAAATAGTTTTAATAAATATGTATTTAACAAATAAAAAGCTGTATGAAGGTTTGATTTCAATACAGTCATTACGGTTCCTCTCCCTCTCAGATTTCACCTGGATTGTCTGGTTTATAATCCACAGAATTTGTGTGAAATTACAGACGTTATTGTGCTGAATCGATTCCTAAAGAATCCTAAAAAAGATTTAATCATTGTTAGATTAGAGAGCTACACCCCTAGTGTCCACATGTGTCCACCCTCAGCTCACTGCCATTGCATGTGTTTCTGAAAGCTCCCATGTGTTTGTGTGTGATAGCAGTTGGAGACAGCAGTTTGCCGCAGGTTCGTCCGGTGAATATGACTGTACCTGCGTGGGAGAATTCAAATCATGCCCTTTTGTTAAAGCACTTGATGCTGCAGCTGATACTTTCACTATTCAGTGAGCCAAACCACATCACCATTCAAATCACTGCAAAGCAGTTACCAGTTATCCAGCTGTCTGTTTTAAAAGTTCTGTACTCATTTAAAACGAGGCACAAGAGTTCTTTTCCAAGCATATATTATTAAGATTGCAATATATAGTGTATATATTTACCGGCCACTTTATTGGAAACGCCTACCTTGTGCTTCCACTCACTGGCCACTTTATTAGAAACACCTACCTTGCGCTTCCACTCAATGGCCACTTTATTAGAAACACCTACCATGCGCTTCCACTCACTGGCCACTTTATTAGAAACACCTACCTTGCGCTTCCACTCACTGGCCATTTTATTAGAAACACCTACCTTGTGCTTCCTCTCACTGGCCACTTTATTAGAAACACCTACCATGCGCTTCCACTCACTGGCCACTTTATTAGAAACACCTACCTTGCGCTTCCACTCACTGGCCACTTTATTAGAAGCACCTACCTTGCGCTTCCACTCACTGGCCACTTTATTAGAAACACCTACCTTGCGCTTCCACTCAGTGGCCACTTTATTAGAAACACCTTCCCTTGCGCTTCCACTCACTGGCCACTTTATTAGAAACACCTACCTTGCGCTTCCACTCACTGGCCATTTTATTAGAAACACCTACCTTGTGCTTCCACTCACTGGCCACTTTATTAGAAACACCTACCTTGTATTTCCACTCACTGGCCACTTTATTAGAAACACCTACCTTGCGCTTCCACTCACTGGCCAATTTATTAGAAACATCCTACCTTGCGCTTCCACTCAGTGGCCACTTTATTAGAAACACCTACCTTGCACTTCCACTCACTGGCCACTTTATTAGAAACACCTACCTTGCGCTTCCACTCACTGGCCACTTTATTAGAAACACCTACCTTGCGCTTCCACTCACTGGCCACTTTATTAGAAACACCTACTATGTGCTTCCACTCACTGGCCACTTTATTAGAAACACCTACTATGTGCTTCCACTCACTGGCCACTTTATTAGTGCTACAGGAGAGGGGTGTCTAACGAAGTGGCCAGTGTGTAACTATATTGCAGGCTGTGTACATGCCCAAAGCTAATGTGCGTGCTCAGTATGACAATTAAGATGGCACTGAGGGGTTCTCCTCTCCATAACACACTTCCCACTTCCTGTCTGCATGTCTTCTGGTGATCACTGAGTCTGCATTTTTTGTTTACGTCTTGTGAGTGATGTTCTCTGTTAGTGCTAAATTGATTGGTACAGTTTATGTAGATCCTCATGGAGGCAAATAGATCGATCATCATATAGTCTGTGATACATACACTCCTGCACACACACCTTTATATTTGTAGTCTGGACAGTGCTGTGTTCATTGTGTCATTCATTATGAAATATCTGTAGCACAACAAAAAATGATATCATGGAAAGTGAAATTTGTCCAGTCAAAGTATTTCATATTTTGGATTTTCAGATTGTTTAATATCTAAATGTCTCGACATCTTTATCAGTTGTAAATCATTTTGTGTCTTATTTTATTGGCAGATAATTTTGCTTATTTTAGACAATTTCATAGGATAACATTACATTATTATTATTATTATTAATAATAATAATAATAATAATATTACTAAGAATGTTATCTTTATGTGTCACCTTTCAAAAGCCCAAGGAGGCTCTATATCAGGAAAATAAGACAGTAAGACATAGAGAAATAAGAATTCTTTAGACGTCTGGTTCCCATCACCACCACTGTAAACAATTCTGACTCAGTGAGGTTCTCTAGAATGGAAAGAGGTTTGGTGTGAAACACTCCGTTCTAGAGAAACTTAGACAGAATTGTTCACAGTGGTGGTGATAGGAACCAGACATCCAAAGAGTTTAAAGGGAAATCCCACTGATTTTAACAATTATGCTTAATTTAGTCATTAAGACGTTAACAAACTCATTTACAGTGGTTTGATGCAAAACGGCACATTGGGAAACTTAGCAGCTTGGACTCCTTTATAGTGGTGGTGACAGGAACCAGGGGTCACAATGTTTAATACAGCCATAACACAAATATAGCCATTTTATTTACTATCCAAAACCACCAGTGAACCCACACGAGTCTTCTGAGGTTTATATGGATGTTGATGATGGTAAAATAGTGTTAAATCTGAAAAAATAAGTTTTCTTTGGGGACTGTTTTTTGCCTTAGAATGCCCAGCATGTACGACTCCACCCTGAGTGTATTTTACGTTTTAGGCCAAAACTTTATCTCAAAACTGAAATCAATGTCTGAGGCATCAGGTAGTGTATTCATGACCATTTCATATAATATCTCAAAGGCACTTTTGGTTTTAGAGGCATTGAACTCTTCAGACGTCTGGTTCCTATCACCACCACTGTAAACAATACAGACCCAGTTTGTTAAGAACAGGGCGTTTCACACCAAACCACTCTGAATGACTTTATCTACTTACCTTAACCATTTACTTATGCAGAGATTTTGAAAAGTTGATGGAATTGCCCTTTAAAGGTGCCTCGCATCTAGAGGGGTCTGACTGGAATTGAGGTTTTGTGCCAAAAGCAGTATCAGCTAAGGATTTTTCAGTTAAAAGAGCTCAATTCTGTGCAGATATGACAGTTTAAAGACTTTAGATATGACCTGGTTTGGGGGGTTTTCCCTTAAAGCAGCTTGAGGAATTAGGAAAACACCAGCTCTGTCAGTTAGTCTCTCTCTGTGTCATCAGTTAGCTGTCTTTCTGCCTGTCTCTCTGACTGACCACATGTCTGTCTCCCTCCCTGCTCCATGCTCCTCCACAGCAGCCTCATTCATGCATATTCCACTTGATTAATTAATCCCCTCTAAGCTCATTGGTCAGGATTGGGCTGCGGATGTGGTTCAGTGGGGAAAGAGGGGAGGCTAAGCACAGTTTCAGGAGCCCTGCTTTTGGGCTTGTTATTATGACCACTAAGAAAATTAAAATTTTTGGTTCATTTATTGTCACAATATTCAAAAATATTAGTAGAATATATTGTAATATATTTTCAATGTGTAGTTTTTTGTAAATGGATTAGTGCTGAAAGTTGCACATTGTAATATTGTAACATTTCTAAAAAGGAACCAAAATCTTCTAGTGATGGAATATATGTTTTAGAGAGTTCAGTATTCTGGTTAGCATTGCACAATATGGTCATAATACCATGTTACACTTGTATTGCTACATATTGCATTAGCAGTGTACACCGATCAGGCATAACATTCTGACCACCTCCTTGTTTCTACGCTCGTTGTCCATTTTATCAGCTCCACTTACTATATAGGCGCACTTTGTAGTTCTACAGTTACAGACTGTAGTCCATCTGTTTCTCTGCATACTTTGTTAGCCCCCTTTTACCCTGTTCTTCAGTGGTCAGGACCCCCATGGACCCTCACAGAGCAGGTACTATTTGGGTGGTGGATCATTCTCAGCACTGCAGTAACACTGAGGTGGTGGTGGTGTGTTAGCGTGTGTTGTGCTGGTCTGAGTGGATCAGACACAGCAGTGCTGCTGGAGTTTTTAAACACTGTGTCCACTCACTGTCCACTCTATTAACACTCCTACCTTGTCAGTCCACCTTGTGGATGTAAAGTCAGAGACGATAGCTCATCTGCTGCCGCACAGTTTGTGTTGGTCATCCTCTAGTCCTTCATCAGTGGTCAGAGGACGCTGCCCACAGGACGCTGTTGGCTGGATATTTTTGGTTGGTGGACTATTCTCAGTCCAGCAGCAACACTGAGGTGTTTAAAAACTCCAGCAGCACTGCTGTGTCTGATCCACTCAGACCAGCACAACACACACTAACACACCACCACCACGTCAGTGTTACTGCAGTGCTGAGAATGATCCACCACCCAAATAGTACCTGCTCTGTGAGGGTCCATGGGGGTCCTGACCACTGAAGAACAGAGTAAAAGGGGGCTAACAAAGTATGCAGAGAAACAGATGGACTACAGTCTGTAACTGTAGAACTACAAAGTGCACCTACATAGTAAGTGGAGCTGATAAAATGGACAATGAGTGTAGAAACAAGGAGGTGGTCATGATGTTATGCCTGATCGGTGCACGTTCTAGTCTATTAAAAACACATTAGTGATTCAAAACAGTTAGTGACTAGCTACAGGCATGTTGCACGTTGTCCAGCATCTATGATATCAGTACTGCAAAGACTGATGACAAAAACCATTAAGGAACACAGCTATACTGGGGATCTTAATGGTCTTTGGGCCTCCAAGCTGATCTGGTTGGTGAAAAGGTTTAAACTCAGCCAAGTTGATATGTGTGTTCACTGCTTAACCGCTGCTGTGTCTGTGTTGCAGAGCCGGCAGCTGGAGTCAGAAACGGGCACCACCGAGGAGCACAGCCTGAACAAGGAGGCACGGAGATGGGCGACCCGCGTAGCCCGAGAGCACAAAAACATCATCCATTACAAACGGGTGAGATACACGCTAACACACTGCCTACCTCCAACACATTTTAATGGGGTTATTCATCTCACCAAGATTATTCACCAAGAATTTTTTTTTGGCCCAAAATTGAGCATTGAAAATTTTCACTGACTGTCAGTTTCAATTCAACTCCAGTGGTTTTGTTAGAATCAAGTAAACAAGTCTAATAGTATTCAGTACAGTATGCGCTCATTCGCTTACTCGACACCTTTTTATAGTAGGGCTGAGTGAAAGAAGACATATGTTGTTCTTCCCTCATAATTAAATATTCATTCTTTAAGAAGGTCCAGCTACAACTGTACAGCCCAACACCTCTGTGGAGCTATGCTATGCATGGTTGGTGCTGATTAGTATTGATTAATAGTGACTGGTGTGTAATTGCAGGCACTGGAAGAATGTGAGAGACAGGGGACTCCTCCCTCAGAGCAGAGCCGCAACGACCTGGAGTTTAAAATAGAGGAGGCCAAAGAGAACATCCGCAAAGCTGAGGTGAGCTTTGTGTATCTGTGTGCAAGAGCTTTAATTAGGACTGAAATTTGAATCCAACCCAAATGCAGCTTGAAAACATCCTGAATCGACTGTACAAACACAATCGTACCCTGACAGAACTCTGTCTGAATCTGACTTAGTCCGACAAAGTTGTGTCTGGATCTGACAGTGACCTAATAAAATTCGGTCTGAATTCGACTGTAGCTGAACAGAATCCTGTCTGGAAATGACTTAGTCTGACAAAATTCTTTCTGAATCCGACTGTAACCCAACAAATTTTTCTTAATCTGACTGTTGCTCGACTAAATTCTGAATCCAACAGTAACCTAATAAAATTCTGTCTGAATCCAACTGTAGCCCAGCATAACTGACTGAATCCAACTGCAGCCTGACTAAATTCTGCCTGAATCTGACTGTAGCCCAACATAATTGTCTAAATCTGACTGTAGCCCAACATAATTGTCTAAATCCGACTGCAGCCTGACTAAATTCTGCCTGAATCTGACTGTAGCCCAACATAATTGTCTAAATCCGACTGTAGCCTGACTAAATTCTGTCTGAATCTGACTGTAACCCAACATAATTATCTAAATCTGACTGTAGCCCAACATAATTGTCTAAATCCGACTGTAGCCTGACTAAATTCTGTCTGAATCTGACTGTAGCCCAACATAATTGCCTAAATCTGACTGTAGCCCAACATAATTGTCTAAATCTGACTGTAGCCCAACATAATTGTCTAAATCTGACTGTAGCCTGACTAAATTCTGTCTGAATCTGACTGTAGCCCAACATAATTGTCTAAATCTGACTGTAGCCCAGCATAACTGTCTAAATCCGACTGTTGCCTGACTAAATTCTGTCTAAATCCAACAGTAACCTAATAAAATTGTGTATGAATCTGGCTTTAGCCCAGACATAATTGTCTAAATCCGACTGTAGCCTTACAAAATTCTAAATCGGACTGTTGCCCAACATAATTATCTATATCGCTGCTGTTGGACCAAAACCTCATATTCATTTTTCAGTTTTTGACATAATTTGGAAATATCTACTGTCCTTTATATTTTGTGTAACTTTCAAGATGAATGGACCAAAATGTCTGGGTCCATTAAAAGTTGACTTACATTAAAAATAAAGTATGTTTTTTCTTTCTCCTGTAAAGTTACCATTTTGGAGATATGAGGTTTTGGTCCAACAGCAGGAATATCCAGCAGTAGCCTGACAAACCTCTGTCTGAATCTGACTGTAACCTGATAAAATTGTTCTGAACTCAACTGCTTGACAAAATTCTGTCTGAACCCAGCTGTAACGTGACACAATTCTGTTTGAACAAGCATGAAAAGATTTTAAAGCTTTAAATGTCTAGTTCCTCTTGCTCACAGTGTCCTGTGTATCTCTCTCCTTACTGCTCTATTGATCCTTTCTGAGGCCTGTCAGTCTGTCTGTCTGTGTGTCTGTCTGTCTTCCTGTGTGATCAATATGTCCAGCTCTTCTCTTTTTCCTCCTCCTCCTCCTTAAAACAAAAAAACATGTCTTTTCCTTTACTGCAGTCTCCTCTGGCTCCACCTTCTGGCAGAGTCTGATACTTAAACTGTGTAAAATCTTACTTCTCTGATGCCTCTCAGTATTTTACTAAATGCTGTAGTTACTGAATATTTGTTATGGATGCAGATTCTGCAGTTACAGTGGACTTATTCTAATAGCACTCCAGTACAGCAACAGTGGAAAATCTGCTTTTATGTTTCTCTCTCTCCATAAACTTTAAACGGCTCCTCTACTGAGCCTTCATTAGTCTCAGATTAATATTTAATCACCCCATTTAAGAGCTAATGGATAAGCTCTGGGGGGGAGTAAAATAAGCGAGAGATGAAAAGGGTCAGTTTGAGAACATTAAGATTTTCTTTTTTTTTTTTTGCATGGCGGCCCATTGTAAAGCAGGAAGCTACGCCGAAATGGCAGGAAGTGTACTTAGCGTCAATTATTAAAGAGCAGAAGTTTCCCTTGAAAACTGGAGCGGCCTTTGTGTGCCTTTTCCTCTAAATTTCAGCACGATGAAGAAGCACAGAAGACGGAGCCTTCTGGAAGATTCTGACGGATCCAGGCAGCTTGTTAAGAGTCGCAGTTTACCAGCAGTGGTTAAAAGCAGCTGGCTGTGTTCGAATTCGTGTTCTTCTGTTCTTGTGCCTGTGTTAAGCTGAAGTGCTGGAGGCACTTTTCTGGGGAAATTCGCTCGGGCCGGCGTGTTTGTGAGGCGTGAGAGGAGCCACCACTGCCGTTTTTCATTAGGAGAAACCAACAGGGAATGTTTAGAGACATCTGGCGGTGTTGTGAGTCTGTCTGCGTGTCTCTCTGTGTTTATATGTGAAATAGGACTGCAGCGATTAGTCGAGAATGTCCAGATGGATTTTGACGAGTCGTTTAATTAAAAAAGTGCTCTCGGATTAGGACTGGGCGGTATAACGGTATAAGGAATATCACGGTATTTGTTATAAATGATGACATCTCTCTCGGAGGGTGGGATGGCCCTCTCTGTCACCCCCATCATTTAGCACGATGCTAGCCAGCCCAGGCGTCTTTTAGCTGACGTAACTGGCCTGGCAGTTAGCGTTCTCCTCCAAGCGTGTTTAGCTGTCCAATGACATCGGCAGTTTGAGAAAGATGTTGTGGCGCTTCACAAGACTCTGAGGCAGCTTGTACTTACCTTCGCCCTCCTAGCACTGGCAGGTGATTGGGGGATTTGGGAATTGGGGACTACTACATTTCCATTCCACATCTGGGTGGCCAGTTAAACACATTCCACCTATTTATGTTTTAGAGGTTTTTTGGCTTTCTGCAACTCCAGCATCCGTCACTTGACCCTGCGCTCTCAGATATCCTCTAAATGGGGGTCATTTTAACATCAGTTAGCTGGAACTGGGCCTGTGCTGTGCTGGGTGGCATATTTGGCCTGCTAATTAAGGTCTTAGCCAGCTTAGCCAAAATGGCTAAATGCACTAGAACAGAGGTCACTAATAGGTGGACCGTGGTCCGAGTCTGGACCCAGACGCTGTCCTGTGTGGACCTGGACCTGTAACTGATAAACTATGGAGACTTATTTAATTTTGACGTGGTTTTACTATTTTAATCTGCGTAACTTTTCTAGCCTTTACGGTTTCGCTTTAGCGCCACGGGAGACTCACAGACCAATCGCATGCTTTGTAAATATCACACGTGACACATCTCAGCCAATCAGATCTGTGCATTACCATGAGTACTGAGGCTCAAGTGACACACACACACAGTGGAGGGACGAGGTGTCGGAGAAGAAAGTGAGTCAGAGGGAGGTTATTTCACATGGCGTGATCTAAAAAGAGAAAACTGACAATAAATATTATTAAAAATATGACTGAATTGTACTTTATTTGATCTGGCATTCAGTTGTTGACTGTATAAGATGTTGATATACCTACTAGGCTACTTCAGTAAACAGTATATGGCACTGAGTCATGATGCAAGTTAGACATTATGATGTTCTGGACCTTCGCTTGAGGAAATTTTCTTTAACAGGACCTTATTGAGTTTTAATTAAAGACCCCTGCACTAGAACGTAGCTGCTGCACTGTTTAAGGTGGAACACTAAGAAGCTAACTTCTTCAGCATCATCAGAAAGTGTTCATGTGAATCACTGTTAGCTTAGGGCTAACAAACTACTAGAATATTATAGGAACACTAGCAGACGTTAGCTTCATTGTTGAGGGTTTTTCCATGTTTTTACCAGGTAACTGTGTTAAAAATCCATATAGAGATACTTTTTCATAGATAGATGTTACGACAGCAATGCTAAAAGTAACAGTGTGGTACAGTGCAGCGTAATGAAAAGCAGAGATGCCGTTTCACAGCAGCCCATGAATGATGGACAGATCTTTATAACGACAGCACCCATGTTACATCACGCCGTCTGCTCATAAGACTACTAGATTAATTGAAGACATGGTCGAGAGCTTTACTGATAGTAGAAACGATCATTTCCTCTCTCTTTCAGACGGTAAAGCTGAAGGCAGAAGCTCGCCTGGACCTTCTGCGGCAGGTGGGCGTTTCCGTGGATACGTGGCTGAAGAGTGCCATGAACCAGGTGATGGAGGAGCTGGAGAACGAACGCTGGGCGTCCCTGCCCTCCCTCACTACCCACGATCCTTCACTCTCAGTACGCACCCCTTTATATACTACCCTCATCATGCACTCTTTACCCACATTCCTTTTCTCTCAGTACGCACACTTTTTCACGGTTGTATGTAAAAAGTTTGGGCACCCTGTGTTTTGTTTTCTGTTTTAAATTTACACTTCATATTTGCTTATTTTAAAATAGAAAATGAAATGAATAATTGTGGTTTGTGCAAAAATATAAACACTGTTTCAGTTGTAAAGTTTTAGATCTTAATTAACTCCTTAGGACTCATAGGGCAGGTCAAGAATTATCATTAGGAATTGTCAGCTGATGACAGTTCCAGAGCGTATTAATTCTCTGACTTGACTCAACAACTATGGGCTGTTCTAAGCAGCTAACTGGGGATCTGGAAATTAAGCTAATTGATGCCTGCAGTGCAAGGAAAAGATATAAAAAATACCAAAGCCCTACCAACTTGCAGTTTCCACTGTCTGAAATGCCTGTTAAGGGAAAATGTGTGAATCAAGGCAAGATCTGAAAAAACTCAGAGAGAATTACTCATTTGCTGGCCAGAAAGGCAAAGCAAAACCCCCATATGACAGCAAATACATGCAGGATGGTTTAGCTGACACAGGACTAGTGGTGCAGCGTTCTAGTGTGCAGTATTGCTTGCACAAGCATGATCTGCGTGGAGGAGTCATCAAAAGGAAACTTTACTTGCAACCTCAATAACAAAAGCCAACATCTAAGTAAGTATTTATAAAGCACATTTTAACCCAAAGTGTTGTACAAGGGGAAACACATTTAAAAGGACAGTATATGATAACATCTAATGTATAACGAAACAAAAATATAACAACAATCAGTTTACAGAGACAAAAGCTGATCGATAAAAATAGGTTTTTAATCTAGACGTAAAAGCCTCAATAGAGGGTTCAGACCTAATGTCCAGGGGGACCAAATGTGCAAAACTACATCTAGATAAGCCACAGACATCTTGGAAACAAGTGCTGGCCACAATCACCAAGGTACGTTAAAAGAACACTGACGTGGTGGTGGTGGTGTTAGTGTGTGTTGCAGATCCACAGATGTAAAGTCAGAGACGATAGCTCATCTGCTGCTGCGTTTGTGTTGGTCATCCTCTAGTCCTTCATCAGTGGTCACAGGACGCTGTTTGCTGGATATTTTTGGTTGGTGGACTATTCTCAGTCCACTGAGGTGTTTAGAAACTCCAGCAGCACTGCTGTGTCTGATCCACTCAGACCAGCACAACACACACTAACACACCACCACCACCTCAGTGTTACTGCAGTGCTGAGAATGATCCACCACCCAAATAGTACCTGCTCTGTGAGGGTCCATGGGGGTCCTGACCACTGAAGAACAGGGTAAAAGGGGGCTAACAAAGTATCAGAGAAACAGATGGACTACAGTCTGTAACTGTAGAACTACAAAGTGCACCTATATAGTAAGTGGAGCTGATAAAATGGACAATGAGTGTAGAAACAAGGAGGTGGTCATAATGTTATGCCAGATCGTGTATTATTCTCAAAGCAAATGTGACTGAGTCAGTCAAGAAACTGAAAAGTGAAAAGAGGCTGACTAATAATCCAAAACATACCTCAGGAACTACTTAAAGACTTGACTTGAACATCACTGAATATCAGTGGGTGGATAGTAAATGTGCTGTGCATGTAAGACGGCCCAAGAATATTGCAGAACTAGATGTGTTCTGCGAGGAAGAGTGGGTGAAAATTCCTTAAAGAGGAATATAAAGACTCCTAGCTGGCTACAAAATGTCTGCAGGCTGCGATATCTGCCTAGGGGTGTGTTAGTGAGTGCTGACTTAGAACATGAAACAATTACTATTGTCTTTTCTAATTGTTTATGTTAATCACATATAAAGTATAAAGCTTTAACATTTGCAGAAAAAAATGTTTGCTATAGAAGCTGTTCTTACAAAATATGTAATGTGGCCAGAGGTACCCAAACTTTTGCTACATCTGTATACTACCCTCATCATACACTCATTACTCATTGTCCATCTATCTGTTTATCCTCATACATGCGTCATGCACAATTAGGGCTGCACAATATGGACAAAATACAAATCTTATGACTATATTGCTTCATATTGGAGTTGCATACATTTAAAAGGCACTGGTCACTGGTCATTCTGCAGAAACGTCCACTTTTCTGTCTCTCCATAGGAGTCACTGGTGTTACCGATCCTCATTGGTGTTACACATAAGAAAGGGAAACACCAGAGACATTTTTAATGAAAAATGCATTTTACAAAATGGCTGCTACAGAGAATCAAACCACATGTTGACAGTCATGGAATATCCACTAAAATATGTAAATATGTAATTTAATCCATTTATATTCTATTTTTTCACAATTACCTCAGAATAAAGTCGGTCACACCGGTGACTTCAGCTAAAATCTTCATATGAAATCATGAGCTAAATGAGAAAATGTCTGATAACTGAAAGACACAGTGGACTCACCATGTGCTTTTCTTCATAGATCCTCAGAAAACAGGTTAAAATAAGACAAGTGATGTCATCAGCGTGACTTTTATTTCAAAATAAGAGATTTTTTGTTATGCGGTAACACCAGTGACACGACCCCTAAGGAACTTTCATTATACATTTTATAATATTTATTTGGCATTTATTTTCTTTATGTCATTTAAATCATATATTTTATAGTCACGCTAGGGACACAAAACGGGACGTTTCCATAGAATAACTCAATGACTCTGTTTACATCTCAACCACTGAATTATGCTGAAATTCATAAAATTAGATGGAATTCCACTTTACAGGTACGTCTTCTCTACGTTTAGTTATGGGACATAATTGTGCCATATTCTACCCCTCTGTCCCTTTTCCCCCTGTACAATTACATTACCCTTTTTATGTGACAGTGTACCCACAACGCTTCACTGTCATTACTCTCTGCCATCCCATAAAAGCCCTGCAGACCTTTCAGTCTTAGAAGAATCCCACTAGAACGTCTGAGTTTTCCCCATCCACCCTAACTACTCCTTAACTGGGCTGGGTGCCTTGTGAACACAGATTAAATGGATACAAAGTTATGCAGTTTTTCCCTCATGCCAAATGTAGTTGATCAGCCAAGACATGTTTGGTGTCAGAAGTTTACTTTGGCTAATGTAGCCAACAAATAATGGAACCTTATACAAGGTAATTCCTGTGTTCACAGGGTTCTGTGTTTCTCAGGCCCTTTATTTTCTTATTGAAAGGTCGATAGGAAACAGCCAGAGGTTCCCTGGGTTCAGTGTTCCCCAGGCATTGTATTCCCTGGAAAAAGCCATATTTTCATAGGGTCTTATATTCCCAAGGTTCTATATTCCCTCATTAAAGGCAACAGGGAACATACAGCTAATGAAAACAAGAGGAACGTTCATACCTCTGGTACTCTTGTATTGTTTACAAACATATATTCTGATGTTACATGTTCTGTAAATAATATCTGAAATTGTGTTTATCTACATGCTCATCCCAAATAGGTTCCCTTATTAAACATACATGTTCATTTCGGTGACCACAAATGAGAACCTGTTCCGTAACGGGCTGCATTCATAAATTTGTTTCAACTTCACAATATTAACAACATCCTGATTGTTCTCTGTGTGACCTTTAATGACCCCATGATGTTAACCATGACCTCAGGAACCGTTTTATATGTTCTCTTAATGTGTCATATTGAGGTAAAATGTGTCATGTAAAGAGCTGAACATGAGGCCCTGAGAACATAGAAGCCTGTTGAAGTGTTGAAGGAACATAGATCTCTGGAAACGTAGAACCCGGGGACATAATGCTGAAGGAACATAGAATCCTGAGAACATAGAACTCTGGGAACATAATGCTGAGGGAAAATAGTACCTTGGTACAATACTGTTCTGATAGAACCCTGGGAACATTTTGCTGGGATCACAGAACCCTGGGAACATAATGGAACAGAGGGCCCTGAGAACATAGAACCCTGGAAGCATTATGCTGGGATCGTAGAACCCTGAGGACATAATGCTGAGGGAACAGAGAACCCTGGGAACATAGAACCCTGGAAACATTTTGCTGGGATCGCAGAACCCTGGGAACATAATGCTGAGGGAACAGAGGGCCCTGGAAGCATTATGCTGGGATTGTAGAACCCTGGGAACATAATGCTGAGGGAACAGAGGGCCCTGAGAACATAGAACCCTGGAAGCATTATGCTGGGATCGTAGAACCCTGAGGACATAATGCTGAGGGAACAGAGAACCCTGGGAACATAGAACCCTGGAAGCATTATGCTGGGATTGTAGAACCCTGGGAACATAATGCTGAGGGAACAGAGACCCTGGGAACATAGAACCCTGGAAACATTATGCTGGGATCACAGAACCCTGGGAACATAATGCTGAGGGAACAGAGGGCCCTGGGAATACAGAACCCTGGAAACATTTTGCTGGGATCGCAGAACCCTGGGAACATAATGTTGAGAGAACAGAGGGTCCTGGGAACAGAGAACCCTGGAAACATTTTGCTGGGATCAAGAACCCTGGGAACATAATGTTGAGAGAACATAGGGTCCTGGGAACATAAAACCCTGGAAACATTATGGTGGGATCACAGAACCCTGGGAACATAGAACCCTGGAAACATTGCGCTGGGATTACAGAACCCTGGGAACATAATGCTGAGGGAACAGAAGGCCCTGGGAACATAGAACCCTGGAAACATTTTGCTGGGATTACAGAACCCTGGGAACATAATGCTGAGGGAACAGAACCCTGGGAACATAGGTACACTCCCGCTTACATGACAGTTATGATCACGTTAATCGTTGCACACTTGCCTCAAACTGTGTTGAGTTCAGTGTCTCTGACAGACTCAGTTCTGTGCTTCTGATGCTGTACGACACACTGTTCTCTATAAATGCAGACATATCTCAGGCCTCAAAGCTGCTCCTGCTGTTTTTAACTGTGTGCTGTACATTTGTCTGTATTTATAGATACAGTGTGTTACACAGGGTCAGGAGCCACATAGTCAAGTCTGAGATTACTAAACAGTGGCTTCAAGCATGTGTGATGATGAAGGCCTGCAGTTTGCTAACTAGTCTACATAAGCTTCCATTACTTGTGAGCTGCATTAGCCACGTAGCTCCAGTGCTGAAATGAAGACCGAACACGTCTTGGCAGGGCAGCTACGTTTGGGCAAAGAGGGGGAACTGTGTAAATGTCATTTTTTGCCAAACTGCCCCACACCTGCTCTGCCTGGCACACGGCTGGTTGACTTCCTGTGTCTGGAGCCGAGCGGCGGGGCATTGTTCTCTTTCCCAACATAAACAGGGCTTTGCCCCATTAACGTCACTTCCCGAAACCCGCCTGCTCACCCTGCTGTCTGCCCACACTCTCTTCCTGGGACTGTCAGCAGCATTGTGCTTCCATCAGTCCGGCCAAACACCGAGCAAACACCCACAAAGCACTGTGTAAACAGTTCACACAGCACCTCCAGCAGCCCTGACCTGAGCCGAGTGCCGACAGCCGTGTGTTGACCATAGCCCTCCCCTTCTGCTCACAGACACCGTGATGGATCGATCTGACAGTGCCGATTGATCTGCATTGAATTTTGGAATGATCTAATTGATTATAATCGTAATTATAATAACTGGCATACCAACATTTTATTAAAAGAAGTTCCACCATTGAAACAAACCTTGTATCTCCATTTTTGCCCTTTATATTGTGTTAGATTTTCGTTATGAATTGAGCAATAGAAATGATCCAAAATTACTTGGAAAATAAATCTTATTGCATTCACTTAAAAAATTTATAATGCTGCTGTCGGAACAAAACCTTGTATCTTAATTTTTGTCATTTTTCAGTTTTTGACATAATTTGAAAATGCCTGTTGTTCTTAACATTGTATGTGAATTTAATGATGAATGGACCAACAGAAACGGCCCAGAATGACTTGGAAAAATTCCGTTTCCATTGACTTACATTACAAGTGAAGTATGTTTTTTCCTTCTCCTGTAAAGTTACCATTTTGGAGATACGAGGTTTTGTTCCGACAGCAGCGATAAGCATTTTTACTTCTCCTGTAAAGTTACAATTTTGGAGATACAAGTTTTTGTCATCACAGGGACGATACACTGTATATGTGGTTCATTAAAAGCTTGTTTTAGACTTTTTCTGACTTGGACTTTATCCTGAATGACCCTATACATTAATTAAGTGTATTATATTACAACAAATGACTGAACATTCCATTTTGTCACTAACATAACACTACTGAAACTTTACCAAATGTACATGCCAGTACATGACCAGCAAACACAGCTTTGAACAGCTGTACACACATAAAATCATCATATATTTCATTTAAACACAAAAAAATACCTAATTTCACAAAATCTGTGTTTCGGTAGTGACAATTTGAATATTCCACACTGATTGTCAGACTTTGGGACACATTTACTTCAAAACAGTGGGATCTAACTGCTCACCATGTGGCCATGAGGGACAGGGATCCAGCCTCACTTCCTGCTCTAAAGTGCAGAGGCGTAGCTAAAATAAGGCTCCGCTTACAGACTGAAACTCTTTTTATTTATTTATTTATTTGAAAATTAAACTGATTATAAACTTAGATCTTTCAACCTCACTTTAAAATAAAATGTTCAATATTAAAGAAAATATACAAAACATGTAAGCGTGATTTTCAGAGTGTAAGTTTAGGGGTTAGGGTTTGGGACAGACACCTCCCAATAGAAAGTAGCCTCTGAATGATGATGTATATATTTAGCTTATTACTGTCTCTATTGGTGCCTTGAGTTTAAGTAGATCATAACATAATCCATGTAAATATCTAAAGACTTAAGACTTAATTGTTTTTAAATAGTATTTTTTACAGTGGAAGTGCAGTTTAAACTGATTCTACGGAACCGCTTTATTAGGAACACCTGTACACCTGCTCAGTTATGCAGTTATCCAATCAGCCAATCATGCGGCAGCAGTGGAATGCATAATATCAGTGACAGGTGATTAAATGTAGGCCAGCCTCCTTTCACTCTGTCCTTCGATAGACAGGACCCCCACAGGACCACCACAGAGCAGGTATTATTTAGGTGGTGGATCATTCTCAGCACTGTGGTGACACTGATGTGGTGGTGGCCTGTTAATGTGTGTTGCACTGCTGTGTCTGATCCACTCGTACCAGCGCAACACACACTAACACACCCCCACCACGTCAGTGTTACTGCAGTGTTGAGAATGATCCACCACCCAAATAATACCTGCTGTGTGGTGGTCCTGCTGGGGGTCCTGACCATTGAAGAACAGACTGAAAGGGAGCTTTTCCTCTCCCTCAAAGAGCTGATGGGGGCAGTTTTGGTGTCTACCAGGTCTTCCAGGTGGTTGTTAGGAGCCCCATTTTCTGTGGTTTTTACCAAAAACGTATATAAACACAAACATTGTTTACCATGCATTTGCTGACCTCCAGCTAGTGCATGCAGTGGTGACAGAAAGAGAAAGGAGCCTCTGCTGTCCGGTGTGATATTGACTCATAACACAGTGACAGTGACGAGTTAGAACATCACTGAAAGGTGATGGATAAGGTGATGAGAGCTGAATGAGTGAAACATCACTCATTAGAGTGTCAGCCACAGGCTGAGGAGATGAATAATAATTACCTACATTATGGTTTTTATGAGCCTTTTTAAAGTGAGTAAAATTGATGAGGAACCATGAGGTTTCCACACTCTGCTGCCACCTGCTGGTTAACTGTAGAATTACAGGTGATTGACTGTAACGTAAGTCTAATGCAGCGCCTCATTAAAACGTACTGAGCGTCACTTACAATGAGCTACACGTCTGAGCTGCTCATTTAGCATTCAGAAAGGTAAACATGGAGTAAACATTTACAAATGTGTTTATCTCCCGCCTCACCGTGGTGGAGCAGTTCGTCTCCAGGCTCTCCTCCCAGTTCACTCAGTATTCAGCTCACATCAGCCTGCACCATATAGAGAGAGAGAGAGAGAGAGAGAGAGAGACAGAGAGACAGAAAAAGACAGAGAGAGAGAGACAGAGGAAGACAGTGAGAGAGGGAGACAGTGAGAGAGAGAGAGAGAGACAGAGGGAGACTGAGAGAGAGAGTGAGAGAGAGAGATGGGGGAGACAGTGAGAGAGAAAGAGAGACAGTGAGAGAGAGTGAGAGACAGTGAGAGAGAAAGACAGAGAGAGAGGGAGACAAAGAGAGAGAGACAGTGAGAGAGGGAGACAATGAGAGACAGAGGGAGACTGTGAGAGAGTGAGACAGAGAGAGTGAGTGAGTGAGAGAGAGAGAAAGATAGACAGTGAGAGAGAGAGAGGAGGGCCAATCAGGGAGGAAAGACAGAGAAAAAAAAGTGAGAAACAATATAGGAGGGCAAATAATTGAGAAGTGAGAGACATAGGGGGAAAAGAGAGAGAGAGAGAGAGAGAGAGAGACTACAGAAGGGAAATTGTTGGAGAGCAATGAAAGAAAGAAAGAGACAGAACAAGAAAGCATGATAGAGAATGTAGAGGTATAGGAGAGAGAAAGGGAGAAGAAGAGAGGGAGAGAGAAGAGGAGAGATGGAGAGAAAGAGAGGGCGAGGCAAAGAAAGACAAAGCGAGATGAAAAGAAATAAAGAATGTAGTGCAAATCATCAAGAAACAGTGAGAGAAAAGGAGAAAAAAAGAGAGAAAGGGAGAAAAAGGGAAGGTGAGAGAAATAGTATAAGAATATAGGGGGCAATTAGAGAGAGAATAAGAAGGATAAATCAAGGCAAAGCAAAGTGAAGAGAGAGAGAGAGAAACAGAAAGAGGGAGACAGAATATGAGTGGGGCAATTAAGAAGCAATAAGAAGGAAAAAGTGAGAATAAAGGAAAAAGGGGAGAGATAAAAAGAGCGAAACGAAGAGATAGAGGAGGAGCGAAACAGAGTGAAAAAGAAAAAGGGGGAGAGAGAGAGAGAGCGGAAAAGAAAGAAATTGGAAGGGCAAATCAGGGAAAAGTAGTGAAAGAGAGAGAGCGAGAAAATACGACGACAAACCATAAGAAGCAGTGTGAGAACAGGAGGAAGAGAGAATGAGAGAAAAAGACAGATAGAAAGGGAGAGAGAGACTATCATTAAGAAGTTGAGAGAGATAGAGGGAATATAAGAGGTGAAATCAGAAGAAGCGCTGAGAGAGAGGAAGTATAGAGGAGGAGAATATAATGAAGAATGAAAGTCAAAGCCTGACTAGCTCTATGTTTAGTATAATGTAGTTTATATTGCATGAAAATCATCATTCACTTCATTTTCACACAACAGTGTGTCAAAGTTTTTCACATTGTCCAAAGTCAAGGTGGCATTTGGTTACATAACCGCTGACCCGGGCAGATTAGAGTCGAGGCAACACCTCACATATAAACTGTACTTTAAATGTCTTTAGTTTGCAGTGTCAACATCACAGTGATTACTCAGAGCATTGTTCCAGCACCAGGCCTACGAATCCTAATCCTGCCTGATCTCAGACCAGTTTTCCCAACCTCAGCCTCAGCCATCAGCCAATCAGAACGCAGACAGGCTCTATTATGTTTTCCCCCATTGTTTTTTTTTTTAAGGTAATCTTATCTTTTAGTCTTTGTGCCACGTTTTGGTCCCCAGGGGCCACCTGACCTGCTGTGGTCCAATGGCATTGTCCAGGTTGCCAGGTGGGTGGGAAAACAGCCATATCATATTGTGTATGTCCCAGTTAGAGTCAAGGACGTGGCTTTATTCTGCCCAGCGTTCCTAACTTCTGCCTGTCCTTCTGAATCCCTGCTGAGCACAGTTAGATTGTGGTCTTAGCAAGCTTTGCTGTGTTTTTGTAGACCACGGTGGACTTGGACAGAGAAGAAGGAGAAGATCTTGAAGAAAACATGGAGGCGTTTGATGACAGCAGCTCCAGCCCTTCAGGAACCCTGAGGAACTACCCGCTCACCTGCAAGGTGCTCTACTCCTACAAGGTAACCGAAATCACGGATTCACCTGGACTTACACAGCCTTATTCTGGGGCTTCTCTGAGTTTGGTATCGTCTGCTTATCCTGTAGTTGGTTTCCAAGACTATATAATAAAGGTTATGGGTGTTTAAACTAAGACTCACCTAAACACTCCCAGCTCTGTGGTTGCCAGATCTTTCCCAAAAACATTGTAAATTGGCGTGAAGCTATAAAATGTGTAGAAATTGTGTAAAAGGTGCTCCACATCATGGAAAACTGAACTGATGTACCATGTAAAAGTAAAGTAGGAGGTGTATTGCCTGCACACTGTCGGAAAGTCAGACAAGACTAGCAAAAGTATATCGCTGTTGTTGGAAGAAAACCTTTACAGGAGACTAACTTTACAGGAGAAGGAAAAAACCTACTTTACTTTTAATGTAAGTCAATGGAACCAGACTTCCCCAAGTCATTTTGGGCCGTTTCTTCTGGTCCGTTCATCGTGGAATTTACACACTATGTAAAGGTCAACAGGCATTTTCACATTATGTCAAAAACTGAAAAACAACAAAAACGGAGATACTAGGTTTCCTTCCAACAGCAGTATTTTTATTCCATTAAATAGAGTGCAAAAAAACAGACACACAAACCGAGCAAACGTTTCAGCTTCTTGCTATCACCAGTGCTCGTGAAGCAGCTCTCTCAACCTGTTTCCTTTTGAAGACCCAGACAAATCGCCCTCACCTGGGCAGGTTCTGCTACGGCCTTTTTAAAGTGACATTACACCAGTAAGAAGATATACTCAGTAGCAAAAACAAAATCCAATACATCAAAACCATCAGAAACCACTTCAAAATATAATATATTGATCAAAGATTGTCTTTTTATAGAAAAGAATTGAGATTAAGACCCTCATTTATACTATGGGGAAACAGAGATAAACGTTCAAAAATGTAGCATGTAAACATTGTTACATATTCATAAAGTTATATATCATTTACTCCCCACTACATACAGTCTGTATATGGAAAGTAACAACCTGTTTTGAATCCATTGCTTTTGTGACGTCACAAAAACTAACGTGTTTACATACACCAGCCTCAAATAAACAAACATTACTCATCGCTGCCCTCTAAAGGTGTTAAAGCACCATGTTAGACGTCACAACTTGTGTTTTGTCCGTAAGATCCATGATGTGTGCCAACAAATGCATTTCTGCTTTATTACGTTTTTGTGTCTCACAAGGCTAATTATCTTAAATATGCGTCATTGCAATATCCAGCCCGTATGTATGAAGGGAGTACACAGCAGGAGGTTTAATGTCTCCCTCTCTCTCTCTCCTCTCTCTCTCTCTTTTTCCCTCTCTCTCCCTCTCTCTGTTTCTCTCTCAGGCGTCTCAGCCTGACGAGCTGACCATCGATGAGCATGAAATGCTGGAGGTCATAGAAGATGGAGACATGGAGGACTGGGTCAAAGTAAACAATCCGTACTCATAAATAAGTCTGACTAATTGTGCTCTGCACTGAAAACTGAAACAAAGTTTTCCTGGCAAGTGAAATGATCTAAAATCTAGTCAATATATCTAATATTTCTCATTTTGAGATTACGAGCATATTTCTTTTTAAACAAGTGAAGTTAGGTCAGTATATCTGTCCATTTAGCCATTTACAGCAGCTTAGCTCCGCTCATTCAAACTGACGTTATACATGTAAAACAATTTTTAAAAAGTCTAGAAATAAGTTAAATAATTTAATATGGAGCTTGTAACAATCTTAAAGTGAGAAATATTAGATATATTGGCTAGAATTAGGATGATTTCACTTTTGCACAAATTTTTGTTTGCAGTATGTAGTGAATTACACACCTTTTCTAGTCATAACGTCTTTTAAATATATCTCAACAACATAAGTTGATGTATTGTTTCACAGTCGACACTTTAAAAAGTGATCTGTAGTGTTCGTGTGATACATGCAATCTGAAAAAGGTGTAATATTTAGATTAAGAGTAATCAAATAACAGTCGACAGGTTAATCAATAACAATCATCATTTACAGGTTTAATATACGTCACACGAAGGCTCTGGGTGTAGTGTCAGAGTCTGTCTCTGTTTAACTCGTGTCCTTCTTGTTTGCAGGCGCGGAATAAATCAGGTCATATTGGCTACGTGCCAGAGAAGTACCTGCAGTTCCCCACCTCTAACAGCTTACTGAGCATGCTCCAGTCTCTGGCTGCCCTGGACGCGCGTTCACACACCTCCAGCAACTCCACGGAGCCTGAGCTGGCCTCGGGCAGCATCAACGGAGACGCCAGCAGTGAGTTACACATGCATGTATTCACTGAGGCTGTGTCCCAAACTATACCCTATTCCCTTTATAGCGCACTGTTTTGAGAGTCTGCCACAGTGGAGTGAAGACAAACTTAAATGAGCATCCTTTGCCGAAAGCAGAACCGAATAAAGGTCAAAAAAGTGACAATAAATTTAAAATTATCATGGAAAATCAAAATTTCCTTGCTATTCTCAAATAAAAGGGTTTGACTTAGTCTGTAAGCTTTGTTAAAGTTTGAAATGTCCATACTGTCCATTTATGAAAACTCATTTTGAATTCACTGTTTTTATGATGTCATGAAAACCAACACACTAACATAAATCTGTGTATGCAGTCTAGAAGGGCTTAGCCCCACTTATTCATGCTGATGTTCTAAGAAGTATTTCAGCCTGGTGTACTTTTTGAATGAGGCATAAAACTGGGCAGCCAATCAGAACAGAGCTAATTTACATATATCTGTTTTAAAGGCACAGTGATGAAAACAGCCTGTTTATTTCTAAGGGAGAAAGAGAGGTCATGTAAAAGAATATTGCTGTTTTTGTGAAATAAAACCACACAAACATTATAAGTGGACTTTAAATACAAGACGAATGTAGCATATGGGTTCTTTGTAGGCTCCAGAATGTGCCATGAAATCCAGTGTCCAACAACAGAACAGCTGGTTGAATTTCACTGTTTTTTTAGTTATACTTTGCACTTTGGCTGCCATTATGAATTCTTTCGCTTTCGTTTGTTAAAAATTATTTCCCTTTTTTTGGTGGTAAAATTTCGGTGCTTCCCTAGTGTAGATGATGGACCCATAGACCCAAGCGTGAGGGCTGTCACAGTGAATGTTGGCATACAAAATCAGGAAATTCTGAATTCTGTTCCCTATAATAGTGTGCTATATAGTGCTCCAGTGTAGGGAATAGTGATTAAGGGGCCATTTCTGTTCCCTATAATAGTGTTCTATATAGTGCTCCAATGTAGGGAATAGTGATTAAGGGACCATTTCTGTTCCCTATAATAGTGTGCTATATAGTGCTCCAGTGTAGGGAATAGTGATTAAGGGGCCATTTCTGTTCCCTATAATAGTGTTCTATATAGTGCTCCAATGTAGGGAATAGTGATTAAGGGACCATTTCTGTTCCCTATAATAGTGTGCTATATAGTGCTCCAGTGTAGGGAATAGTGATTAAGGGGACCATTTCTGTTCCCTATAATAGTGTGCTATATAGTGCTCCAGTGTAGGGAATAGTGATTAAGGGGCCATTTCTGTTCCCTATAGTAGTGTGCTATATAGTGCTCCAATGTAGGGAATAGTGATTAAGGGGCCATTTTTGTTCACTATAATAGTGTTACATATAGTGTTCCAATATAGGGAATAGTGAATAGGGTCCATTTTTGTTCCCTATAATAGTGTTCTATGTAGTGCTCCAATGTAGAGAATAGTGATTAGGGTTAATTTCTGTTCACTATAATAGTGTTATATATAGTGTTCCAATATAGGGAATAGTGAATAGGGTCCATTTGAGTTCACTATGATAGTGTTCCATATATAGTGCTCAGGTGTAGGGAATAGTGATTAGGGTCCATTTCTGTTCCCTATAGTAGTGTTTTAAATGGTGCTCCAATGTAGGGAATAGTGATTAGGGGGGCCATTTCAGTTCCCTATAATGGTGTTCTATATAGTGCTCCAATATAAGTAATAGTGATTAGGGGGATAATGTATGTTCCCTGTAATAGTGTTCCATTTATTGCTTCAATGTAGAGAATAGTTATTAAGGGATCATTTCAGTTCCCTATAATAATGTCCTGTATAGTGCTTTGTATGTGTACAAGTACAGACTGACACTCTCTCTCTCTCTCTCTCTCTCTCTCTCTCTCTCTCTCGTTCAGTGAACTTCGTTAAGGCCATATATGACTATGAGGGACAGACGGATGATGAGTTATCCTTCCCTGAGGGTGCGGTCATACGCATCCTCAATAAGGACAATCAGGAGGACGATGGATTCTGGGAGGGAGAATTTAACGGCCGTGTTGGTGTCTTTCCATCCGTACTGGTGGAGGATCTGACTGCAGAGAACGGAGACATACACTGGGCCTCGGACGCTCAGGTAGGACAGGTCTGATGCTGCACAGTTACTGCTTTAGTGATTTCACTGTGACATGATGCCAAACCATGTGGAGATGTTCAGGATCTCTCATAGACTTGATTATGTTTCTGTCACTGTATGACACACTGTTATCTGTAAACATGGGCGAAAGTATTCCATATAGCTAAAAACAGCCGTGGAGGTCATCTTGAAGCCTGATCTCTGTCCATACTGCTGTCCATTTTGAAAGATGACAGGCAAGTTAATTTGGGGTTACTTAAGAACTGGACACGGTTTGAGGTGAGGGTGTGATCATTTGGGAAAAGATTGTGTTTCAGAGCAAAACTAAAGAAGCGAACTTTATGCCTCGTCACCATGTATCCAGATATTTTTGAAAACATAGTTTTTTCTCTGCGTTTTGGCCTCCTGTCCAGACAAAAACATGTTTGGTCACTAAAAACTGTTTATGTGTGGATGGAAGCTTTTTGAAAATGTTTACTTCATGCCAACAACTCACATGTGTCTGTTGCTGCTTTTATTTATTAAGGCCCAATCGCATTTCTAATTTTTACCCCTACCCCTTGTTTTTGAGTGGAACTAAAGTGGAACTGAGTTACAAGGGGTAATGGTTAAAATCTTCCCTCTGAAATGGGACCCTCAAATAAAAAGAGCATTACTTCATTAACAGCTACCAGCGCTGCTCTGCAGGCAACCCTGCCAGTCTGCAGTGACAGCAGAGGAGGGTAAAGTTCAGCTCCTCACTGCTGGGCTTTAGTTACATTTAGGGAATCATATGCCTTCAAAGAGGGGGGGCAATTATTATCACCCACCCCTAATTCTTCACTGATATGAAGCTGAAGTCAGATATTCACCAGCTTCTTGGCCAAATGTTCCCATTCCACCTTAAATGATGCAGCAGTTTTGATGCCTGAGGTGCCAGAATGTAACAGCTACACCATTTAAAGTGGAACAGGAAATTTAACTAGCTAGCTACTGAGACATCAGCAAACTACTACTACTACTACTAGTGATTTCTATGCTTGCTATGAAGAAAAGGACAATAATACATTGAAACAACCTTAAACTAAGATAATAATATGATTATCAATTATCATTATTCATTTTTTAACAGAGAAAATTCTCACATTTGTGGGTTTCTTTGGTCTCTTGTTCAGCCATCTTGCCGGTTTTTCTTTTTTTCTCATAACACTGTGTTTGGAGTCTCTGAAAAACCTCCATGTAGCCCTTCCCCTTTATTTCAACAAGTATCGGGACACCCTTCCCCTAGACGTGAACATGCAAAACAGAAGGGTAGGGCTAATTGGTCAAGGGGTGAAATGGGAGTGGGCCTAAGTATGCTGAACTGAGTAATAATAATAATAATAACAATAATAATAATAATATTTATTTATATAGCACTTTTCATGCCGGTGGCAGTTCAAAGTGCTTTACAGACAGGTGATAAAATGTAGTTATACAAAAATTTCATAAATATTGCTGGTTGCTATTTTTTCATTAAACTGCAATGCAGAGGCAACAGAATGGACTAAGCTCAGTTCTTTAAATGGGGCTCACCATGATTGCAAATATTAAAAATACCTCAGTTATTTTAAAATTAAATGACTTGACGATCACTAAATCAGATTAAAAAATTCAGATGAAGTGAAAAGAGGTAAGCGGTGCCCTGCTGTGATTTTTTTGGGCAAAATTCAGGCTTTGAATCTGCGTTAAACATCGAGTTACAGCTCACTTTGGGACACTTGGCGCAGTATGCATGCTCACAGTGTCCTCCTTAAAGCATTTGACATGAGATTTTGTGGGGTATTATCTTCTTACTGGGCTGGATGACCATGTGGACAGGGAGATGTTTAAAACACTGCTCATGTGGATAAGATTTTTTTTAAATTATGTTTTAAAAATATTCAAAAATATGTGTTTGGATGATCTGTCAGAAACCAAAAGTGTCTTGGCTGACTGACTACATTGCTGTAACGTGGAAAACTGTGTACTCTTTATTTTTCATCTAACTGCTCCTTTAAATGCTCTGATTAAAGCTGTTTTCACGACAGCGTCACCTGTAGGACGTGTATGCGCCTGTAAAGCAGTGCTGTGGTGTTTCAGTTCTCAATTGTTCTCATTCAGACATTTGCCCGGTTCCTGTCTAGATCTGAGGGCCAGATACAGCCAGGGGTCATTAGAGCAGGCGTTCCTGTTTCCTTCCTGCAATTAACGTCGTTACTGAGAAGCTTCTTAATGAGCTACTACTGAAATGAGAGGAGTTCTGTGTTTGTGACCAGCACTGTGAGCATGGACATCTGGGAAAGAGAAAGTCTGCAGGCTGCTGCTGCTCAAAAACGCCATAAACGAAAGGTGGCAGTGCTAATAAGACGTCGGAGGCTATAAACCTGTAATGCAGCAGCCGCTCTCCTCTAAGACTGTAAATACACTGACAGCCACATCTGTCACTGTATCTCCACTCGAGTGCGGAAACACGCCTACAGTCATTTTTATAATCAGCCGTTTAAGTGTGATTAATTGAGGGCTTTAATGATAACAAAGTGTTTTTCCAACAAGGCCATTTGATGAGCAGCCAAATGATGTAAACTTTGCATAGTCATCCTTCAGTAGTGTAAATCTCTGACCTTACGATGATGATTCCTTAGAGAGCGATTCGGTGAATCATGAAGTGTTGAATTTCACCCTGATTCTACTCAGTTATTCTGGTGTGATTAAATAAAAAGACTTTTAAATTTAGTATACTTTAAATACCCAGATGTAACTGGAAGAACTTGAAAAGTTAACACGTTCATACAGATAAGACACTTAAATATGGCATTTGTCTGCAGATATTAGTGCACAATTTCTGTTTATATGCTTAGATTAACATATTGGAAAAATTGACCAGGGGCGCCTAAACTTGTACATACATAGCCAACTGTATAATTCTATCTTATCTATTTTATTTTGCCCAAAATACTTTGCATTCTTTATTGAATTGTTATTAATCTTCACTGCCTGAAGCAAAAGCAGCTATTTCTGCATTTTAAACTATTTTTTTGCTTTGATATGTCAAGAATGTGATCCAACGAAGTTAAAAATTACGAATATATTTCACACTTCAGTGGCCTTTAATTGTCACTCTGATGAAACAAATCAATAGTAAGTGTCTCCATAGCGATGTGATGCTATCGCAGTGCATCCAACAGTAAAGACAGCATGGAGCTTCTTTTATACAGTGATAGGAAACACGGTAGCTCACAGAAAGCTCCCAATTTCACAAGCTGATCAAATTTACTGGCCAGTGTCAATATACATGCTCACCAACTACTCTGGGGGAAATGTTAATCAGCTAAAGGACGGATCAGCGATAAGATGTGATGTTTATTATATTATTTAGGTTACTGTAGATTCTAAATAGTGCAAACAGTCCGCAATTGATGCAGAGTGGCATGTTGGCACAGATGCATTTTAACACTCTGTCGTTACAGTTCTGAGTGCTAACATGCCTTCTCCCTCTGTAGGTGTCTTCGTGTCCCAGGCTGACGTCATCGCTGCCCCCGTTACCCCTGTATGAGCAGCCCCCATGCAGCCCCTACACCAGCCCAGACTCTGGCTCGGCCCCCATGCTGCCCCGCTCGCCCTCAGCCCTCAATGGAGAGCACAAACCGCCTGGCCTGCAGAAGGCACCCGCCCACAGTAAGAAACCTTCGTCAACCTGCTTCACACCCAGTCCTGTCGGCTTCACTGCTCTGCTTTTCCACTTTTCTCCAGCTATTCTGAATATGCTTATGTCTTGTAAAACAAATCAGAGTAGAAAGTGCTACCAAAGTGGTGTCCAGTGAAACTGCGCAATGGGATCAGGAATAATTTGGGTGGATATCTATATTTTCTAGGTCACAAAAGGTTAAAGCCTTGAGTGTAGATCTCTGACCTCAAAAAACTTTGATTTGATTTTAAATGCTTCATTACAAAACTCAAATTTCACCACTGCAGGATTTGATCAAATTATGTTGGTATGATTCACAATTAATTTTTTATTGAGTTTTTTACTTGATGAGGCAGTCAAAGGCAGTAAAACCTTGGATGATAATCTCTGACCTCACAACAATTCAGTTCTGTAGTGACAGTAATGGAACAGAGACACCAAAATCATTAAAACTCGCAGTCGTTAAACCCCTACTTAAAAAGCAAGATCTTGATCCCAGTGAACTCGCCAACTATAGACCAATTTTCAGTCTCCCCTTCACTGCAAAGATCTTAGAAAAGCGGTCTCACATCAACTCTACAAGAAAACTCTCTCCATGAGATGTTTCAGTCTGGCTTTAGACCCTGAAACAGCATTAACTAGAATGTAAATGATCTCCTTGTGTCTCTCGATAGTGGCCATATTTGCGTACCTGTCCTTCTAGATCTCAGTGCAGCATTCAATACTATCGACCACAAGATCCTCCTTGATAGGCTGGAAAATCTGGTTGGTATTAAAGGACAGGCTTTGTCCTGGTTCTGATCCTATCTGACTGGCCGTTATCAATTTGTCACTGTTTACAGTAAACACTCTGATCGTCTGCTAGTACAGTATGGTGTCCCCCAAGGGATCAGTGCTCGGGCCGCTGCTTTTCTCTCTGTACATGCAACCTCTTGGTCACATAGTTCGCAGGTTCGGCGTTAGTTTTCACTGCTATGCGGACAACATGCAGCTCTACCTATCTGCTAAAACAAATGTGGCTCTGAATCTAAATAAACTTGAAGAATTAACCCTTAATCCTAACACAACTGAGTACTACTTGAACCCAAAGGAGAGAGATCTCAACTCTCCAAATTTGAACTAAATTTAGATGGCCATACGGTCATTTCAAGCACCACTTTAAAAAATCTAGAGTAATAGAGAGTATAGCTTTTTGAAAATTAGTTATAATAAATTCTAACACTCGAAAATTAATGCAGTTCAATCACATCCTTCAAACTCATGACATTTTACATCCTTAATGCATACAAAAACAAAAAACCTCACAATGATAATTATATACAAATAGTACACAAGTACCCAAATGCAGATACCCCTGTGTTGTCCATAGCTATGTTTCTTTTCAGAGCGCGATGAAAATGTAATTTTCATGTTTTTTTTGCTGTTTTTTTGTCTTGGTGAAGATCACAGTTCCAGCCTGAGTCCGGAGAGTCCAGGCTTCTCCCAGCCGGCCAGATTCACCCCCGACGCGTCTGGCCCAGGCAAACTTCGGCCTGTAAGGACCCTTATTTTCAGCTATCTCATCTTCCAGTTTACGTTTCAGACTCTCCGATGTGGAGATAAACTGCACCAACAGTGTTAAATGCTGGTGGAGTCAGACATCACATTTTACAGTCTGTTGTAGAAATTTTTAACACTTTAACAATTTATAATAAACATACTGCAGTCTGGCTTATGGGCTTAAGACAGCAAAGAACATTATTCTTACGTTTTGGAAAGAGAAGGAAGCACCTGCTGTAAGTATTTGGCTAGCAGACTGACTGTAGTTAAAGTATGAGTCTGTAACTGGTGGGTGGCTGCGGTAGCTGTGTAACGACTTAGCCACACAGCTAAACCACCTTATAAATATTAAAGCATCCACATTCAAAATGCTGGCTTTTCAGAAATGTCTGTCATCTGAGGCAGATCTTCAGGCACCTCACACGAGAATGAATTTTTGCCCATCAGCGTTATTCAGCTCATAAAGCAAACACATCGCCTCGTTCAGAACCACCGAGCTGCCAAAACTAGTCAAATGTTTACAAGTATCCCTGCAGTGTGAAATGCCCCGAACAATTCTAATTCAAGTTGTTTTGTTTGTTTATGTTCAGCAATGGCACATTGTCCCCTCCAGGGTAGTCATCATTTGTGTGATTATGTAAGAAAACATACTAGGAGTTGCAGCAGAGACACTCAAATGGACATTTTCTGCTTTTGAATTCCTTTTATTTTTTAATTGGACCAATTTTTGGCAGCCCTAGTATAAATGTTTAAGATCACAGCTGTTCTCCCAGCTAAAACTCTAAATGCTCTCTAAAGTGCTAAAAGTGGTACATATATATATATATATACATATATATATATATATATATATATATATAGTTTTGCACTGGATCTATGGGGCTAATGTAGGTAACAAGTAATGGAAGCATATAAACCCCACCCCCAATTAACACATACATATATATATATATATATATATATATACACACATATATTTATATATATATATATATATATGTGTGTGTGTGTGTGTGTGTGTGTGTACAGAATAAACTCTTTCTGATTTATCCTCTTCTCTCAGGTTCGTGCAGCCCCACCTCCCCCAAAACAGCACCCTCGCAGGCAGGTGGAGAAGACGGAGGAAGTGGAGATCACGCTGGTGTAACAGCGCCGCCCTTCTGGTTGGAGGACTCATCTGCACCTGACCTCAAACTCCTCCCACTGGTATCAGAAGTAAATGCTAGTGGTATTTACTCTGCAAGGAGGAGGATTGCATCTCAAAGCCCCTCTCCTTTTTTTTTGTCCTGGAAACACCTCTTCTGGCGTCACAGACTGTTTGGTGCCTTTAACCCTTTTCATGCCAAATCCAGTCCTTGTATTTGTAACTGTACACTGTTTTAAAGGCAGGTCTCAACCGTGATCATGAACTTGTCCATATCAGTGGGTCTCTGGGGTGGTTTACACCCACAAAACGCCACAAAAAAACAACAGTTGCTGACCAGTCTTGTGGCTTTACCTGTTAGAATGTTATGCTGTGCAAACGCAAGGCGGCAGACAAGGATGAATCAAGCATCGTAAAGGTAAAAGAGGCTTTACTTGCACATATACATATCAAGCAGGCTATACAATAGCAGAAATGCAATAGCAGGAGGTGTTGGGGCACATGGTTTGAGGATGGGGGCTGATTGTAGTGGGTGTGGGTGACTAAGATTGCCCTGGCTTCAGCCACAGTGTAGTCCTACCGTATGTATTTAATGTGTATTAGTACAGTACATTACTGTCGTCATAGGAATGTTCAGAATATGTGCAACATTTCCTCATATAATGTAACTGAGTGGACGCTTTTTTCAAAATGTCATAGAACGTCATAGTGTTGACATGAGGAGACAGAGAACCGTGGAATTGTGTATAAAAGAGTAAAATGGTGGAAAAAGAGAGAGGGAGGGAGGGAGTAGGAGAGAGGATGGAAGAGAATGAAGGCTGGATCCTCCATTTGCTTTTTTTTTCCCCTCCTACCACACCCTCTCTTTCCTCTAGCCAATCGCATTACTCCTCTGTATCGTGTTGATCCGAGTACAGTACTAACTTGCATAGATATTATCCTTTTCTCAGCTTTTCATTATGAAGGCGTTTGTACGTATTACTAATATTTAGTCCTGGAAAGGAAGCGTGAGTGGAGTTTTTCAGACGTGTTGACGCGTGTTGTCACTCAGAGTGAGCCGTCAGGTCAACGTCGGGCCTCAGCGTCACTTCACGGCCGAACCCGTTTGCATTATGCCAATCAAAATACGAGCATTAGTTAAAAGTGCTTTAATTTCCTCTCCTAATTCATACCGTGCTCTCTCGTCACATTAGCCATGGCTAAAACTGAAAGGATGTTTTCAGTCCTGGTGATGTTCAGCTGCCAGAGATGTGTTGGGATGAGCTACGCAGGACTGTGGAAGGGAAGCTGTGGAGCTTTTTCATTGTACTGACTAGGAATTGGCATTCGAACCACTGTTTTGCTGTTTATATCCCCTCATTTTTAATAAATATCATAATGAGAATATTCTGAAGGTTTAACAATGGTTTATTGTGTGCAGCCAGCATAGGAGGCCATTCGTACTCGCACTTGACACAGTTTAATTCATCTTTTTATTGTGCAAAAATGTGGGCACCCCTGGTCAAATTTCATTTTGTTTAGGTTTTTTTTAAGTGAAAATTTTTCACATTTTAATGCAAAATTACTCTTTATTTGCTGAGAAAACATAAAATGTAGCCTGTTTAAAATTTACAGCACATTTTGTATTTTATGTCTTATTTTTTTCTAATATGTGAAACTAAATTTGCAAAAAAAAAAAACCTTGTATTTAGTTTCCTTCCCTGTAGAGCATTCGTTAACATATTTTCACTTAGAAAATGACCAAAACACATGATTTGACTCAGGGGGTGTTCAAACTTTTGTATACTACAATCTGGTTAACAGTGCTTCAACATAGAACCATGAACACTCAAAGATCCATTTACATGCTTATATAGCACCAAAAAGGGTTCTTCTATTGCTACAAGCTTGACATCATAACAATAGAAGAACTCTTTTTGAATCTGCATAGAACCATTATTTCAAAAGGTTCTACATAAACCATATACAACTCACTCTCTATCAGTCAGAAGAATCATTTTACCATGCAAAGAACACTTTAAGCATGCAAATGAGTGTTCATGGTTCTATACAGACCCATTATCTTTACTAAAGAACCCTTGAAGAACCATCTTTCAGCATGTACTATGTACATGCCTTATTCAACTATCTGAGAAAGTAAACACAGATACATAATAGAGCTGTCAGACAGTTAAAATATTTAAGATTATTCATGATTAATCAAATTATTTTCAAATTATAGTAAATCATGATTTGTCTTATTTGCTCAAATTTGAACCTGAAAAAAATCATCAGACTGTATTTAATAGTTTCAGTAATTCAGAAGCTTTGTTTTCATCATGTGAACAGTTCACATGAACCTGAACTTGAAAGTCATGTGTTTTTCAAATAGTTTTCATCGCCGACCTCCAGTGAGAGCAGCAGTGTCTGCATGTTCCAACTAATGGGTGTGTGTATATATATATATATATATATATATATATATATACACACATATGTAGTGCTGTTGTTGGAAGAAAACCTTGTATCTTCTTTTTTGTCGTTTTTCAGTTGTTGACATAATTCGAAAATGCCTGTTGCTCTTTACATTGTATGTAAATTTCATGATGAATGGACCAAAAGAAACGACCCAAAATGACTTGGAAAAATACAAGGTTTTCTTCCCATATATGATTGTAGCCTCTCACTCTCAATGTGTTAAAAAATGAATGCCGTTGATAATTTATCGCATTAACTTTGACAGCTCTACTGTATGTACAGTCGTATACAAAAATTTAGGCGCCCCGGTCAACTTTTTGATTTTGCAAGTGAAAACAGGTTAATACCTCCTCTACAAAGAACACAGTTCTGCTCATTTTAATGCACAATTACTGTTTATCCGCTGAATTTACCATATTGTAGCCTGTGCAAAAGTAATGGCACACTTATTTTCACTTTGAAAACCAACAAAACGTAATTTGTATGATAGGACTGTACGATACCCATGAATTCTAATGCCCATCCCTAGTATTTACTGCAGATCCACTATAGCCTCCTAAGTGCTTTTTCCTTTGTACAAGGGGCAGCTATTTTCTTTATTGTTTGAGTCTGAATTGAGCGTCATAGTTTTGGTTTGAATAGTATTTTTGAGTCTCGAAGAAGTGACGATTTATGGAGCCAAAATCACATGGTCCACTTTCCATTTCATCTTCAATGACAAAGTACTGAATGCCTGATATTTATATTAATCTCAACCTGTATCTGTATTTGTTATCATTATTTTCACCAGTATACCATGTATCAGCACTTTTCAGATGTTTTATTGCTTTATTTCTATCAGTTTTCTTTACATATCCCATCAGTTGCCCCTCGTCAGTAGCATAGCTGCCTAATTCTGCATTTTTTGTAATATTTTGTGTGTATGACTGATTATATTTGACCATTTTTGGAAAAATATCACAATCCTTTTGTTTATTCTCGTCCTGTTTGCGGCAGGATGTAAGAAAATGACCTGTTTTTCTAGAGATTAGCATAGTGTTGGTAATGAAAGCAGGGTTGTGTAGATAATATCTCCTTAAAATGGTGTACAACTGGTAAAGATTTGCAAAAAGATGTGTGGATTTTTTTTAATCAGAGTGGAAGATATTGGAATATCTGCCCTTGTGTCATTTCTTTTAGTCGCAGCCTATTTTCTTGTTGATCTCTTTGAGATCTTTTGAATGTTATCGAACTTGTTTTGAAGTTTATTATGCTTTACGGTGCGGCCCATCCTGTCAAAAAACTGTTCTCGCTCACCAAACTCAGATTTTGGCTTTTTTAGTATTATTATTATTTTATTATTATAAGAAATCTCCCAGGTTCCGTTGGACAGTTTCCACTGCTTTATCTTCAAAATATTCATCCACATACTCTCTAAATTCTATTTTATAATGTTTTTATTTGTGTTATATTTTATTCAAAGACGACTCAAAGCTGCTAGATAAAGATGGCGTAATAAGATCGGACTGTTGCTGCAGTGACAGTGTCAGAGAACAGGTGAAAACATTTCTTTCTGCATATTATTAGCTGTAAAATAATTTGTATTTATTGTGTACAAATGTTCAATAAAAAATAAGAAAAATGTGTCTGTGGTTTTGTGTGTGTTTGGTGTATTTCCGCAGTAATTCACATTAAAATTTAAATGTTGCAGAGACATTTTTATTGTAAAAAGTAACGGATCGTTTTCGTTTCTGATGTTGAAGTGACTCTGATCAAAATTAAAAATATGCCCATTGTTATATCTGTTGTAAACAACCCTATTCGTCTCCTGTAGCACTGCCACCGTTGTCTCAACGTGAGATTTTCATATTTAAAGACTAAAGACAAGGAAAACCCCCTTCTGATGATGCATCTTGAAGGTGGGAGGAACTTTAGACAAGCAGCGAGCAATGCCAGAGTGGGCAGTCGGGAGAACTCCTGGTGGGTCAATAACATTTTGAGTGAGTTTCTATGGGGTAACACGTAAACCCACACAAATAAACATTAAAAACACTATGTTTTGAAATAATGACCTAATGGATTGGGACAGAGTTTAAGCCTAGTCCTGTACTACATAGGATTTTGAATGGGGACATAACATTATGACCTCATTGTCCATTTTATCAGCTCCACTTACTATATAGGTGCACTTTGTAGTTCTACTGTTACAGACTGTAGTCCATCTGTTTCTCTGCATACTTTGTTAGCCCCCTTTTACCCTGTTCTTCAGTGGTCAGGACCCCCATGGACCCTCACAGAGCAGGTGCTACTTGGGTGGTGGATCATTCTCAGCACTGCAGTAACACTGACATGGTGGTGGTGTGTTGGGGGGTGTTTTGCTGGTCTGAGTGGATCAGACACAGCAGTGCTGCTGGAGTTTTTAAACACCTCAGTGTCACTGCTGGACTGAGAATAGTCCACCAACCAAAAATATCCAGCCAATAGCGTCCTGTGGGCAGCGTCCTGTGACCACTGATGAAGACTAGACGATGATCAACACAAACTGTGCAGCAGCAGATGAGCTATCGTCTCTGACTTTACATCTACAAGGTGGACTGACAAGGTAGGAGTGTCTGATAGAGTGGACAGTGAGTGGACAGTGTTTAAAACTCCAGCAGCACTGCTGTGTCTGATCCACTCGTACCAGCACAACACACACTGTCACACCACCATCACATCAGTGTTACTGAAGAACAGGGTAAAAGGGGGCTAACAAAGTCTGCAGAGAAACAGATGGACTACAGTCTGTAACTGTAGAACTACAAAGTTTTCACCTTCACGTCTAGGGGGAGGGCGTCCCGATTCTTGTTGAGATGGAGGGGTAGGGCGAAGTGTTGCCCACATGTGAGCATTATCTTTGTTAAAAAAATACGATAACCACTGTATTATCTTAGTTTAATGTCGTTTCAATGTATTACGGTCCTTTTCTTCATAACTAGTATAAAAGATCACTAGTAGTGCTGATGTCTCAGTAGTTAGCTAGCTAAATTTCCCATTCCACCTTAAATGGTGCAACACTTACATTCTGGCACCTCAGGCATCAGAACCATTTAAGGTGGAACAGGAAAATTCAAACAAAAAGCTGGTGAATATCTGACTTCAGCTTCATGCCACAGAAGAATTAGGGGTGGGCGATAATAAATAATTGTCCCCCCTCTTTGAAGGCATATGATTCCCTAAATGTAACTAAAGCCCAGCAGTGAGGAGCTGAACTTTACCCTCCTCTGCTGTCACTGCAGACTGACAGGGTCGCCTACAGAGCAGCGCTGGTAGCTGTTAATGAAGTGATGCTCTTTTTATTTGAGGGCCCCATTTCAGAGGGAAGATTCAACCACTACGCCTTGTAACTCAGTTCCAAGGGGCAAGGTGACACTCAAAAACAAGGGGTAGGGGTAAAAACAAGAAATGAGATTGGGCCTTTGTGCACGCTGCTGCTGCGCTCCCAAAATTAAAGGATAATTAATATTAGAGGGTTTGAATGCATCACTCTGTACTGAAGGCACTTTAGAGATGCGCTGTGTTTTGTGTGCTGATAACAGATTTGCTGAACGGGTAGCAGTTTGGTGATTTGTTGCAAAGGTGGATTTCCTGTTGATTCTCTCCTGAAACTGTGCAGCAGGTCAGTGGAACACTCCCAAAGAGATAGTAATACATGTATGTGTGTGTGGGGGGGGTGGATCAAATTTCACACAGTGGTTTCAGAGCCTCCTGTCTGCATGTCTGCTGCTCCGCAGGGCCGAGTGGGTGGTGCTGCACACATTCCATGTAATATCAGGATAAAAGTTCTTGCCGGGAAGCGGAACACAAACAAAAGCGAGTGAGGAGGGGCAGATGGTTATTATAGCAGTAATAACCTCCCCACTACCCCAGCCTGCCTGGTCAGTCCGCAGTATACAACATGAAGACCTGAACCACCAGCCGGTCGGCCCACCTGCCTCACTGTTCCTGCAGTGCTTTTCTGATGTGGATCTGAAATTAGCATGGCGTGTGTGAAGGTTTACTTGTGCTCCAACCCAGAGGGTAGGCCTGTGTTTACTTTTTCTACTTGATTGACACGGTAGGATATGTAGTATGTAGTAAAATATGTAGTAAAGTCAGATGATTGACAGACCTAAACAGCATGAAGTTCTACTAAAATATTAAAAATGTCATTTCAAAATTAAAAATTAAGATTTCCACAAGAGCCGATATAATTATAATTGTTTAGAATATGATTAAGTGTATCATGACATATCACCACAATTTGATTCAGAATTGTTTTTAAACACTCTCAGAAAAAAAGATACTAAACTGTCCCTGGGTCAGTTCCACTCTTGTCACTGGGGTGGAACCCTCAAGGGTTCCTCTCAGTATCTTTAGTCAGGGAACATAACTGAACCATAATCCACTGAAATGATATGTTCTAAGCTGTACTGACTCCACACACCCCGTCTCGTCTCCAGGCTTTTATTTTACTGTTCTGTTTTAAAACATTCGGTTATGAAAAGGTACAAATACGAACTTTTCACCTGGAAAAACTTATTTAAGGTTCACAATCAGACCTTAAAACCACTGTTGGAGCTTTGAGGGAACATTTACACTGTTTGTACCTTGATGAACGAAAAATGTACCTGAACAGAACCTTTATTTCTAACAGTGTACACTGAAAATACACTAAATACACATGTGACTGGAGGATATTTATATTTATACTATAGAGTAATATAAATAATACATTAGAACAATAAACCAATTCATTTTTATATTTGATAGTGTTATATTTTTTATATTTGATGTTATTTTTGGACAAAAATGAGCACATACTTTATTATATTTTATTATAGTCATAATAGATCAATGCATTTTTGCGACTGTTGTTTTTCAGTAGGGTAGAAAGGGCAATTAGGTATATAAACATTCACAATCATGAGTGCTGTAACTTAACAGTGACTTGCTCTTTGTATCATCAGGATTTTTATGTGTTAACAATCACATCTGCTTACATTTTATATGATTTTATAGGATTTGGTATGACGTTGCACTGTACTGTGTTGTAGACTCTGTGGTGGAGAGGAAGTTTCTGAGAGTGAACGTGTTCCCCAAACTGAGGGACCACTGCAGACGCACGCATGGAGTGGATTTCAAGGTGAGTGACCATTTGACGCCTCTCAGCCAATCACAGCGCTATTTTCTCCATGAAGTGAAGGAAAACTGTAGCATCTCTGCAGAAATGCTAATTTCTGCTAGCCTGTCTATGGGGTCCCAGTGTTATGTTAGTGCCAAAGCTAACCATGCTGAATGATCGCTTTCCCCCACTGGCTTTAATAGACCTCTAAAGCTGTGTTGTCTTTCTGTAGTCGGCATCGTGTCCATATAAGGATCCCGTATTACTAGTTTGTTTCTTTGAGTCGTAGAATTCACACTCTTCTCCTCCCAAATGGTCCAAAATATCCATCCCATTTTTTAAACTAGGGGTGTTATATGAAACTAGGGGGCAGTGTCGAAAGATTGGGCAGTTTCCCATGTGTAGATGGATTTTGGTTGGATATTGGTTCACATCACCAGACTAAAGTGGCACGAATCCCATTTTCCTTAATGTGACACAGATCGGATGTTTTCAGAGTGTACAAGCAAATCTGATTTTTTCAAATCAGATCTAGGCCACTTTCACATGTGGTCTGAGACTGAGTACACATCCAATTCAATCCAATCCAGTAGAGATAATAATACAGGTGTGAGGGACGGATCAGATTCCACACAGTGGTTGCAACCTCAATGAGAACCAATCAGATCGGAATTCATGTGTTTTTCACTGTGTGTGCACATTCAGTCATTCAGTGTTAGACAGATTAGTGACAGTTTTGATTCATTTTCCAGCCCTACATGAAAGTGAGTCAGAGCTAGTAATATAGAATTGGAGCAAAAAGTAAGAAATCAGACTTGTTCGTAAAACATTGCCCGAATGTTGCGGTGAGAGTGTTCTTCCTTTGTTATCATGCAGCATTGTGTGAATGTTTTATAGAAGAACATGCTATAATCTGTTACCTCAACATCCCTAGAACATCCACGTTAGAACATCCAACGTTCTGCCTTTGTTAGCATATCACATTATAGGAACGGTTTTATAAATCATTCTGTCATCTCAGGCCTCAATAACATCCATAAAACCTTTTCCAAATGTTGCATTGAGAATGTTCTTCCTTTGTTATCATATAATATAATCTGTGGCCCTGATAACAACCTAAAAACATCCTCTGAATGTTGCAGTTAAAAAGTTATTAGTTAACCTTATAGGAACATTTTTTGAAATGATAAACATCCTTAAAATGTTCTATGAACTTTAGATTAAAACATTTTCTTTACAAATATTTTAGAACGTGTATGTAATGTTAGCTGAAGTCGTGAGAACATTTCCTGCTAGCTGGGACTTCACAGTATATGGTTATGCTAACAGGCTTAGTCTACTCAGGGATCGATAACATGTGGCTCCGGAGCCACATGCAGCTCTTTTACTGCCCTGTTGTGGCTCCACAGCAGAATTAGATTCGTAGGTAAAAATAAAATAATCCTCCTTTACAGTAAAATAAAGCTCTGCTGATCGTTCAACACAGTTTAACAATAAATGGTCTTAAACTCTGGAGTTAATGTAGAACTGCTAATTCACCCTTTAAACCTGAAGGTTGGCGCACAGACTGCTGGTCACCGTAGCAGCGCAGACAACAATCTTGCCTAACTAGTAGCTAAAGAAAAGCTAAAGAGAGAGATTTAAGATGAACATCGATAATTTGGAGACGAATGAATTTATTTGCATTTATAATCACTCCATCTGGTTTCCTGATACGTTTAATCTGCAATGAGAAACTGGCAAACACTAAAAAGTCACTAAGCTGAAGTCGCTTCTCACTCGCCAGCTTCTTGTTCGAATTTTCTTGTTCCGCCTTAAATGGTGCAGCAGTCACATTCTGGCCCCTCAGGCATCATTTAAGGTGGAACGGGAAAATTCGAACAAGAAGCTGGAGAATGAGAAGCGACTTCAGCCTCGTAAAATGTTGAACATTGAAAGTTTCCTGCTGGAGATGCGAGAAAAGCGGCTATAGCTGAGCTAAAGCTTAAAGCAGAGCAAAGTAAGTCTGTGTTTTTGTTTATGTTGAATTAATTTTTTATCCTGTACTAGTACATCAGCACATACTGAGACATATTTATAGCCAAGATGGTAAAATGGACATTAAATGTTGTGGCTCCCAAGGTGGATTGATATTTGCTGAAAGGACAAAATGGCTCTTCTTAACATTTGGGTTATGACCGCTGCACTCGTTGTTTCCTACATGTTTATTAAGGATACTAAAAATTCAGTACAAAGCGTTTGGTTCTTCGTAGCAGTGCTAAAATAAACAGGTTTGTTTAAGAGACGTTCCATCTAGTGACAAAATAAATGCTTACTTGTAAATTGAAGGCAAGAGAACAGTGGTTAACAATCACAGGAGCTCATTACTGATATCATGTTGGTTAAATGCTGTTATTTCTTATTGGAGTTAATGGACCAGTTTATTTTTGAATAATAAAATGTTTTTAATTGAGCTCCTCTGTGCTACTGATTGTTTTAATCTGTTAGCACAAGTGCAACAGATGCTACCAGGTTAGTATAAGGATGTTGTTTAGATTTGTGGCAAAGATACATTTTATTTCAAGCTATGTTTGTTTATGTTATGTTATGTTAATTTCAAGTTATGTTTATCTGACAGCATAAATATAGATATATCAGCTGAGAGTATTTTCCAGGAGCTTTTCTTTGTTTATTTTCTGAGGCTGGAGCCTTTCTGTCTAAACATTTCTACATTTTAATTATTAAAGTCAAACAGGTTCAGACCGACACTACAATGGTCTCTTTTAGGGCACCACATGGGCAAATAAACAAAGGAAACAAAAGAAGCTTCATATGACAAGTACTCATTGTGGTTGTAATGCTTTTAATTTACTTAGTGCAATCTATGCATCGTTTCCACATGAATAAAATATTGCATCACAAGACTAAGAAGACAGTAAGAAAATAAAGGAGAAAACCGTATGGACATAACATGTTTTATTCATGCGGAAATGATGAGCATTTGATTGAAGTCAATTCACTGCCTCACTCTTTATCAGTGTAGAATAAGCTCAGTATTCACCATCCATAAGGCGGAATATGTATGGTCCACTCTCTGCAGGTCATTGACCCCTATGAGGGGATGGACTCAGGTAGCTGGCCAACGCAGAAGGTGCGACTGCAGTTAATTGAAGAGTGCAGGCTGAATTCGCTGGGGCCTTTCTTTGTGGTATGTGTTTAACTCATGCTTAACTCATTCTAATTCAAGTGGATTTTTGCATGTGTTATGTCCACGTTGTGCATTTGCTCAGATGTAAAAATGTGTTATGGTCTGGTGAGATCAAGGTTTAATGTTTTGATCATAATTCCAAAAGGTATGTTTGGTGAAACAAAACACAGCACTTCACCACCCATGGTGAAGCATGGTGGTGGCAGCATCATGATTTGGAGCTGCTTTTCTTCAACTGTAACTGGGGCTTTAATCAAGATGAAAGGAGTCATGAAATGCTCCAAATATTAACAAACTGCTATATATATATATATATATATATACATACATTTTCTCAGTGAAAATAAGATACAACTTTGGGCTTCATTCAGCAATATCTTCCTAAGTTTGTTCTTAAGTGTGTTCTTGAGAAAGGTTCTAAGTAATCTACGTGAGATTCATGACGTGTTCTTAAATCCCAGAATTGTCCACACCTTTGTGCTCTTGAATGTGTGTAGATTGTGTGTTCTTACCTGAGAACAAATCCCCAAATCCCAAATAAGAAAATATTGGTGAATGTCATATTAATAATAATAATAATAATAATAATAATAATAACTTATTTATATAACACTCTTACATGATACATGATATGGAAACAGTAGTACAAAGAGTTAAATAACGTAAAATTCCTAGCATGAGCTTATGAAATGGGTTTGAAAGGTAAAAATGACAATGTTTAAAAACAACACAGGCATTAAATTAGTTTTTAAAAATGCAGTGAAGAAAAGTAGAATAAAAGAACATTTCATAACAATAGACAAGATAAGCATCTGTACAAAGCTCAACCTTCTCTATGCACAAAATGTCAAATGTAACTAGTGAAATTCTATGAATGTATTATAACAGGGCAGATGTAGTTTATTTCGAAAGTCCATAATCAAAGCATTTCTGACTCGCTGATCTGTTCCTCTGTCTCTGTGTGTGGTCTGTCAGGGCCTGGTGGGTGAAGAGTATGGTGCTGCGTGTTTACCTGAGCAGGTGGAGCTCTCTGAGTTTCTTATGTTACTGCAAGTGTGCCAGCAGATGGGCTTCAGCTGTGATATCCTGGAGAAATGCTACAGGAGAGATGAGAACACTGTGCCCCCCTCGTTCTGCCTGCTCAGCCAGGTAAGAGCCTTCAGAGATTTAGAAGAGTTTTAGTAGAGTTGCTTTTAAATGATCAAAGTCTCATTTCTCACATACGTCATGTCCACAGCCAGCGCGGTCAGTGGAAGACGGTGACTGGCATGATGTGCTTGTGAAAGGGAGGAAGATCATACGTGATGTTGTGACACAGTGTGTTCTGGAGGGTGACATCCACCCAGAAAAAGCTCAGAAATATTTCAGGTCCAGTAAGTATTTGTTTGCACCATTCTTGTCTTACATACATACATCATCTAAACCGCTTATCCTTCTGGGTCGCGGTGGGGTGCTGGAGCCTATCCCAGCTGTCATTGGGCGGAAGGCAGGATACACCCTGGACAGGTCGCCAGTCCATCGCAGGGCAGACAGACATACATATACAATCACACACACATTCACACCTAGGGGCAATTCAGCATTTCCAATTGGCCTGACTGCATGTCTTTGGACTGCGGGAGGAAACCGGAGTACCCGGAGGAAACCCACGCAGACACGGGGAGAACATGCAAACTCCACACAGAAATGACCCTGGTCGACCGGCTGGGAATCGAACCCAGGCCCTTCTTGCTGTGAGGCGACAGCGCTACCCACTGCGCCACCGTGCCGCCCCATTCTTGTCTTATTTTATATGATATTGTAGATGATATTTTAGATTTTAGTTGAGATTTTAAGATGAAATAACACCTTTCTGCACTCATTCAAACATCATTTTTAAGTAAATCAATCCATTGCACTCTTCATTTAATTTAATGTTTGCTTATTTGAAATTTGTAAGGGACAATCCACTGGTTTTCCAAAATTTCAGCACAAATCAATAGTTAGGATGTAATCAAAGTCATTCAGAGTGGGTTGATGTGAAATTCTCTATTCTAGAGAAACTTACCAAGCCAAACTTATTCACAGTGGCGGTGAATGGAGCCAGACATCTGAAGAGTTTAATGCCTCTAAAAGCTCCCTCACAGAAAGTTATTGCATTATATGGTTATGAATTCACTTCAAGATCAGATTTTAGCCAAAAATGTATTTTATTAAGTGTAGTAATTGCGGAGAGGTGCACGCAGGGTGTTGTGAGGCAAAATAATCCCCAAATAAAATCTTTTCCTTTCAGATTTTACACTATTTTAACATCATCAACATTCCATATGAAAACTCGGAAGACACAGGTTCACTGGAGGTTTTAGATAGTAAATAAAATTATATTGCTTTATTGTGTTCTAGACATTGTGACTCCTGGTTCCTATCACCACCACTGTAAAGAAATCTGAGTCTGTAAAGCTACATTCACATTACAAGCCTCGTTGCTCAAATCTGATCTTTTGCTCAAATCTGATCTCTCTGACACGATGGTTCACACTCGTTTAGGTATGTGACTCAAATCTGTCATTAATGTGAACGAACCAGCGTCCTGAAATGACCCTCATGAGCTCATCCTACTCAGTAACGTCACGTGAATGAATCACGTTCATCATCAGCACAAACTAACGAGCAGAACGAGCTTCACTGTGAAGATCATTAACTCTGATCAGCTCTCAGCTTCATTATTAGAGCAAGACGAAGGAGAAAAAGGTGAGATGAGCTGCTTTTCCACCGTTTACAGGCTTTAACTTCTGTTCGGCGCTGCTGCCATGGTAACGCTGAATGATGGCACACGCACAGTGGGGGAAAGCACATGAATTCCGATCTGAGCGTCACGTTAAGGTCGCACGGCCACAAAACGGATACGTATCCGATCTAAGACCACATATGAAAGTGGCTCAGGTTGGATTTGAAAAGATCAGATTTGTGCCACTTCACCCTGGTAATGTGAATGTAGCCTAAGCTACGTTCACATTAAGCTATTTAACATCAAACCACTCTGAATGACTGTGTTTACATCTCAACCACTGAATTATGCAGAAATTTTGAAAAATTTGTGGAATTTCTCTTTAGGCAGATTGACCTGCAATAGTGCTCTAATCATTTAAGTCATACATTTTCTAATGCCTAAATTATCCAACTTTTAGGTCTTGAGAATGACCTCCGCTTCACACTGGAAGGTCGTTCGCCTGCAGATATCAAGAGATGTCTTTGTTATGTTAATAAAACAGCTAAAGAAGCTGACCAGAAGAACAAAGGAAATGAACCACATTCAGGTTTCCAGGCACCTTCAGTCCGACCTTCAGACCTCCACTTCGCACTGGAAGGCCGTTCACCTGCAGATATCAAGGGATGTCTTTGTTATGTTAATAAAACAGCTAAAGAAGCTGACCAGAAGAACAAAGGAAATGAACCACACGCAGGTTTCCAGGCACCTTCAGTCCGACCTTCAGACCTCCACTTCGCACTGGAAGGCCGTTCGCCTGCAGATATCAAGGGATGTCTTTGTTACGTTAATAGAACAGCTACAGAAGCTGACCAGAAGAACAAAGGAAATGAACCACACACAGGTTTCCAGGCACCTTCAGTCCGACTGAGGCAACTGCTTGATGACTTCCTACCAAACATGGTCCGAACACAAAGGGCCCTCGTCTACACCACCACCACAGAGTACGATGGTCAGCAAAGCTATGCGGAAGATTTAGGCCATCAGCTCTACTCAGATCTTCAGAAGCTCATAGACCGCTCTGTTGTGAGGGAGAAAGATCAAACACATGATGTATTATCCCAGCAGAGAGACCTGTGTCACACCTTTTCTTGTCTCTACAAAATCGAGCGAGAGGAGGTCACGCATGTCAGAGCTTACTTGGAGCAGGACACAAAACATCCATTCATTCTGACTGGTGGTCCATGCACAGGCAAAAGTGTGTTTTTGGCTCACTGTGCAAATCAGGTATGCTTTCAACTGACCTATTCGTTTTCTGCCCACAAAATGTTCTTTCATAGCAACCGTTGCCAGGTTGGACAGGCTTTACAGAACACTGACAAAAATCCTATTAAAACTAATGAGAAACTGCAATATCCCTTACTGAAAAAAACAGCTAAGACCAGCTTTTGATAGTAGCTGGTTTTAGATGGTGTAAACAGGTGTTTGATCGTCATCAGGCTAGATAAATGATGATCTAAGCTTAGTTAAGCTGTTTAAGTTGGTAGACCAGCTTGGTCATGCTGGTCAACCAGCTTAGCCAAGCTGATCATTTTGGTCCATTAACTTAATCATGCTGGACATGCTAGTCAGCCAGCCTGGTCATCATGCTGGACACGTTGGTCAACCAGCTTGGTCAAGTTGGTTATGCTTGCCAACTGTCTTGTCATACTGGTCATGCTAAACATTATGTCATACTGGTCAGCAGCTTGGCCAAGCTGATCATTCTGGTCAACCAACTTGGTCATGCTGGACATGCTAGTCAACCAGCCTGGTCATGCTGACATGCTGGTCCACTAGCTTGGTTCAGCTGGTCATGCTTGCCAACTGTCTTGCCATACTGTTCTTGCTGGTTAACAAGTTTGGTAAAAGTTGTCATGCTAGTTGACTAGCTTGGTTAAGGTGAATTGCTGGTCAAACAGCTTGGTCAAGCTGGTGATTGTGGTCAATCAGCTTGGTCAAAGATGTCATGCTGCTTGATCAGCTTGGTCAAGGTGATCATGCTGGTCACCAAGCTAAGCTGGTCTACCAATTTAAATAGTTCAACCAACTGGAGTGGACCAAGCTGTTTTTTAGCAGGGAACTAATTTGTTTGTCACAATATTTAAATGTAAAGTATGTTATTCATTTAAAAAGGTCTTCTTTTGTATGCATGTTATAGATCAGATGTAGTTTTTTGTCATGTATTCTGTAAACCTTGTCCAACCTGCCAGCACTTGCTATTTAAGAACTTATATGAGGGCGGAGCATGTACATAGACTACTTAGGTTTTTCTGTAGATCAAAGGTAGCCGGTGCTCATTTAAGATGCAAGTTCAAACAAGTTGTAAGTAATAAGATATCTTCTATTTCAGATAAAAACATGGATGAAGGACCAGGATCCCGTGGTTATTGTGCAATTTTCAGATTTGAACAGCTCTTTGAAACAAAGTCTCAGCAGCATATGCCATCAGCTTGCTTTAAGCTACAATCAGCCATACAACATCTGTCCCAAGGACATATTTGAATTGAAAGAAACTTTCAACAATCTGCTGACCACAAGCTCATTGTCCTCAAATCACCTGATCCTTATTATAGATGGACTTGACCAAGTGCCTAATACAAATGTACCACTAGACTTGACCTGGCTTCCCAAGACTTTACCCTCTAATGTAAAGCTTTTCATCTCTTCTACACCAACAAAGTCTGGGTTGCTCTCAGCACTCAAGGGATGTTACCCCGAGTCTTCCTTTTTCTTCGAGTTAGAACCATTAGATAGTAAAAGCTGCAACCGGATGCTGAAAACTCTCCTCCTCTCAGCTAACAGGAAGATAACATCAGGTCAGCAGATGTACGTAAATCAAGTCTTTAAGAAATGTTCTCTTCCCTTGTATATGGAGCTCCTACACAGACAAGTGTGTTGCTGGGGCTCAGAGTTAGAGATTACCTCTGAAACGTTGGTGCCAGGGGTCCATACCAACATTGGTCGGTTTTTAGACCACCTTGAGGAGAAGCACGGAAAAGTGTTAGTTAGCAGAGCGGTACAATGTCTCACCCTGTCCAGACATGGTTTGACAGAAGCTGAGCTGACTGATATTCTTTCCTGTGATGATGAGGTTCTATCAACTTTCATTCCAGTGGATTACGCTGTGCCGTATAAGTTAAGGGTTCCGGAAGTTGTGGTGGAGAGGCTACTGTTAGACCTGAAAGGATTTCTAATGGTAAGGAGAACTTCAGGCACCAAGACATTGTTCTGGGTCAGCAGACACTTTAACTTAGTGATCTGTAAAAGGTACTTGTCTTCAGACGAGCAAAAGAAAATGCATACCTTGTTGGCGAACTATTTTAGTGGCCGGTGGTCATGTGGTACAGCTAAGCCATTGATCATCATTGGAAGGTCTAGCATGAAAATGCTTAACCCCAACAAAGATTTGAAGATTTATATGGACAGGCAGGTTCCTGGGCAACCTTGGATGTTTCAACCCCTCACATCCATTCTTCCTGCGTGCGATTCATCCGAGAATGCACATCCCAATCTGAGAAAACTGCAGGAGCTGCCTTTCCATCTAATGCAGAGTGGCAGTATTGAGGAGCTTGGTCACATTATGCTCTCACAAGAGTTCCTTCATGCAATGTTCCAAGCAATGTTGGCAGAAGAGTTGATATTTTGGCTAGAGAAGACATCTCAGAAAGTATTTCCCAGGGAACTTAGACTTCTTGCTACGATCCTGAAAACCTCGACCTGTTGGCCGAAAAACTCCTTTGAAGACTTAGCACTGATAATGCAGACCAAGCTGTTCCCTTTCATAAATGTTTTCCCTGAGTTAGAGAAATTTGTCCACCAGGCAAGACATGACGGTAGCATGAAAAGCACTGGGGTGAATACAATATTATTCCCAACATCCTCTGTGCCTGCCACTCACTGGGTACCACCAGAGGCAGATGTATCCCCAATTATAAAGGCAGCTGTATCTCAGTTTGGGTCTGCGGTGGTGATTCGGGACAATGGTTCTGCCTGGGTCTGGAATGGAAGTGATTCAGAAGGTTTCAGACTCTCCCAATCTTCTGAATTCCAGTTTGCGGATGTTAGATGCTCTGCAAATGTATTTGTACTCTCCACACAGAGTGGCAAATTCCTTTTATGGGACACCAATGCTCCTTCACATCTCCAGGAAGTTCAGACCGAATGCACAGAACAAGGCCAGAACACCATTGAAGGTATCTTGGTGTGCAATGGCAAGATATTTGCGTTCTCCCATGGAAGGAGATTCATCAGGGTGTTTGCTGAGGGAATAGAAGTTACCCCATTGCAGTGCTCCTCTGAGGTAACATGCATGTCATGTTCTGAGGATGGCCACTTGATTTTTTGTGGTCAGAATGAGGGTACCGTGAGTATATTTGACTCCCAAACTGGCCAACCATTGGCCTCCTTCATGTGTTCAACAGGAATGTCCTTGTTTGATCTTATCTTCCTTGAAAATGGAGAGACAATAACATGTGTTGACAGTACCGGAAGTGTGTTTGTATGGGACCTTGAGATGATAACCAATCCAGTACTCATTAAAGAGAGCTTGAGTTGTACCAAGGAGGAAGTGTTAAGTACCGACCACTCTGAGAACAACCTTCTCCTCATCTGTAAAAGACATCAGATCCAAATAATTGCTGGATATGTTTTAGATGTAGTAGACAAGTTCAATGCACTGAATGGCAAAACCTTTGTGCAAGCCATTTTGGATCCTGATGCACACTTCATCTTTGCTTTAATGAATGACTGCCCATTTCTTTTGGTCTGGAACAGGGTCTCGGGTCAATGCATGTTAAGCCTAGACACTAGAAGCACCCAAGCTTTCAAACTTACAAAGCTCAGGGACTTTCCTTACCTTACAGCTGTCACAAGCAGGGGCATTGTTAGTTGGGACATGGATCTCATTTCGGTGGCAGCTTCCACTCCAAAATCTGATGCAAAAGTGGTGAAAGTTGTTGTGGAACCCCTTGGGGAACACTTCTACACTGCAGATGGTTCTAAGCTGGTGTGGAGGTGGACAGTGTCAGATGGAAAACTGGAGAGCCACTTGCTTCACCATGGTCCTGTGGAAGCCATGGTTCTCTCGGTTGATGGTGCACACTTGGTGACCATTGCCTCAGGTGACATTTACGTCTGGAACACCTGTACAAAGGAGAACGTTCACAGAATCTGTTTTAGCCAAGCATCTCAGATACTGCTAACTCCAAAAGGCAACTTTGCAGTGTCTCTATCTGAAACGGGTATATCGCGGGTGTGGAAGTTGTGCAGCGGACATGTGATTTGCAGCATCCATCATCATCTCAGAGATGCTGTCATCTCACCAGAAAGTACTTTCCTTCTGGGCATCAATGGAGGGGATCTCCTGGCTGTGAGTCTTTGGTCTGGTTACATCAGCAAACAGTTCTCCAGTTGTGAATGGTCAGAGGTTGTGGCCTTCCTCCCATTGTCAGATCATCCAGACTATGTGATTGTAATGACCAGTTCAGGAGCATTGTACTCATGGAAGCTAACGGAAGAGACCGTTTGCCACCAGTTCCAGTTCCCAGAGTCTTTTAAGTATCCACGACAGTTCCTCAAGCTCTCATCTGATGGAAGTTATGGCATTGTATCTGTAGCTGAATCCAAGATAAACATCTTGGACGTGTACCATGGCAAACTGTGCTCTTTGAATGCTGAGGGACAAGTCTGCCAATCGTTTGTAGACATTAGTCGTAAATATGCAGTCTACGTCTGCAACCCTTCAGTGAGGTGTCAGAATTACTCTTGTGACTTCCATAACAAGGAGGTCTTGGTTGCCATACGAGTAACAGATGGGAAGAGAGTGAGCAAGTTCTACCTCTGTAAAACCCCCTCAGTTGTAGTTCTTTCTGAGGAGTTACATGTGTATGTTGGCTTTGAGGATGGCTCTGTTGGAGTGTATGCTATTAATGACCCGGATGGCGACACCATTTCCAGGCCCAAATGTGAGAGCTTGGGACTGGTGTGTCCATTTGATGAACCTGAGATTTGGCCAAGCTTGGCAAACCCTGACTTTACTTGGGTGGAAGTGGCCTCTGAAAGAATGTAAATGTGTTTAACATTATCACACCAGTTACATTGTAATTTACCATGAGAACAATAAATTCATGTATTTCACGTTTTAAATTATATACAGGACTCTGCAAAAGTCAGAGATCACTCTTCATTTATTTAATTTTTTAGTGCAAAAGATCATTAAGTATAAATTAGAGTATCAGTACCTACAACACTTGCTTTTGTCATGTTAAGGGTTCATTTGCTAATATTTAAAATTATGATACAGGAATACAAATTCATTTCAAAAGGTACCACACAGTACCAAGTGCATTAGACAGTATTTTGGCTATTTTAATACATGTTCAAATGTTTTTGATAAATATATACATTTATTTTTGTATGGTACATTTCTATGTGTAACATTCCCCATACATTGTAAAGTATATATACACCAGTCAGGCATAACATTATGACCACCTCCTTGTTTCTACGCTCATTGTCCATTTTATCAGCTCTACTTACTATATAGGTGCACTTTGTAGTTCTACAGTTACAGACTGTAGTCCATCTGTTTCTCTGTATACTTTGTTAGCCCCCTTTTACCCTGTTCTTCAGTGGTCAGGACCCTCATGGACCCGGTGTATTTTGAAATATATTTGGTTAACATGGCAATATATTCTGAAACACATTTTAGTGGTTGTATTGTATTTCAGCATGTGTTTGAAATGTATTTCAAATATATTAAAACATGTCCATATATATTTTTTTCCATATGGTTTCTTTTCAGAAGACTCACTTGCAGTTTTTTAAAGAAATCTTCAGGGGTTTTTTTTCCACACCTCCAAAGTTCCTCAGTAAGTTGGTTGCATTTTCTGCTTCCCGCAATCCAAATAGTCCCAGATCCCAAAAACCAGCCAATAACATTTTAGCCACCACAATAAAGCAATATCTATATGACCTTTCTCAGGACTTACTGGCTGTCACTAATATAACGGCAGGTTATATTAACACCCATAGCAGCAACATTGTAGCCGAGGCTTGTTTTGAGGGGGAATGGGGGGTTGCCATCCCTCTGGTCAAAATACAATAAAAAAAAATGAATTGCCCTTAAATATATTTAAAGACAATTTTGTCTCATTCATAATTGAAATCTCAGATTTACACACCAAGCTGACTTGGATCATCCTTGGATCCTTGAAGTTGACGCCTTAAGCCAAGTTGTCGTTTGAAGATACAAAACTCCTTGAAAGTCATTTAAGGTTCAACCACTGTCTGTAGCTGACCAGGATCTGTAAGTGGGAGATATATTTAAAATGTACTACTAATGCTAGGATTTTTTTTCTTTTTCAATTTATTCTGTAATATTGGATTGAATAATAATAATAAAATAATCTGTAAACATATTTGTAGCACAACAGGAGGAACACTAGAGGAATGCTATCCTCTGAACAGGCCTGCCACAATATTTTATATCAATTTCCTTTAATGGATGTACAGTTTTTAATTTATTGTCCAGTACGCCACCCCAACAGCTCATAAGGTAGCACTGTAAAGAAGGCCAGTTTTAGGTATATGTGTTCATGTCAAGTGGGACATTTATGCTTAGTCACACTGTGCTTTGTTGCTTTTGTCAGCCAATGACAACAAATGTTACTTACATGTTATAGTATGAATGCTGGATATGAATAAATGCTGTGTCGAGTATGAATAAAGGTTTTGATCACTGTGACGTTACAATATGGGTCTGAATTTTTAAAATAAAACTCATTTAAAAAGTAAGAAAGGTAAGAACTATAATTTATAATTAATTATAATTAATTATGTTATAATTAATGCCTAAGGAGCCTCAAATATGACATTTTGATTATTCTTTAATAAGGCATGGCCATGAATTACTATATTCAGACCACAAGTTAAGTTTCTCAACTCGTGGCCTCAATATATTAATTTGTGGCCTTAGTTTAGTTCATTTGTGGCCTCAATATATTAATTTGTGGCCTCAATATAGTGACTTTTTGCCTCAATGTAGTAACTTGTGGGCCCAATATATCAATTTGTGGCCTCAATATATTAATTTATGGCCTCAATATAGTAACTTGTGGCCTCAATATAGTAACTTGTGGGTTCAGTATATTAATTTGTGGCCTTAGTATAGTAATTTGTGGCCACAATATACTAACTCATGGCCTCAATATAGTGACTTTTTGCCTCAATGTAGTAACTTGTGGCCTCAATATATTAATCTGTGGCCTCAATATAGTGACATTTTGCCTCAATGTAGTAACTTGTGGGCCCAGGATATCAATTTGTGGCCTCAGTGTAGTAATTTGTATCCTCAATATAGTAACTTGTGGCTTCAATATAGCTACCTATGGCCTCAATATAGTAAATTGTGGCCTCAATATATTAACTCAAGGTCTCAGTATAGTAATTTGTGGCCTCAATATATTAATCTGTGGCCTCAATATACTAACTCACAGCCTCAGTATATTAAGTTGTGGCCTCAATATCGTAAATTGTGGCCTCAATATATTAATCTGTGACCACATCTTATTAAAAATAATCACTATGTCACCATACTGGCTCCATAAATACCACATTTATTAGAGAAATGTTTTTTTCAGCTGTTATTCTTTTCAAAATTGCAATAAATTAATATACAGCTTTTTGAAATGAAACTTCACATTGAAAAAACTACAACTAAAAAGCTGCATCCAGAAGAACTACAGCAAAAAAAAAAAACAACGAAACAGTACAAAAAAACTACAACTACCACCAGCCCGAGGATGCCGAGCGGAAGCGCTTGTGTACTATAAATGAATTTCCGCCTTCCTGAGCGGTCCTTTCCTGTCTGCGGCCTACGGCAAAATGGCGGTGCAGATTTCTAAGAAGAGAAAGGTGAGCGCGATTCCTTCACACTTTACAGCGGAATCAGGGCGAATTATCGTCAAATAACGACCCGACACGCTAAACACGGTCCTTAACTGCAGATCTGGGCTTTGATGCGGCTGCTGCGTCCAGGTTTTCGGGTGGATTGTGTCGGATTAGTCGGTCTGCGTCTCCGCTGTAAATCATGGCCGGTCTGAGCTGAGGAGCCTCACGAGTCTGGGTTTCGCTCTGAAATAACCGCTTTGCTCGCTCGTTTGGTCCTGAATCCGCACATTTTAGGTGACTTTTCCTCTCGTGAAGCGAGCTGTGGGCTGGATAAAGCCGTATAGCGAATGACGCGAGTCTAGCTGATGTACCCAGACGATCCTGTGAGCCTTAGCAGGCGGAGATGCGACCAATTTCCCCTAAATATTCTGTTAAACTTAACGGCGAAGCGTGAAAAGTGTTTACAGGACTGTAAATAATGTCCGTTCTGCCTCTGACTCCGCCTGACTGCCTCTCTGCCTCTGCCTGGCTTGATGTATGAACTGACATGTTCGTCCTGTGTAATGCTAAATGTGGAGGTGGGACGAGTAGCGATAATATTATCAAAAAATATGGTTAATTTAATGAAATAATGGCTCCAGTAAAAGCACCTTCCTATAGAAACAGCCTGAGTAGGAGGCCAGTAAACCACTCAAGCCCTGGGCTCTCTAGAAGACCTGCAGTGGCACATCCAGCATGTGTCTATATAGAAGTTGGTCAGGCTGTTTTCTTCTGTTGATGGATTTTCTGGTATAAAATAAAACCACAAACCTCAAAAGTCTGAGCTGTCAGCAGCTTAACTGCAGACCAGCAACATAACTGAATGCAGTTAAACACAAATTAGTAACTAAAGGTTAATGACTAAAATAACTGAGGTAGATTAATTTGCTCGCTGCTGTATTTAAGTAAAAGTACTGTTTGAAAATAAGTACAAATCTGTCCAGAAATAAATCTAAATGTTAGAGATGCATCAGTATTGGCACTGAGGGAAAGTGCTGATATAACCTACAAAATGTATTTCTTGTGCAATTGTGTCAATTCTGACAACATAAGTACTTATAAAAATGTATAAAAGTAGATGCAGCTTGACTTGCATTTGCAGAGAAATGTGATGTATAGATAGATGCTTTATTGATCCCGAAGGAAATTTAGCAGCCAGTATCAGTCATAGTTATAATACAGCACAGTTATAATAATAAGGGTGGTATATATGAAAAGAATATATACAAAAAAATCATCTACAGGCATATATACAACTAGAAATATACAAAAATAGGCAGTAAGATCTATCCTGAGATAAAAAGGCAGTGCAATAATGAATTTGCAAGGAGATGCAGGTGACAGCATATAATGACAATACTGAATATGTGCAGATATTAGTACTGAAATAAAGTGTCCAGGTGTGCAGAAAGTGCAATATGTACAGTAAGGTGTCCGTATGTGAAGATGGATAAAATAAACCTATGATTTAGCATAAGAGATTCAGTCCTCATCTCTCCTCTTCTCTCTTCTGACCCCACTGGAAAGAGTTCAAGAGCCTAATGGCTCTAGGACCTAAGGGTCTCCTGTATATCTGTCGTGTTACGAATGCAATAAAATGCCGTTTTTAGCGCAGCTTTCCAGCGTCTCCGGACGTTATGCTTTTCCAGGGTACAGTAAATATATCAAATATTGCTTTGGAAGTATTGCTCAAATCTAATCATATGTCCAATGCAGGTAATTTAAGTTATATGTTGACAACGATATGATTCTGCAGTCAGAATGTGCTGCAAAAAAAGGTTTAGGTGTCTTTAAAAAGTAAGTAACTGCTGCTGTAATTGAGTTCCTTGAACTTCTAATACTAAGTTACAGAACAACATCTGTAATGTTTTGTCTTATTTTTGCAGTCAACTCAATTATATTGCAGAATTTTTTGGTTTGTCCGTCTGAATTTACATGACCAAATCGTAAGGCAAATTATTCAGTAACTGCATGAAATAAATGTAAAATATTTAATTTTTTTTGTAAAAGCTCCCTTTAAATTAACAGAACGTGTTTTATGATCTACACATATTGCTATATGCTTACAATTTACTGCTAAAAGCCAAAAATCTTAGACACTCTTTGTATTTTTTTATAAAAATAATTTTTACAGAGCAGATCACTGAAGAGACGCCATCTGTTTATAGTTTACAGCCCAGATTTGTGGAAAAATGGGTCGACTTTCAGTAGACAAAAAAAATTGAGTTCAGCTTTTCTTCTTATAAGGGTTTAAAATGACATCACCCATCTATTTGACTGGAAAGAAGACAGTTACAGCTCTCATACGACCCCCACCTTTAGCATGTAGCTTATGAAATAAGGAAGTTATGAAGAATATGACTGCGTTTTGGAACCACCGGTGGTCTCAAGGACTTGAAGAGGTTAAATGTTATGTGCAGTTTTAAGTGTTTAATGCAGATCTGTAAAGCTTATGTTCTGCCTTTAGTTTGTCTCAGATGGCATCTTCAAAGCTGAGCTGAACGAGTTCCTGACTCGTGAGCTGGCCGAGGATGGGTACTCCGGTGTGGAGGTCCGAGTCACACCAACAAGGACAGAGATCATCATCCTAGCCACCAGGTACGTTTGAAGTAGGAGGCACTCCAAGCTTAGTTACTGGTCATTCTGTCAGTGTTTTTATGTCTGAAAAGTGTGTTAGGACTAAAGTACCTGGACAAGGAGGTTATAAGCAGTGTAACTGTCTGTGCAGGACCCAGAATGTCCTGGGAGAGAAAGGCCGTCGCATTAGGGAACTGACTGCTGTCGTCCAGAAGAGGTTTGGGTTCCCAGAGGGCAGCGTGGAGGTAAGATCACGTCGTGTGTGTCAGAATGCAGTTCTAGCCAGGCGTCCATCCAGCTTTCGCACTGAATTCCAGCAAATAACTGAAATGTTCCCAAAATGTTTTGCATTAGGCTGTTTCCATCTGTTCTGTGCTGTGTATGTCAAACTTGCAAAAACACCTGAGAAAGTTGGAGTGAGTTTACAGAGAAGGCTTTAATGTTGGGCAGCTTCACTTTGCAGTTTTAATTTTAAGGCTGTATTTTATATCATGAGTGCAGAGGTGACTAACATTGGCTTTGGAAACCAATAGCATGAAGCATAAAGCTGTGTTTTAGTTTCATTAGGTTGTTGGTACATACTCTGTACTGTTGTCATGTTTTGTAGCTTCTGCTGAGCAAAAATAGGAAAACTTGATCAGTCTTCAAACTTTATTCTGTTCTCATTCATTAGTTATGCTAGTTGTCATCTGAGTTTATCACTTATTTTGTTGGCAAAAAAGATTTCACTTCAAGCAAGCAAGCGTGTGAAGTTTCATTAGGTGCCATTAAACACCACTTCATTAAGCACATGAAAACATGGCTCGTATGCTTCTATATACACAGTCCATTATCAATAGGGCTGCACTGTATATAGAAAACTAGCGTAAATAATGAATGAGAATAGAATAAAGTTTGAAGACTGAAGTTTTCTGTTTTTCTGTGTGTATCGCTGCTGTCGGGGAAAAAACCGTGTATCTCCAAAATAACTTCACAGGAGAAGGAAAAAACCTACTTTACTTTTAAGTCAGTGGAACCAGACCCCCCCAGCCCCGCCCCCCAAGTCATTTCGGGTCATTTCTTTAAGTCCATTCATCATGAAACTTATATACAGTGTAAAGGGTAACAGGTATTTTCAAATTATGCCATAATTTCAACAATGGATTTATATATGTAATATATATAGTATGATTTTGCTGTTGGAACAATTTTGACATTTGAAATTGCCAGTTGGCTACTTACACACACAGTGTGTGTAGAATGGCCCATTTTTAATTAGTCTTTGATATGTGAACAGTTTTCAGAATGTACTGGTTACTCCACCAATTTGTGCTGCAAATTTGGCCCATTTTAAATTAATTGTTCTTAATTGTCGTTTACATATCCACCAATTCAGCCAACAGCTCTTCACCTCTGCACACTCTACTGACGTTATCACTCCGGACTGCTTTTTGAATGAAGCCTAATACAGTGCAGCGAATCAGAACAGTGTTCATGTACATGAGTCTTAAAGGCGCAGTAACAAAAACAGCCTGTTTAGTTCTGAGGCAGGTTGGAAAATTATGTAAACTGAATTCTGACTGTTTAAGCTCCTCAGCATTTTTTAAAACACGTTAGGGAACCCTTTTGACATGATTAAAGATCCAGCCTGCGTTAGGTTAGGCCTGAATGACTAACATTTGTTGATCATGTGAATGCCTTCATTCAGGCTATGGCAAACTCATCTGGATCTGTGATTGGTTAGGATGCTCGCAGATTGGTTAGAGTACTGATTTGCAGCTTCCTGCAATAACAGTAGTGCGGAGGATGATATCACGATACCAGCTAATCCACATTATGAAGTCCTAATAATCCGTAATTGTGTATTGCTGTCTATGCTGATACTAAACTGTGCATATTAAGCTGCTCATCCTGTTCGTTTTTAGCTCTATGCTGAGAAGGTTGCCACCAGAGGGCTGTGCGCCATCGCCCAGGCAGAGTCTCTGCGCTACAAGTTGCTCGGAGGCTTGGCTGTCCGTAGGTAAGTGCTCATGCTGGTGTTTTGGGGAGTGTGGCTTCATAATGCAAATGGAGTTCCACCTACTACTGTACGTGAACTTAAAAATAAAGGTTCCTGAGTGGTTCTAAACCGTTCTGACATGATTATCACAGTTGGAAGATTCTTTACACTCTCAGAAATAAAGGTACGAAACTGTCACTGGGGCAGGACCCCTCTTGTCGCTGGGGTGGGACCCTTAAGGGTACATCTCTACCTTTAGTCAGGGAACATAACTGAACCATAATCCACTGAAATGATATGTTCTAAGCTGTACTGACTCCACACACCCCGTCTCGCCTCCAGGCTTTTATTTTACTGTTCTGTTTTAAAACATTCGGTTATGAAAGGGTACAAATACGAACTTTTCACCTGGAAAAACTTATTTAAGGTGCACAGCTGGTCCTTAAAACCACTGTTGTACCTTTGAGGGAACATTTACGTTGTTTGTACCTTGATGAGTGAAAAATGTTCCTGCACAGAACCTTCATTTCTGACCGTGTAGGGAACCAAAACTGGTATCTTCCATGGCATCACACCAAAGAACCCACCTTTATTTGTAAGAGTGCACATGTCCTTCAGTGATGATGCGATGACGAGTCGGAACGGGACATTGTCTTGTCTCTGAGGATTCTGTGTCGTGGATCACGTTCTGTGCTCCTGACTTCAGCTCCTCAGAGCAGAGTGTTCCTCTCGGTTGAAGACATCGAGGCATTTGTCTGAGAAGAGTAAAGATTAGCCGTATTGGGGTTTAAACTGAGTTTATCTAGACGTGTCTGACCCGTTTTGTTCTCATCAGGGCCTGTTACGGTGTCCTGCGCTTCATCATGGAGAGCGGGGCCAAGGGTTGTGAGGTGGTTGTCTCTGGTAAGCTGAGGGGTCAGAGAGCCAAGTCCATGAAGTTTGTGGATGGTCTGATGATCCACAGTGGAGATCCAGTCAACTACTACGTCGACACCGCTGTCCGCCACGTCCTGCTCAGACAGGGTGAGTGAGGGATCAGATTAAGGCGGAGTAAATGGTGATAATGTGTGTTTTTAATATAGTTAAATGTAGAGTAGAATCATCATGTCCTGAGAGTAACACAGTATATTGTAAGCCTAATGAAAGCTTTTGGTTTAGTGCCTTATTTTTACAGATTAAAAGCACCAGATACACTTTGTGTTAACTTTTTATGACAAATGGGCCGATAAAAATGATCCGAAGGTACTTAAAATCTTGTTGCGTAGGTAACATGGATGTATTCGTTATGACTGCTTGTGTGTATGCACTATAGTTTATAAGTTTGGAATCACTTTTCATATTAAACTCCTTTAAATGCAGAAACTGATACAGATTTAAATATTCAACCAAAGGTTTTTTGGTTGTGATTTAATATTAAACTCTTTTCTTAAGAAGTTATTTAACAAATGACTAACACGCTTAGTATTATAGATTTCCTCATCCATCAAAGGGGCTTATATACTATTGAAAACTTCACATTACAAGCCTCATTGCTCAAATCCGATCTCTCTGAATCGATGGTTCACACTCGTTTAGGTCAGTGATTCAAATCTGTCATTAATGTGACGAACTGGCGTCCTGAAATGACCCTCATGAGCTCATCCTACTCAGTAACGTCACGTGAATGAATCACATTCATCATCAGCACAAACTAACGAGCAGAACGAGCTTCGCTGAGAAGATCATTAACTCTGATCAGCTCTCAGCTTCATTATTAGAGCGAGACGAAGGAGAAAAAGGTGAGATGAGCTGCTTTTCCACCGTTTACAGGCTTTAACTTCTGTTCAGCGCTGCTGCCATGGTAACGCTGAATGATGGCACACGCACAGTGGGGGAAAAAACACATGAATTCCGATCTGAGCGTCACATTAAGGTCGCATGGCCACAAAACGGATACGTATCCGATCTAAGACCACATATGAAAGTGGCTCAGGTTGGATTTGAAAAGATCAGATTTGCGTGTCACACAGCTCTGAAAACATCAGATCTGAGTCACATCAGGGCAAAAAATCAGATTTGTGCCACTTCAACCTGGTAATGTGAACGTAGCCATTGATTCCTAACTGTAGAACAGTTTAGTATGTTTGCACAGGGTAAGCTGAGTTGAGAGCGCAACTGCTGAAGCATCAATTTGTAGGCATGATTATCGAAGCATGTAACAGATAATAAATGCTTTAAATCCTACATTTCAGTGAGAGATGGGCTGTGAAAAGCAGTAATTCATATATTTGTTCCCTAAACTATGAAATAGAGCAGGTTCTCAACCTTTTCCACCTCAAAGCCCACTTGTTTGTCAAGCATGAAGGGCCACATAAACACAAACCTCACTTAAAAACGTTTTTGGGAAACTTGTTCCTATAACAGTTTAATTTTGTAGTGTTGCAGGTGGACAGCTGAAACATCGGGGGGAGAATATTTATTTGGTTTTTAGTGTAAAGAGGCAAAAAATGGACAAATCCTTTGTGCTCTGTTTTTGCAGGCCTTGTGTTAATATTGTTTTCTGTTTGGAAGCCTTTTTTTATCGTTCAGTCAATTATTTTTTTTTTAACGCAGACTGCCGTTGTAGGCCCATATGGACCACTGGCACCCCCTCAGAGGGTGTTTCAGGACCCGGTTGTGGTTGAGAAACCCTAAAATAAATGTTGATTTCCTAATTGGAGCATGATTTACTAGCCTGTTTGCATATTCAGCACAATAGTATTGCTTTGTTCCTAGAATTACATGATTTTTATTTATGGAAAAAAAGACACTTCGTGTTTGGTTATGCAAGTAAAAACGTTCATCAAGCACAATATATCCAATTAAATGTAGTGCTAAAATTGGTTTAGTTCCACCTGAGCGTAGTCTTTTCTGTGGTCCTCTTCCCTTCAGTGATGATACGATGACGAGTCGGAACGGGACAGCCTCTCGACTCTGAGGATTCTGGGTTATGGATCACGTTCTGTGCTCCTAATTCGGTTCCTCAGAGCAGAGTGTTCCTTTCGGTTGAAGACATCGAGGCATTTGTCTGAGAAGGGCATAATAGATATTTATTAATTCCAAGACTCAATTATTTAGAATGTACAATTAGAAGAAATAGAGAAAACAACATTAAATAATATTACAGATGCATCTGTTGGAAATAAATGACAAATGACAAGCTGCAAAATCTGTATTACAGAATCAGTGATTTCAGTCTTGTTTGAAAGGCCCATGCGGAGAATCTAATGACCTGTTCTTGTGCGTCTCTGTCCAGGTGTGCTCGGCATCAAGGTTAAGATCATGCTTCCCTGGGACCCCAGCGGCAAGATCGGCCCCAAGAAGCCTCTGCCTGACCACGTCAGCATCGTGGAGCCCAAAGAGGAGATCCTCCCCACCACCCCGGTGTCCGAACAGAAAGGAGCCAAGCCTGAGGTCCCTGTCATGCCACAAGGAGCTCCTGTACCCACCGCATAAAGGGTAAGCAGCACAGTGGGTCTGTGAGGGACCACCATGTGGAATTGACGTGGGACGTTTTGGAGGTTTTTCCCTTAGTAGGATTATCTGAATTAAATTCTATTCAGATTGAATTAGTTTTGCATGTTGAGGCAGGGTCATATTATGATATCTTCAGTGATCTTGTCCGGGGATGTTTCTGTTGCATTATCCTCATTTTTGACCCAAGTTATTCAGTTTAATAAGTGATATTTTTGTGCAGCGCCCCCTGGTGCCAGTTTTAGTAACTGAGGCTCACAGTTCAGTCATTTGGGGCTTATTTTTTATTTTATTAAAACTCCCTATACGTCTTGGCCCGGGAATCCAGGGCTTGGGAGGCTCTTAGATATTTGAGGAACTGTAAAAGAACAAAGACACTGCTGTTTGAGCAAAACCTTGTCTCTGAAACAGAAGCTTTATAGGAAAAGGTTAGAAGTACAGGGTGATTAAAAAAGATTCATCCGATTTCAAAATGATTTATTTCACTTGTAAATCATTACAGATCAATGCAGTAAACTGTAAATGGTTTAAATGAGCATTAAGTTTATGTAATTTTACAAGGTCTCAGTATGAACCTCCTCCAGCTGTACGGACATCAACACCATAGTCAAACTCATCCCATACTGGATTGAGCATGTCGGGTGTCGCTGCACTCACGGCTCTTTCAGTGCGATTTCGGAGATCATCCAGTGTTGTGGAACCAACGCCGAACGCTCTGAGCTGTTGGAGCTTCACTGCCGACGAAAATCACACTGCACAGTTATGACGGATTCACTCTTATTGAAGTGGAGAACGCAGAACGCTTTCTGCTCAGGGGTCTCATCTCCTCGCAGACTGAAGGGAGCCATCTTCCGGTGACAGTCAGAACCTCTATGGCCCCCTCTTTCAATTGGATTGTGATTGGTTCCTACGCTCCTCACGGTTGTAAAAATATGGTGCTTTGAAATCAAATGAATCTTTTTGAATCACCCTGTACCTAACTTAATGCAACGAGCTTATTCACAGTGATTTGTTGGGGCTATTTCTTTTCATATCTTCCTCATTAAATGCTCACAATGTAAAAGAGCTGGAGTTTTCAAATCATAGCTAAAACAAAGTTGCAGGGCTTAAATATGACAGTGTAATATGACTTAATATGACAGTGAGAGTTTTAATAGCTCTTCAGTTGTTGCGCATCTCAGCTCACACTCCCTTCAGTGATGATACGATGACGAGTCGGAGTGGGACGACCTCTTTCTCCAAGGACCTGGGTCAGTTCACGTTCTGTGTTTCTGATTTCAGTCCCTTGGAGGAGAACGTCCCTTTTGCCTGAAGATTTTGAGGCATTTGTCTGAGAAGGGTGTTCTGTTTATACAGTGGCTTGATACAAAACTCAGGCTTTGTGTATGGGGGGTTCAGTCTGACCCCATTTTTTCCTTTAGTGCCCATGTTTAATATTTTTCTCTTTTCATTTTTCAGGTGTTCGCTATTGGATGATGAAAAGGTCGTCATTTTCTGTACAAAAATAAAAGGAGAAATACAACTTTGTGTTGGTCTTTTATTCATTTACATTGGCTAAATGTGTGTTTCTGGCCCTCACACTAAATTATAAGCCTTTTTAGATGTAGTAAAGCAGTAGTGCAAAGGTTCTCAACGTTCTCCACCTCAAGGCCCACCTGTTTAGCTCTAGAAAGCATGAAGGCCCACCAGAAAACAAAACTCAACAGTTTTGCTTAATGTAATTTTTGTGAAAATTTCCACACAGTGATATGTGATGTGTATCAGTGAGCATGAAATAGCAGCGGAATATCGGTGCGAGTGGACAACTGAAAGGTCAGATGTTCCTAGAGACAAAGGGCAAAAAACTGACGAAGCTGCCTTTGTGCACTGTTAAGTCCATTTTTTTTCTCTGATTTGTATGACAAAGTGCAGTCACAGGCATAACATTATGAGCACCTCCTTGTTTCTACGCTCATTGTCCATTTTATCAGCTCCACTTACTATATAGGTGCACTTTGTAGTTCTACAGTTACAGACTGTAGTCCATCTGTTTCTCTGCATACTTTGTTAGCCCCCTTTTACCCTGTTCTTCAGTGGTCAGGACCCCCATGGACCCTCACAGAGCAGGTACTATTTGGGTGGTGGATCATTCTCAGCACTGCAGTAACACTGACGTGGTGGTGGTGTGTTAGTGTGTGTTGCGCTGGTCTGAGTGGATCAGACAGCAGTGCTGCTGGAGTTTTTAAACACCGTGTCCACTCACTGTCCACTCTATTAGACACTCCTACCTTGTCAGTCCACCTTGTAGATGTAAAGTCAGAGACGACAGCTCATCTGCTGCTGCACAGTTTGTGTTGGTCATCCTTTAGTCCTTCGTCAATGGTCACAGGACGCTGCCCACAGGACGCTGTTGACTGGATATTTTTGGTTGGTGGACTGTTCTCAGTCCAGCAGTGACACTGAGGTGTTTAAAAACTCCAGCAGCACTGCTGTGTCTGATCCACTCAGACCAGCATGTCAGTGTTACTGCAGTGCTGAGAATGATCCACCACCCAAATAGCACCTACTCTGAGGGTCCATGGGGGTCCTGACCACTGAAGAACAGGGTAAAAGGGGGCTAACAAAGTATGCAGAGAAACAGATGGACTACAGTCTGTAACTGTAGAACTACAAAGTGCACCTATAGAGTAAGTGGAGCTGATAAAATGGACGATGAGCGTAGAAACAAGGAGGTGCTCATAATGTTATGCCTGATCGGTGTAGGGCCACTTGTGGTCCTCGGCCCGGTGGTTGAGAAACCCTGCACTAGTGTATGTGAGGTCAGTTTTAACTTGCAAATGTGTTCTTAGTTCCTGGTGTTTTGATCATGTGTTGAATAATTTTACACTTCACTGCCGACCACCCCACTCTGCGGTATTTGTTCATGGTAATTGGAGGAGGAAAGTCTTTTCTCAGAAATGATTGAAGTTCATTTAAATGACACAAAATGCAGCCGAGACCTTTTGATGCTGAAACCGTTGGCACCTGGATCGAGACTAGTGTTGGTCTGGTTTCTAAATTCTAATGCTTGTCATTTAAAACCTTAGTTTAGATTCATTTGGGTTTGGATGTGGGAGTCTGGTTCAGCAACTAGGGTAAAGTTGATCTCAGGTGTTTGCTAAGGAGCAGCAGAAGCCCCGCCCCCATCCTCACCTCTTACTTGCAGAAGCCACGCCCCTTCCAGCTCACATACCTTTCTACTGTAATCGCGGATGGAAGTGTTTGACGTCGAAACTGGACCAAAATGAGCCTCCCTGACAGCAAGTCCTCAAGAAAACAGTCTGTAGAGCCGGTAAGACGTTTTTGTCATCGAGGAAAATCAGATCAGAACCTTTAATACGTGAGAATGAACCGTTTGTGGCTTATGCGTTGTTAGCAGCTGTTCTGTATAGTTGAAGGGGAGCTCCACCAGTTTTTCAGAATTTCTACATAATAGTTCAGATGTAGGTCATTCAGAGTGGCGTGGTGTGAAATGCTCGGTTATTGAGAAACTTGGTGAATCATAATTGTTTAACGTGGTGGTGATAGGAACCAGACGTCCAACTCTAAGAGCTCCCTCAGAAAGTTATTACATGAAGTGGTTATGAATGAGCCGCCCGATGTCTGAGACGCTGTTCATGGTATTTTTGTGATGAAGTCTTGTTTAATCCGTGGATTTTAATCCATTCATGGCAGAAGGGTACATGCAAAGCGTTGGGAGGCTGTGTTGTCATCAGCATTACATATAAAAGCTCAGAAGACACGTGTAGGTTCACTAGTGGGTTTGGATAGTAAATAAGATGGCTTTATGTGTGTTGTAGACATGGTGACCCCTGGTTCCTATCACCACCACTGTAAAGAAATCTGAGTGTCAACAATGAACTGTCACACCAAACCACTCTGAATGTGTTTACGTGTCAACCACTGAATTATATAGAAATTTTAAAAAATGGGTGGAATTCCCCTTTAACTCCTTGCTGAGCAAAGGTGGAGAGCATGAACTCTTACTCAAGGGAAGGTAGTGATACTTCAGTGACTTCATTGAAAGTAAAGGTATTTAAAAAAGGGTTAGAATCTACTCCAGAACTGAGTTCCATTGAGAGCTGCAGTGGAACTTAGTACCTCCAACATCAGCATAGAACTTCAAGCTTGTCAATCTGACAGGACGCTTTCACCAACTTAATGAAATTGAACAAAATAACAAACTGGCAATGACTAAAATGTGACTTGGGTGCAAAGTAGACTACTTTTCTTACAAGAATGCATGTTTAGAAGCAGAAGTATTATTAATATTATTTAGAAATACCTAGAGAAGTACAAGTCCACCCAAATTGTACATATAGGGAAGTGAGTGAATGTAACTAATGGCTGCCCATCTCTGCTGCTAAGTATGTGGTTTAGCCAAAGTGTAGTATTACTCCCCTCAGTAATATTCCTGAGTAGAAGTAAAAGTATTTCTATTTAACCCTCATGTTATCTTTAGATTTACTGACATCTTTATCCTTGGGGTCAGTTTGACCACAGCAATTTTAACCTCCCGAAAAGTATTAAAATTTAAATTTTACCCAGCTTTATGTGTCTGGTAGTTTGTTTCTTTTGTCAGTCTTTTATTTAGAGAATGCAGAATGGGGTCAAATTGACCCCAACGATAATAAGAGGGTTATAACTCCCCAGGAAGATGTAAGCACACTTTTAAAAAAGATGGTTCTTCAAGGGTTCTTTAGTGAAGAAAATGTTCTAAAGGGAACCATGAGGACTCAAAGAACCCTTTGCATGATTAAATGGTTCTTTGCATCATTAAAGGGTTCTTAAGACTGATGGAGAATGTGCTATATAGAACCTTTTTGAAAAGGGTTCTGCTGTTGTTACAAGCTTGACATTCTAACAAAAGAAGAAGCCTTTTCAAAAAGATATATAGAACCTTTTTCAGCACCTTTAAGGTCTGAAGAACTCAAAGGGTTCTTTGAGTGCTTGTGGTTCTATACAGTATAATTTCTTTACCAAAGAACCCTTGAAAAACCACCTTTTTAAAAAGTGTAGATTACTTTCCTCAGCAGAAGAAATACTATTTAAAAATACTGACATTTACTTGAGTAAAAAGTAATTACTTTCCTTACTTATATACCTCAGTAGAAGTAAAAGTATTGCTGTTTAAAATACTAAGGGCTGTACAAGGAAAACCTGTACTGTACTCAGGAGTACATGTGCTTCAGTAAAAGATTTGATGGATACACTTTTACTTCTGCTCGAGTTTATTGGTGAGGAATGTAATCAACTTTACATTCAGGTAATTTATATTTTAGCCATACAAACTGGGCTAAAATCCTCATTTAAATCCTTTTTTGGGGGTTTAATTTGACCTCTATGTGTGTCTGTACCACCAGATATACACCTGCTCTGGTTTAGAACTGAATAAAGGCTGTGTCTCGAATCAACCTTTATTCCCTAGGTAGACACTGACAATTGAGGTTTTTTGGTTCCTCTCCTGAGCTGCTTACTGGTGCTCACATTTTTATTTTGGAGCTTCAGCATTTCATTGTAAAACAAAATTATTTAAGAAGTAAGTAATGAGCACAGTACTCGAGGAGGGTCTTTATTTTGTAGTTTTTTGACATACTTTGAACTTTTTCATGCAAACTCAGATTGTGTTTGCTTGGCTCCTTTCACTTGTGCTTGAGTGATTATTTCACAGCAGTCACTGTATTAACAGTACGGGTTTAAGCTACTCTACCCACCTCTGACTGTTTGTACTGAGTGTCCTTGTGATAATGAGTCATCTTTAAAATGAATTTCCTCACAGCTCTGTTAGATCAGGCTTAAGTTGTCTTACTAACTAAGAAATCTTGGTTATTTATTTATTTATTTGCCCACTTTTCTCCCCATCTTAATTGTATCCAGTTTCTCCGCCACTGGTTAGGTCTACAACACAATGCGACTTCATTGTACAGCTCAACACGCTTGCAGGAGAACACTAACTGGAAATTCTGTTACATCAGTTAACAGACGTCTGCGTTGGCTAGCATCACAGTGAGTGATTGGGGGAGAGGGAGGCCAGTTATTCTCGCTTGGACTCCTGGCCACTGTTGACTTATTGAGTCGTTGTAGAAGTTAATTTCGAAAATTTTCGAAAGATTTTGAAAGAAATGTCCGAACGCGGCCGTAGGAGAACGAGGCTGCAGCGTCAAAGAACAGTTAAGAGTCTGAAAGCAAAGTTTAAAGAATCCGAGGACGCGAACCAAAGAAGTGACCGCGCCCTTTTTACGGCTCGAACCCATTCTGGGTGATCAGCCCAGCTGTCAGTCAGTGAAGCTTCATGATGGCTCCTGTGATGCTGGTGAAGATGAGGCTGATCCTCCGGGAGCGACTGGCGTTCATTGGCATTTATGATTGTTTACCTCTGGATGAGCCGCGTGAAGCTCTGTTCTTTTGCGCATGCGGGTCAGTTTAGGACCTGATCTGTTCAGACTGATGTCGCATACAGGAAAAGATATTGTGAACAGCCAAACCAACAAATCAGATTTGGTGATAAAATCAGATGTGAGCCACTTTTACCTGCTGTGTGAACGTAGCCTAAGGCCCAATCCCATTTCTTCTTTTTACCCCTACCCCTTGTTTTCAAGTGTCACCCTAACCCCTTGGAACTTAGTTACAAGGAGAAGTGGCTGAAATCTTCCTTACGAAATGAGACCCTCAAATAAAAAGAGCATCACTTCATTAACAGCTACCAGCGCTGCTCTGCAGGCGACCCTGTCAGTCTGCAGTGACAGCAGAGGAGGGTAAAGTTCAGCTCCTCACTGCTGGGCTTTAGTCACATTTAGGGCATCATATGCCTTCAAATGACATATAAGACAATTATTAATTATCGCCCACCCCTAATTCTTCAGTGATATGAAGCCAAAGTCAGATATTCGCCAGCTTCTTGTTCGCATTTTCCCGTTCCACCTTAAATGTTGCAGCAGTTACATTCTGGCGCTTCAGGTTTCAGAACTGTTGGACTATTTAAGGTGGAACGGGAAAGTTGGCTAGCTAGCTACCGAGTCATCAGCATGCTATTAGCGTTTTTTATGCTTGTTATGAAGAAAACGATCATAATACATTGAAACGACATTGAACTAAGATAATACAGTGGTTATCGTAATTTTTTAATGGAGAAAATTCTCACATTTGTGGGTTTCTTTGGTCTCTTATTCAGCCATCTTGCCGGTTTTTCTTTCTTTTTTTCTCATATCACTCTGTTTGGAGTCTGTGAAAAACCTCAGTTTGGAGGACCATGTAGCCCGAACACTTCACCCTACCCCTCTATCTCGACAAGTATTGGGACACCCTAACCTTAGACGTGAATGCACAAAACAGAGGGCTAAGGGCTAAGTGGTAGGGGCAAGGGGTGAAATGGGATTGGGCCCAAGTCTCAAGGTTATGTACCCACGATAGAGAGGCATAGAAAACTACAGAAAACTCTAAGATGGCATACAGAAAACCAGAGCCTCAGAGACAGAATAAGCATATAAGAGTTATACAATTAACTACTGTCCAAATATCCCCCCTGTGATCACGTCATGAAGGATAATGTTAAAAAAAATGTACAGTATTGATTAAATGACTATTGATGACATAAACCTACCATCCTAATCATTCTAGGCTGAGCTTAAACATCCTACGTTCTAAAAAGTTAGAAAGCACCTGGGAGCAGTTACTGTAACAGCTGCATCAATTAAATGTGATAAATGATCAATAATGTGATTAATACATATTGATTTAGTGGAGAGAAATAAAAACTGAAATTGGAAGCTGGAAATAAATTGGATTAAATAGAGATATATGATTAATGAAGTAAATGTAATAAATGAGTTATATCAGCATAAAATGGAGGACAACATCATGAGGACCAGCCTGTCCACATCAGAAAGGAACCTTTGACGGACAGTTACCGGTGATGTGGTCACAGCAGCTTGGCCGGTGGGTAGTAATTGCCTCAAAAGCTGACTGGGGTAGCGAAAATAGTTGACACTGAGACGTAACTATAGTACCTCTGTAGTACTACAGTATGTTTTATAGCACAGTAAATAATAGTACTGTAGTATATTATAATCAACGTGTAGACATTGTACAGTGGAATAAGCATTTTTGCGCTGCCAAATATTTTCAGTGTCTTTTAACATTCACGTTTTAAACTCTTAAAAAAGATGATTCTTCAAGGGTTCTTTAGTAAAGACAGTGGTTCTATATAGAACCATGAACACTCAAAGAACAATTTGCATGCTTAAACATTTTTTAGCATGGTGAGACGATGGTTCAGATTGATGGAGAATGTGTTGTATGTGGTTCTGTATTGAACATTTTTGAAAAGGGTTCTCCTATTGGTCCAAACTTCATCATAACAATACAAGCTATGTAGAACCAACACATTCTCCACCAATCTGAAGAGGCATTTCCATGCAAAGAACCGTATATATGTTTATGTTTATGTATATGAGTGGATCAGACACAGCAGTGCTGCTGGAGTTTTTAAACACTGTGTCCACTCACCGTCCACTCTATTAGACACTCCTGCCTTGCCCGTCCACCTTGTAGATGTAAAGTCAGAGACAATAGCTCATCTGCTGCTGCACAGTTTGTGTTGGTCATCCTCTAGTCCTTCATCAGTGGTCACAGGACGCTGTTGGCTGGATATTTTTGGTTGGTGGACTATTCTCAGTCCAGCAGTGACACTGAGGTGTTTAAAAACTCCAGCAGCACTGCTGTGTCTGATCCACTCAGACCAGTGCAACACACACTAACACACCACCACCACGTCAGTGTCACTGCAGTGCTGAGAATGATCCACCACCCAAATAGTACCTGCTCTGTGAGGGTCCATGGGGGGCCTGACCACTGAAGAACAGGGTAAAAGGGGGCTAACAAAGTATGCAGAGAAACAGATGGACTACAGTCTGTAACTGTAGAACTACAAAGTGCACCTATATAGTAAGTGGAGCTGACAAAATGGACGGCTCCACTTATATATATGGGTTATATATAAGGGTTTTTATATAGCACTAAAAAGTGTTCCTCTATTGATGTCATAACAATAGAAGAACCCTTTTTGAAATTAGAATTCAGTGGTTTGGTGTGTTTGGTGTGAAATCGTTTATTGTAGAGATGTCTTTACAGTGGTGGTGATAGGAACCAGGCGTCCTAATGCCTACAACACAAATATAACCATTTTATTTACTATACAAAACCACCAGTGAACCTACAAGAGTTTTCTGAGTTTTATATGGAATGTTGATGATGGTAAAATAGTGGTAAATTGATTAAAGTCAGATCAAAAATAAATGTGTTAGGTCGAAACTTTATTGCAAAACTATTATAAAATAATGTTTCACACCTCAGGCAGTGTATTCATAATGGTTTCGTGTAATAACTTTCTGTGAGGGAGCTTTTAGAGGCATTAAACTCAGACGTTTGGTTCCTATCACTACCAATGTGTTGACGTGGCAGGTTTATCTAGAGTGAACCATTTCACATCAAACCATTCTGAATGACTATTTACATCTTAACCATTTAATTAAACAGAAATTTGGAAAAGTCTTTTGAGTCCCTGTTGAGTTCACGTTTGATGAGAGGTGGAGCAGCTTGGGTGTCAACTGCAGCAGATTTAAAATGTTAGTAATCTGTACACTCTCAGAAAAAAGGTACTAAACTGTCCCTGGGGCAGCACCTGTCTTGTAACTGGTGTGGTACCCTGAAGGGTTCATCTCAGTACCTTTAGTCAGGGAACATAACTGAACCATAATCCACTGAAATGATATGTTCTAAGCTGTACTGACTCCACACACCCCGTCTCGCCTCCAGGCTTTTATTTTACTGTTCCGTTTTAAAACATTCAGTTATGAAAAGGTACAAATACGAACTTTTCACCTGGAAAAACTTATTTAAGGTTCACAATCAGACCTTAAAACCACTGTTGTACCTTTGAGGGCACATTTACATTGTTTGTACTTTGATGAACCAAAAATGTACCTGTGGAGAACGTTCATTTCTAACAGTGTAGATTTCATGTTTCCTAAAGAAATGTATACATATCTAATCTTCACCTCTGTCCTCAGCACTCTTCAGTTGTGCAGCTGAACATCGGTGGTCGGTTGTACACCACCACTCTGAGCACCCTGCGGAAACACCCCAACTCCAAGCTGGCAGACATGTTCTCCGGGCCGCTGAAGCTTCAGAAGGACGCGGAGGGCCGCTGCTTCATAGACCGGGACGGGACACACTTCGGTGCGATCCTCGAGTACCTTCGCACTGAGGAGGTCCCAAACAAGAACTTGCTGGAGGTGCACAAGGAGGCCGTGTATTATGATATAAAGCCCCTGGTGAAAATCCTCGAGGACACACCTCAGCTTTTCGGCGAGACTGTGGGAAGGCAGCAGTTCTTGTCTCGCGTGCGCAACTACCATGAAAACCTGGAGGTGATTATCAGAGTCGCCAGAGCAGAAGCCATGGCTTCCAGATACTCCACAATAATCATGTGCGTACTAAGGACAGAGGAGGATCTGGCGAGGTACAATGATGCTATGGACACTCTGGACTCTAAAAAGGAATCTGTGGTCAGCTTTGGCCCCTGGAACGCTCCAGCTACTGTAGAGGATCTTCTGGATTGTATAAAAATGGACATAGAGGCTAAAGGGTATAAAGTGAGCCTGAAAGCACATAACTTGGATAAAGGGTTTCTTTTCAAGAGCCATGGCTTCCTCTATAAGCTCACGTTCACCTGGTGGTGACTGTGATTGTCGTTTTCAGTTCATTTGTTTTTGTGATGTCACAGCGTGTTTACATATATCCACCTATTTATCCTAAGGCAGATCAGCCCCACTCATTGTCTTTGAAGAGTTTCAGCCTAGGCTGCTTATTGAATGAGGCACAACACAGGGCAACCAGTCAGAACAGAGATCATTGACATATATGAGTCTTAAAGGCACAGTAAAAAAAAACAGCCTGTTTAATTCTAGGGGATGAAGAGAAAGGTTGGAAAGCAGTCATGTAAAATGAAAAAGTGAAACAATTGGCTGTTTTTGCTGCATAAAACCACATAAAAGTCCTAAGTGGACCTCATGGAAATAAACAGAATACATAAAATGTATGATATTAAGATTAATTGACCCTTATTAATCCCACAACAGGGAAATTTCACCTCTACATTTGACCCATCCGTTCAGTGAAACACCGCATACACACTAGTGAACGCACACACACTAGGGGGCAGTGAGCACACTTGCCCAGAGTGGTGGGCAGCCCTATCCGCAGCGCAGTTCGGGGTTAGGTGCCTTGCTCAAGGGCACTTCAGTCACGTATTGTCGGCTCAGGGAATCAAACCGGCGACTGTCCGGTCACAGGGCTGGTTCCCTAATCTCCAGCCCAGGACTGCCCCAGTTGTCCTTTCCATATTAACCTTTAATCATTCTTTCATCTTTCATTCTTTAATCATTCTTTTCCCTTTTCCCATTAATTGAGGTTATCCAGTAAAAATGCAGTTTTTAGGCAGAGGAATTGTACCATTGACTTCTGTAATGCGCTGCAATAAAAGTCTTCTGTGTATAAAACTCTTTGCTCTGGAAGCCTCATCTCTTCTCCATGCCTCCAGGCCCATTTAAGGGGCTCATTTGCTGTATTTTTATTTTTTCCCCTCTGTCCACTTAGGATGTACCAAAAACATTCATTTATTTTTGCCTGACCATTTTTCCATGGCTGTTTTCTGACCTCCCTTTATCTCTACATTAAACAGGCTGTTGTTGTTGCTGGGTCTTTAAGAATGTATGTTCTGATTCTGTGAGTGTGTGTGTGTGAACATATATGTCTGTCTGCCCTGTGATGGACTGGTGACCTGTCCAGGGTGTATCCTGCCTTCTGCCCAATGACAGCTGGGATAGGCTCCAGCACCCCACCGCGACCCAGAAGGATAAGCGGTTTAGATGATGTGTGTGTGTTTGTGTGTGTGTGTGTGTGTTCTGATTCTGTGAGTGTGTGTGTGAATGTATATGTCTGTCTGTCTGCCCTGCGATGGACTGGTGACCTGTCCAGGGTGTATTCTGCCTTCTGCCTAATGACAGCTGGGATAGGCTCCAGCACTGCCGTGACCCAGAAGGATAAGTGGCTTAGAAGATGTGTGTGTGTGTGTGTGTGTGTGTGTGTTCTGTTTCTGACTCTTCCATATAGCTTTGTTGTGAATGGGCGGGGCTAAACTGCTGTCAGCTGAATAGGCAGATACATGTGAATGTCCTCTAAAAAATGTCTGTATTATTAAAAATAGTGGGTTTAGACTTAGACAAAGGGACTCGAATCAGCGAGTCGGACTCAAGTTGCATGTTAATTGACTCGTGGGTCGACTCAAGGCTTGTTACTTCATGTTGAACTTGACAGGTTTTAGTAGGGTTCACTTTAGGACAGTGCAACGTGTGCAGCTAAAAAGGAGACTAAACTAAAATTCTCTACCAAAGACTCGACTTGCCCATACAGAAATCTGATATAGGTGAATATAAATGGTCAGGCATATATTTGACATGTATGTTGTGCACACATTCATAACTATTAAATATTGAACACACGTGCCTTATATGTGGATCATGCATGTATGTCTGGTACATGGTTAAATACATCCTGGTACATTATTCACTATGTTATCTGTTTGCTTTTAGAGAGCAAGCTTGCTTGATAAGGCTTGATAAGGTTGGTATGCCGCTGACTGTATGCCACTGCTGGTCCACCCTCGGACCACCCAGATTACTGTCCTGCATACAAGGTCTGGCTAGTTTTTAATCTCCTCAAACAGATTTTGGTAACACTTTATTTGGACGGTCCACTGTAGTTATGTCATTATATATTTAAGTAACATTCAACTAAATTTCTATCAAATGCAACTGAACTTCAGTATGAAAGATCTATTCCTAATCCTAATCCTAACCCTAATCAACTGAATATCTCCGGAAAGTTTGGTAATGATTTAAGTATCCGTAGAGCATCTATAGGGGACCATCCAAATAAAACGTGATCCAGATTTTATCTGTGCACAGCCTTGAAAAAGCATTGAAAATACAATAGGACGAATATTACAAACCACTGAGAGAACAATATTAATGACTAGGCCTAATATTAAATGATTTGGTTACAGCTGTACAACCAATGTTATTTACAGTTGCTGTTAAAATGATTCGCTAAACTAATTTACAAAGGATAACGGAAGAAAAAAGGAAGGAAAAATTAGTAAATTGGACTGTAAGTAGGAAATGAGTGATGAAAAGTGGCATTTTGTCTAATACTCTATGTAACCACCAGAAAACGCTGAGCAAAAACCCAGTGGGCCAGCAACTCGGCCGTCAGTGGGCCGACACAGTGGCCTGTTGCTAAATGTGTCATGAATAATATTTTAATTTATTTCATGTTGTAATGATTTTATTACATGCGTTATGATGTGCATGATTTTAGAGATTAATAATGTAGCTGTTACACTAAGTCTCACTTCATTAGAAAGTATGTGGAAGAATCAAGAAAGATGCATGGAAACCTTATGTAACATGAAGCTAGCATATACAAGGAATACATGCCATTCATATATGAATAATATTTCATATCATATGTTGTTAAATATGTGTTACACATATGTGTTTGTATATGTTGATATATGGCTGGAACATACACCGATCAGGCATAACATTCTGACCACCTCCTTGTTTCTATGCTCATTGTCCATTTTATCAGCTCCACTTACTGTATAGGTGCACTTTGTAGTTCTACAGTTACAGACTGTAGTCCGTCTGTTTCTCTGCATACTTTGTTAGCTCCCTTTTACCCTGTTCTTCAGTGGTCAGGGCCCCCATGGACCCTCACAGAGCAGGTACTATTTGGGTGGTGGGTCATTCTCAGCATTGTGTCCACTCACTGTCCACTCTTTTAGACACTCCTACCTTGTCAGTCCACCTTGTAGATGTAAAGTCAGAGACGATAGCTCATCTGCTGCTGCACAGTTTGTGTTGGTCATCCTCTAGTCCTTCATCAGTGGTCACAGGACGCTGCCCACAGGACGCTGTTGGCTGAATATTTTTGGTTGGTGGACTATTCTCAGTCCAGCAGTGACACTGAGCACTGCTGTGTCTGATCCACTCAGACCAGTGCAACACACACTAACACACCACCACCACTGCAGTGCTGAGAATGATCCACCACCCAAATAGTACCTGCTCTGTGAGGGTCCATGGGGGTCCTGACCACTGAAGAACAGGGTAAAAGGGGGCTAACAAAGTATGCAGAGAAACAGATGGACTACAGTCTGTAACTGTAGAACTACAAAGTGCACCTATATAGTAAGTGGAGCTGATAAAATGGACAATGAGCGTAGAAACAAGGAGGTGGTCAGAATATTATGCCTGCTCGGTGTACATATATATATATATCTTTCAGTTCAGAACAATGTGTTATCTGTTAGTCTACAAGACCCACCTATGCGAGTGCCTTAGATAGAGCCTATCTGTTTGGGATCTTTGTTGCAGGCTGTGGCCTCCCTTGTTTAATATTGACTCTAGTTTATACCTGCCCATTACATTCACTGGCTTACAGATGTACCTTACCGATGTTCTGCCAGGCAGCTGCTAAGAATGAAATAAACACTAATGAACGGACAATGACTAGTGTAATTATATAAAATCATAAATATAAATAGAATATGCGTCCCTTATCACCTAATGTTTAATGTTCTCATGTGTTGTTTATGAATGGGTTGTTATGCTGAGCCTCAGGTACAGTATGACTGCCAGTGTTTGACAGTGTTTACCTTTCAAATTCCATAGAAGGTTTACACCTCTAGGACGTGTCCTGAACATCTGAAGACAAATAAGAGAGTAGTGAGATAGTGCTATTCTATCTATCTATCTATCTATCTATCTATCTATCTATCTATCTGTCTGTCTATCTGTCTGTCTGTCTGTCTGTATGTCTGTCTGTCTGTCTAGATTAATGTTGCTGAATTCATATCTTTTATTATAATTTAACAATATTTTGTCACACTCATTTCTGAACCTGCTAACGTGTTTAGCTCTTAAGTTTACAAAACAAAACATAACAAGAGCAAATTGTAGTCAAATAAAATCTAAATTTGTAAGTAATAAAAGTAATACAAACAAACATACATACATATTACTATTATTGTATTAATTTTTAATTAATACCATATTATATTAACTACAGTATTTGTAATACTATATATTTTTATAATATTTAGGTATCACCAACATACCTTCAAACAACAACAAAAATAATGAGTCATTAATATTACTATTGTTGTTGTTGTTGTTCTGTGTCAACATCAAGTGAAAGAAGAAATGAAAACACCAATGTAAATTTTATTTTACAACAATAACAATAATCATAATATATAATATATATTATATATCATATAATAATATAAATTTTGATATATCACTGTGATATGAACTACATTTTAATTTGAATATATTGTTTATATAATTTTCTTCTTCTTCTTCTTCTTCTTCTTCTTCTTCTTATTATTATTATTATTATATTAATTTTTAATTAATACCATATTTATATCAACTACAGTATTTGTAATAATATATATTTTTAAATAATATTTAGTTATTCACCAACATACATGCAAACAACAACAAAAATAATAATGGTCATCATTATTACTATTATTATTGTTGTTTTTGTTGTTTTTCTGTGTCAACATCAAGTGAAAGAAGAAATGAAAACACCAATGTAGACTTTATTTTACAACGACAACAACAACAACAACAACAACAACAACAACAATAATAATAATAATAATAATAATAATAATAATAATAATAAATATGGATATATCACTGTGATATGAACTAAATTTTAATATAAATATGTTGTTTATATTATATAAATAATGTCTTCTTCTTTTTCTTATTATTAATAGTAAAACTAAATGTTCTTAAATATGTGGTCATATTTTTCCCTTTTCGGCCGCGCGATGGCGACACTGCGAAACGAAAATCTACGGCGAGCAGAGCGGGACAAACCTCAGCCCGTTTTCGGCTCTGTGGGAAAATGGCTGCTCACTTGAAGAAGCGGGTTTATGAGGAATTCTCTAAAGTTGTTCAGGTAAAACAAACTAAACAACTAAATCAGAAATCTCCACTGTTTTTCACCATAAATAACAAGAGGCGCAGCTGAAGGGCTGCTGGTGTGGTTAGCTAGCTGGCTAACGCTACCTCTTCTGTCTCTGTTAAAGATTTTAACGGTTATGAGCTTCTTGAAGTCTCGTTTTCCATTTTTGATATTGTCGTTTTGTTTTTTGGCCTTTAATTTGTAATTTTACGCTCTCAAAAGGCTGAATACAAGCAAAACAATGACAAGAGGCCGAACAGAAATGAGGCAGCTAACGTCAGTATTTACTGTGTTAACACGAAGCTGAAGTTCCTAACCGTCAGCCTCCTGTTCGAATTTGGCCGTTCCACCTTAAATGGTGCAGCAGCTGCGTGTGGTGCCTGAGGCTCGAGGAGCCAGACGGTAACTGCTGCACCATTTAAGGTGGAACGGTAGAATTCGAATAAACCGGCGATTAGGAAGCCAACTTTAGTCCCTTTGTATTAACAGACTCGCTTATTTAAACAGATGTGTTTCACTGACACGATAAAGAAGCACTTAATTGCCAGTACGAGCAGCATTATGAGGAATTTGCTTGACCAAAGAACATCCAGATGCAATGACATGTACATTAGACAGTTTTTAAAATCAATATTTTTATTATTAACAGACATCATGCGGGGCTTACAGTCCTTTCCAATGCAGAAAGACATTTATAAGTACAGTCAAAGTTACAATCAATACAAGCACAACATTAAAGAGCATTTGATGCTCAAATTGTCATTGATTCATTTATATTTCAGGCAAATTATGACTCCTAGGGAACAATGTAATCCTTGATATTATGGACATAACACAATATTGCACAACAAAGTAGTGCAAGCAGGGAAATACAGATTACAAATACAGAATTAGGTCGGAATTCAACGTTTGCATTATGTACCAATGCAATAGCTCACTACAGAAAAACACTCTGAAAGAGTCTGAACAGCAAATTTTATTTTCACCTCTTATTCTCCAGGGAATATTTTGGTTTTTCCATCTGAATTTCCATGACCAAATCGTAAGGCAAATTATTCAGTAACTGCATGAAATAAGTGTAGATTTTTAATTTATTAATTTTTTTTTTTTTTTGTAAAAATTCCCCTCAAATTAACAGAACGTGTTTTATGATCATATGCATATTGCCATATGCTTACAGTTTACTGCTGGAAGCCAAAAATCTTAGACGCTCTTTGTATTATTTTATAAAAATAATTTTCACAGAGCAGATCACTGAAGAGATGCCATCTGTTTATAGTTTATAGCCCAGATTTATGGTAAAATGGGTCGACTTTCAGTAGACAAGAAAAACTGTGAGCTTAGCTTCTTTTATTATAAGGGTTTAAAATTACATCACCCGTATATTTGACTGGAAGGAAGACAGTTACAGCTCTCATACGACCCCCACCTTTAGAATGTAGCTTATGAAATAAGAAAGTTATGAAGAATATGACGAAGTGCGTTTTGGAACCACCGGTGGTCTCAAGGAGTTGAAGAGGTTTAATTGTTGTATAATTACTTCTGTAGGTGGGCAGTGTGGCACAGTGGAATGTCACAATACTTCAGGACATTTTTATGATGCGCATGCTTTAAAAACACTATCAAAACTATGAATATATACACTTATATTTAACATTTCTCACTCTATGCTGCGCTAAATCCAATTAAACAGGACAGTTTGTGCTCTCTTTTTAATCAAAAGCACAGCTGGTCAGTGATTTTTAAGTACTGATAATGTCCACGAGATGCTCAGAAAAGCTCATTGTGAAATATTGTGATGCAATTTGTTGTGATAATGCTAAATATTGTCATATTGCCCAGCTCTGATTGTTTGACATTTTTTTCCAGCAACAACCTCATGAGGAGGTGCCAGCAAAGAAGCTTCGGCTGACCAAGCCTAGTAAATCTGCAGCCCTTCATATTGACCTGTGCAAAGCCACCAACCCCACAGATGCCCTGCAGTATCTCCTCAGCTTTGCTCGCAAGCCAGTGGAGGCAGAAAGCGTTGAGGGGGTCGTTCGTATTCTCCTTGAGCACTATTACAAGGTCAGAGTTTGTTGTAACCAGGTTTTAATGAGACAGATTTGTCTAGCTTCACAGAATAGATTGATACACGGATTTCAGTTGCTCTAATGTTCATTCTTGGTAATCTGACGCTTGAATTTTTCAAACATGTCGCTGAACAGGAGGTGGATAACTCAGTCAGGCTGAAGATTGCTTCACTGCTTGGCTTGCTGTCCAAAACACCTGGTTTCTCTCCAGACTGCATTGTGGACGATGTCATAAGCACCCTCAATAATGATAGTAAGTCATTTTGACAGCTAGTAGCCAGATCTGTGGGTAGATGGATATACACCGATCAGGCATAACATTATGACAACCTTGTTTCTGCGCTCATTGTCCATTTTATCAGCTCCACTTACTATATAGGTGCACTTTGTAGTTCTACAGTTACAGACTGTAGTCCATCTGTTTCTCTGCATACTTTGTTAGCCCCCTTTTACCCTGTTCTTCAGTGGTCAGGACCCCCATGGACCCTCACAGAGCAGGTACTATTTGGGTGGTGGATCATTCTCAGCACTGCAGTAACACTGATGTGGTGGTGGTGTGTTAGTGTGTGTTGTGCTGGTACGAATGGATCAGACACAGCAGTGCTGCTGGAGTTTTTAAACACTGTCCACTCACTGTCCACTCTATTAGACACTCCTGCCTTGTCAGTGCACCTTGTAGATGTAAAGTCAGAGACGATAGCTCATCTGCTGCTGCACAGTTTGTGTTGGTCATCCTCTAGTCCTTCATCAGTGGTCACAGGACGCTGCCCACAGGACGCTGTTGGCTGGATATTTTTGGTTGGTGGACTATTCTCAGTCCAGCAGTGACACTGAGGTCTTTAAAAACTCCAGCAGCACTGCTGTGTCTGATCCACTCGTACCAGCGCAACACACACTAACACACCACCACCACGTCAGTGTTACTGCAGTGCTGAGAATGATCCACCACCCAAATAGTACCTGCTCTGTGAGGGTCCATGGGGGTCCTGACCACTGAAGAACAGGGTAAAAGGGGGCTAACAAAGTATGCAGAGAAACAGATGGACTACAGTCTGTAACTGTAGAACCACAAAGTGCACCTATATAGTAAGTGGAGCTGATAAAATGGACAATGAGCGTAGAAACAAGGAGGTGGTCATAAATTATGCCTGATTGGTGTATATTGTGGCATTCAGTGGTCACTTTTGGTCAAATTATATGTTTTGTTGTTTTTCTAACGCATCGTCTACAGAGAACACACTTCTGCATATTTAACGCACAATTACTGTTTATTTGCTGAACTGAACATATTAGCCTGTGCAAAAGATATGGCACAATTTTTTAGTTTATGTATTATTCATTATCCAATAATATCCAATAAGTTAAACTCAGCAAATAAATAGAAATTAGATACACAGATAGACGGCCAAATAGCTAGATAGCTGGAATTCTGGCAGGATAATGTCATGATTATAACACCAGCAATGAGGATGATTTAAATCTCATAGGCTACATATTAGAAAAAGTTCTACAGTGAATATCGTGGTTCTAAAGAGTCTGAGTGCTTGTTTCTGTGTCTAAAACTAAAGTAAATATGTAGTTAATTATGCAGTTATGCAATTGTGTTGTCCAATTACGGTAAATAATCTAATTGCCCTCTGCATCCCCACTGAGTAAAAGTAATCCCATTTTCATTGTGTTTATGCTGATTTATGATGGTTATGATGATTATGGAAGTCCTGTAACTGTGTTTCTCTTATATTGTCCGAAATTAATCTGTATTTTTTTGATTATAGAGTCTAACCAGGTGCTGGCACAGTTGTTAGACACTCTGCTGGTCATTGGCACGCAGCTCCCAGAAAACACAGCGGTCACTCAGAGGCTCATCGAGGTGGCATGCAAGGTATTTCTCTCAGTTTTCTGCAGTGAAAACATTTCAGCCCCTGAAAATCCCAGGTTTATTACATACTAAGGATTATTATTGCCTGCCTTCTGCCCAGTAACTGCTGGGATAGGCTCCAGCTCCCTCTGTAACCCAGAAGGATAAGCAGCTTAGAAAATGTGTGTGTATGTGTGTGTGTGAGATTATTATTCAGTAACTACAGGGACTTCAAAGCAAACTGGTTGAGCTATTCTTAGATTATAGAAGTGTGTAATAAACCTTTGGCCATTTAAGGGGTTAATGCATTTAGCGTAATTTGAACAAAAAAAATGTAAGGATTATTTCCACTAGCTTTTAATAAGTATCCCTCATTGTACAAAGGACTCTTGTTTTCTTAATTTTTCATGCTACTCAGCAACGTATGTTGTTTAGGCATTTCAGGCAGAAAAACACCTAAAAAGAAATATATTTGCAAACGAGTGATCAAAATGAAAAAGCTTTAAAAAGCTGAACTGAACACTTTTAAATGATGCACAGCCTTGTAAAGATGCCAGAATACTGTACTAGAAAAAGATAAACCTGGAAGTGTTTAAGGAAGCTTAAGTGCATATACAGTCTTATGCAAAATTGTAGGTGCCCCTGGTCAAATTACAGGTTTTGTTAATTGTCTACATGAAAATAAATGAACACATCCTCTACAGAGAACACACTGCTGCACATTTTAATGCATAATTGCTGTTTATTTGCTGGATATAACATATTGGAAAAAAAATAAAACATTAAATGCGGCTTGTATAAAAGTTATGGCATATTTTACATTTATATTTAGCAGGAGAAATATATGTTATCTTCATTCAAATTATTAGCTAATCTGCATATTAATTAAAACATTCAATTTTAATTGATAATTTATTTTATACTGAAGTAGTGAAGTTCAGTCAAGTAATCGAGGCAGCCCTGTACCCAGATATACCTAATGTAAAATGTAAAATATATATCTAAAAATAACGTTTAATAATTTGTTTATTTTCTTCACAGCATCTTAACAGCACCTACTTTGGTGTACGGAATAAGTGTCTGCAGCTCCTGGGCTGTTTGGGAACTGTTGACAAGCCTCTGACCAAAGAGAGCGAGGCAGGCACCTCCGTTGCACCACTGCGTGACGTCCAGAGCTTGATCAGTGACTACTTCAGTGACCAGGACCCCCGCGTTCGCACAGCGTCTATTAAAGCTATGGTGTGCACCATTATAGTTGCACTATGTCTTCTGCTGTTAGGCTTTTCATGCTTCTTTGTGACCTCTGATCTGCAAAGGTTGTAAATTTAAGTGAAGGGGACAATTTTCTTGAAATTGACTGAACTCTTTGGTGTTTACATCCTCAGCTACAGCTGCACGAAAGGGGAATGAAACTCCAACAGACCGCATACAGCCAGGTAAAGCTTTCAGCTATGACACAGACCTGCACTGATGCATTACTGATGTGTAGTTGATTGTGTAGACTATGCTTTATGTGGTCTCTGACACTGTATGCCATGCTGTAATATATGAAAACGGACAGAAGTATGTCATATAGTCATCTCTCTGTTCACACAGCAGGTAAAAGAGGCCCAAATCTGATCTTTTTCTTCATATGTGACACAGATGTGTTCTGTGTGTCAGTGTGAACAGCAAAAGCACATTGAATCTGGTATTTTCAATTCGGATTTGAGACGCTTTCCTGTGTGTTATTGAAATCCGACACGTATCCGATATGCGGCAATACGACTCAGTCTGAACAGCCAGATGGGACTTTTACATCAATCCAACTCCACATTCGTTAAAATGTCGCACTGCTTAGACATCATAAACATTTGAGGTGATGTTTCATTACAAAAAATTAGAAGAGACTTATCCAAACCACTCCATGTTCAAAGAGCTTGAACGAGACTGCAGTGTCAAAGAAAAAAGTCTGAAAGCAAAGTTTAAAGAATCCGAGGACACGAATCAAAGAAGTGACCGCGCCCTTTTTACGGCTCGAACACATTCTGGGTGATGAGCCCAGCTGTCAGTCTATGAAGCTTCATGATGGCTCCTGTGATGCTGGTGAAGATGAAGCCGAACCCTCCGGGATTGACTGGAGTTCATTGGCAGTCATGAATGTTTACCTCTGGATGAGCCGTGAAGCAGCGTGAAGCTCTGTTCTTTTGTGCATGTGGGTCAGTTTAGGAGCTGGTCTTTTCAGACTGATGTCACATACAGATCACATTTAAAAGATAATGTGAACAGCCAAACAAAAAATCAGATTTGGTAAGAAAATCAGACTTGGACCACTTTTACCTGCTGTGTGAACGCAGCCATAGTCATTCAAGAAATAGTCGTCTTGAGGCTTGAATTTTGTCTGTGCTTTTGTCAATGTTTATACATAACAGTGTGTCATACAGTGTCAGAAACCACATGAGCAAGTCTATTAGAGATACTGAGCACCTCAACATGGTTTAAGACCAGTTATGCATTAATTGGTGGTCATAAGCTTCCGTTACTTAACTAAAGACCAAATGCGTCTTAGCTGATTGGCTTTGTTTGTGGAAAGGGAAAAGCTGAGTACGTTTAATTTTCACCAAACTATCACTTTAAAAAGAATTTCTCCAGCTGGTTCTGATTAATGAATAAAAAACCAGTGTTTATATTTTCTCAGGCCTGCAAGCTCTTGAATGATGATTATGAGCAAGTTCGCTCAGCGGCTGTCCAGATGGTGTGGGTGCTGAGCCAGCTTTACCCCGAGAGGTGTTGTAAATTTCAAACATTTCAAGTTTTGTTAAATGGACTTTAGTGTCTGGATACTATGAAACCCTGTATAACTGAGCATCTCACTAGATTCAGAGATTTGGCAATGATACTTTTAACTTGTTTAAATCTGCCACCAGAGGAACTACAGCACATGCATATCCATGTTGGCCAAAGTAAAATGTATTGCTGTGCAGAATCTCTGCTTTCTGTGCAATACCGCTTTTTTTCTCACTATATAAAAAATGCACCAGGCTTCCTTTATTGTTGCTGTTTTCCGAATGAGAGTGAGAGCTTATAAGAGTGCAGTTCGGACCAAAAGCACTTAATGTTGTTTTGTTTAATCGGAGTAACGATAAAATGTCACTGATGTGACTTATATTCCTATTTATGCAATTGCTTATTTCCAAAGGTAGTTTGTGGCACAAACTGAATAAAAATCTATGTATTTTCATCTTCGTTAGATTACATGTCAAGTAAGTGTTACAGCGTGATTCAGAAATCACGTCATTAAATGAGAACAGTGGATTAAACAGCAGAAACAGACACTTTTTTACGTCTGTCTCTAAGGGTGGTGGAGCAGTGGTCTTTAGTCTGTGGCGGTACTAACAGGGGACCATTGGCAGGCAATTTTTTTTCCATTGCAAAATTTGATTACAATACATAGATATTTAACCGAACATCATTTTTAATATCAGAAATATTATTGTTGTGATAATTATTTGCAAAATAAACATTAAGGTCGGGCTCATTGATTTGTCTAGCCAAATCTATTGCCCACATAACCAACATAGCCTGCTAGTTCTGTTTATATTTTCACTGGTAATCAATCAAATTTTCCCTACATTTTTCCTTTTTGATCAGATGGAATTCATTGATGGTGGATAAATGACTACAGACTCTGAACTGTCTACAAAATCACATTTTTTCTGATTCAGATTTTTGTTGTGTTAAATTATTATGTTAATATTCATATAAATGCCGGCATAACATATGGAGTGGGAGGGTAGTAGACATTCCCTACATTGTGAGTTGCTTTGGATATAAGCAATGCATAGATAAATAAATAAATGAATGAATAAATGAGTGAGCAAATAAATAAATGAATAAATATATTTACATGAAAGTTGTCTCTTTTTTTATCTCCTTCCAATTACTCACAGTATCGTCCCCATCCCCTCGTCCAATGAAGAGATTCGGCTCATAGATGACTCATTTGGGAAGATCTGTCACATGGTCAGCGATGGCTCCTGGATGGTCCGAGTGCAGGCTGCCAAACTACTGGTGAGTTGTTTTTTATTCTCCACTGTATGCACACACTGTATGTCTTCACAGTATGATGTGATGTCTGCATTCTCTACAGTCTTGTCTTGTAACCCCTTCATCTTTTCACAACAGGGCTCAATGCAGCAGGTGAGCCCTCACTTCTTGGAGCAGACGCTGGACAAGAAGCTGATGTCAGATCTCAGGGTACGATCTCATACAGTAACAGGCAAATAGCACATACATAGAGCTATCATGGTTCCATTCAACTGGCAGAAATGCCTGTATTAATAAACTTTCATATTCACCCCTTGTCATCAAATTTTAGTTTACTCATTTTCAGGTTACTTTGTGAAATATAAAATAAATATAAAAATAAACAGAAGTTCATTAATTATAGCAAATTTATAACCCAGAACTTAACTGGATTTGCCCTGAAACATAAAACTGCCCATTCTGTACAGTATCCTTAAAAGGGTCTATATCCTCATTTTTCTTGCATTACATTTTTCCCCCCTGAGATCCACTTATGACATTTGTGGAGTTTTACATACCAGAAACAGTCACAGTTCATTTTTGCATGACCATTTCCAGCCTGTCTTTATTCCTTAGAATTAAACAGGCTGTTTTTGTTACTGTACCTTTAAGACTGATATATGTAAATAATCTCTCTTCTGATTTGCTGCTCTCATTCAAAAAGCAGTCTAGGCTGAAACACTTCTTATAACTTTAGCATGAAAGGGCAGAGATAAACATATATAGGCTGAATAGTCAGATATATGTAAATATGTTTGTTTTTGATGATATCGCAAAAACAACAAATTCAAAATGGGCTGTTTTGCAGTTTAGTTTTCCTATATGGACTGAATGGAACATTTTGAAGCTTTAACAATGTTTATATAATACATGAAACTATTTAAGGTGAGGAAAATTTGGTATGATTTTAAGAATCATAAGCACCTTTAAGAATCATGAGGCTGAAACCATTGTTACCATAGCTATAAAACAGTCGTTAAGTTAGCCTAATTAGTTTTAGTGGTCTTTGCCAATGAGCAATAATGCTAAGTGCTAATATTGGCTCATAAAAATGCTGTGCACAATGATTTTTTTAAAAAACGCCAGTCAAATACTCAAATGTGTTATTAAACCTAGTAGATAAGGCCTATAGGCAATTAAGAACAGTGTGTGTTAAGTGTGAAAAAGGTTCTTTGCCTGCTAGGGTGAGGGTGAGGTTGAGGTCTGCCAGTCACTTAAATTATCGATGAAACTGTAAACTCTGTATATTTTTTCATCTTGTTCACCTTATAGAGGAAACGCACAGCACACGAGCGAGCTAAAGAGCTCTACGCTTCTGGGGAGTTCTCCTCAGGCCGGAAGTGGGCAGATGACGCTCCAAAAGAGAAAGTGGACACTTCGGGTGTAAACCTGATCGATTCCGGAGCCTGTGGAGCTTTTGTTCATGGCCTCGAGGACGAGATGTATGGTACATATCTATAACTTGAATTACGTTCAAATGATTCAAATGACCCAGACAAGACAAGAACCTAGTCATAGCTTGATGCAGCCAAGTTAATACAAATGTAGACACTGACAAATAATAAGTGTTCCTGTTTGTTAAGTAAGTAAACGTTAAGCACAGATGTAAACGGATATATTTATGCTGATGATGTTGCGTGTTTGGTTCCTTGCAGAAGTGAGGATAGCAGCTGTAGAGGCACTTTGCTCTCTGGCACAGTCGTCTCCCAGCTTTGCAGAGAAGTGCCTGGATTTCCTGGTGGACATGTTTAATGATGAGATCGAGGAGGTGCGTCTGCAGTCGATCCACGCCTTGAGGCAAATCTCCACCCACATCACCCTGAGAGAGGACCAGCTGGACACTGTGCTTGCTGTGCTGGAGGTACTGCAGACCACTGGAGAGTAGACTAGTATATGTCATCACTGTATTCTCAAAACCTTTTTTGTGTTTTTTTTGAAAACCATTTGGAAGCCCCAATTGCCTGTTCAAACGTTGTGTGAATATTTCATGATGAAAGGATCCCACAGAACATTTCATGATGAATGAATCCCTACAGTACAGTCCAGTAGAATTCCAGTACATTACTGTGTATTAAAGTTAAGAATGTTTATTCCTTCTCCAGTAAAATTTCCAATTCAGAAAAGCAATATTTTGTTTCAATAGAGACAATATAGTAATATTCACTTAAACATTACAGTTCTAGGTATTTGGAATGTGTTCTAAAAATGCTTATGAGTTCAAGTACATCAATCTAGACTCATCCATCAGACTGCCAGATAGTGAAATGCTATTCATCACTCCACAGAATGTGTTTCCACTGCTCTGGAGTCCTGTGACGGCGAGCTTTACACCACGCTACCCCCCCAGCCGCCTGCTTGGCATTGTACATTTTGATCTTATGTTTGTGTGCAGCTGCTCGGCCTTGGAAACCCACTTTGTGAAGCTCCTAACACGCAGTTCTTTTGCGGATGTTCCTTCCAGAGGCAATTTGGAATGCTTTAATGAGTGATTCAGCAGAGGATAGACACTGTGCACTTCAGCACTCGGCGACTCGCTCTTAAGTTTGCGTGGTCTCCCTCTTCGTGTCTGAGCTGTTGTTGCTCCTACATCCTTCCATTTCACAATAATAGCACTTATAGTTGTCAGGGGCAGATCTAGCAGGACAGAAATTACACAAACTGACTTGTGGCAGAGACGGCATTCCTATCACAGTGCCATGTTTAAAGTCACTGAGCTCATCAGTACGACCCATCCTACTGCCAGTGCTTGTCTGTCAAGACTACAAGGCCATGTGCTTAATTTTATCCACCTGTTAGCAATGAGTGTGGCTGAAACACCTGAACTCAGTGTTCAGGAAGTGTGTCCCAATACTTCTGTCTATATAGTTTGTCATGTTTTCCTTGTAAATTGTGTTCATTTCCACTGGTCTCTTACTGCCTCTTTCAAGGCATCCATGAGCCCTCCTAAATGTTCTGTATACTCAGTATATATAATAAGACAACAACGAACTGGTTTAACCTAGTTTTCCCTGAGGAAATTATGTTTAGAATTAACATTCAGACTTTCTACTTTTTCCTTTGCAAGATAATTGTGCTATATAGGATTGTATTTTGTCTGTGTAAAACATCTAATTCAGTCATTAATATAATGGCGTCAACGGTTATCTTATTCTTATTCTAATTCCAGGATTCATCGAGGGACATTCGGGAGGCACTGCATGAGCTGCTATGCTACACGAACGTGTCGACTAAAGAGTGCATCCAGCTGGCCCTGCTGGAGCTGCTGAAGAACCTCACCAAGTACCCCACCGATCGCAACTCTGTGTGGAAGTGAGTGCAGAAACAAAATTGCTGTACTTGGTTGCGCTCATCAAGGGGATGTAGATTATTGACCTAGATGCAACTGCAGTTCTTGAGTAAACAGAGCCGTTCCGTTTAATTAGTTTACTTTTATGATTCAGAATTTTTTGCCGTTTACACAAAAGTGGAATACAGACAGTAAATGAGTGCAACAAGCTGTTTAATGGATTTAGCCAGAGCATTTCACTCTGGCCAAAAAATCAGTGCATACTTTATTGAACATTATTATCATCACCTATAATCAATTCTGATGTTTCAAAATCTGTGTTGCAAATCGTTGCATCGATGTGTTTAAAAATTCCTTTTATGTCTCCTTGTGTGTCCCCCTTTCATGTCCCCCTCAAGATGTTTGAAGTTTCTTGGTGCTCGGCATCCTACTCTAGTGCTGCCCAGTGTCCCTGAGCTTCTGAGCACACATCCTTATTTTGACACCCCGGAGCCAGACATGGATGATCCTGCATGTATCCTGCCCAGTTTGCCTCGGCCCTGTTGTAGTTACTTCTGAGGATAAATTATGGATTTGATTTTAAGGGATTAACTGCTGAATAGCAATTCTGTTTTTTAATCACTAGTTTTGCTTCATTACTTTGAAGCCTTGCAAAAATATATATCTGTTTGTTTATTCATTTATTTTTTTGTGTGTACTCATGTATGTTTCAATAGTTTGCAGTACCTACTTAAAACCTATGGGTGGCAGTACAGACAAAGGCGCAATAAATCTACTTCTGTAGCTTTTATACCTGGCCAGAGCCAGTTAATGAAGAGCCTGGCCTCTTCCTATTACCCCAGTTTTATCAAAAACATGACTGCAAAACGCCAGAGCGCGGCCTTGAGCGAGTCCTCAATGAATGGGAGTGAATGGAGCTAAATGGCTAAAAACTTAAAGTTAAAATAGTTTCTAATCACTCGTCCAGAACCTTCATTTAATTTTATAAAGTAGAAGGATGTGTTTCACTAAAAAAAACAAAGAAAACTCACCTGAACGTTTCCTTTTTTTCTACAGCAAACGGGTTTTGGGCAGCAGGACACTAACATTACTGCTACTGAGTGCTGATTGGTTGGCGAGCGGAGCAGCTCATTGGCTGTTCATACTCACTGACGCCATAAACGTACGAGGCGCCATTTTAAACTCCTATAACTCGAGTTCAAAAGCTCTTAAAATATATCAGCAGTGTTAAAATGTTTTATGCTGTTCTGTGTTCAGGAAATGATTTTATTCTTTTACATTAAAAATGTTTAAGCATTTGTAAACTATGATTTCACTCAAATGCTCCATCTTAACCCATTCATTTTGGACTCGCTCAGGAGCGCCCTCTAGCGTTTGAGAAACCCTGAAGACATTACAGAGTGGGAATTCTCCTCTCTACATCTTCTCTAACCTGGCTTGTCATTTGCTGCGCATTCGTCATGGCGGAGGTAGTTTCAGCTCCTGGAGCTTTCATGTCAGCTATGTGGACGCACTTTGGCTTTATTAAGAACTCAGAGTTTAATAGTACTGTGATTTAGAGATGGGCAATAGGATGATATTTTATAGTTATTATGATAAATTTTGTTATCGTGATGAGCATTATGTTTTTCTGAGCATATTGTAGATATCATTAATACTTAAAGAACATTAAACAACATGTTTTGTTAAAAAGAGAACATAATTAGTCTTGTTTAATTGGATTTAGTGCAGCGCAGTATATGAAGTGTTGTTTGATGGCAGTTTGTAAATGCAGCAGTACTATTGCATTGGGTCTGCATGTCAAAACATCATGATACACATTGTGAAAATGCCTTTAAATATTTCCATATGTTAGTTTTGCTATATCGCCCACCCCTACTGTTATTTCTGAATTTTCATTTTGAACATTATCCATCATGATCCAGTTGCAGTACTGTGATGCACCATGATGTTTTGTGATGGCATCATATTGTGATCTAGTATTGTGATCATAAAAAAATTTTGGGGGGAAAATAATCAACACAAAATGTGATTCATGTGTTCTTTTATAGTCTTCTTTATGGAGTCATTTTCCTGATCTGAGTTTAATTAGATATTGCTGTATTAGTGCTGGTATTTAACGCAGCAAAGTCTTGTCCCACCATGCCGGCTCTGTTCTCGGACCACACCTTCCGGCACTACGCCTACCTGCGGGACAGCCTGTCCCATCTGGTGCCTCACCTCAGGGTAAGAGGTGCAGTCACTTTATATAAAAAAATTTGGGCGGATATAATTACCTAATACTTGTAAAAGCTTTCAGTTTCATTTTGTTTTACTTATTTATTTGCTTACACTGCTTGTTAAACAATTGGGGACGTTAAAATGTTAAATTTGAATTACTTGGTATTACTTTTTTAGTTAAGTAAGAAAAAATCTGCAAAGTGTCTGGTAGCTTAAAGCAGCTCTGTGCTAACCGTGGATATATTTAGCTTCAGCTCTCAGCATGTTCATCAAAGTGCCTTCCTTAGTATGAAGAGCAGGTTTTGCCTAAATAATGACGTGACAGTTTTCTTTTCCAAACTATTAAAACACTTTTAGCCCAAAGGTGGTCGAAGCACGAGAAACTGTTGAGTGCTTACATCACAACAAGGAGATAAAATGTGCAGCCTTTGGCTTTATTCCAAAGAAGCTGTCAGTAATATTCGTTTAAATATTAAATTCCATGGGCTGCATTGTATCCCTGTAAATAAACCTGCTTTAGCTTTAATTTGTTAGACTATTGCAAACCCAACAACAAGAACGTGATCCTTTGTAAAGCTGTTCGATGAGCAGTGCGTGTCGTTGCCTTTTGGTTTCCCCTGTTTGTGCAACGCCGCCTGTCTCTCTCAGTTACCAGGCAGGAAGCAGACAGCAGTCCTGGGCTCAGAGTTGTCAGAAGTGGGGTCTGGCAGTTTGGAATCAGCTCAGCAGTTCCTCCAAGAGAGCCTTGCTCGGGTCAGCACCCTTCAGAACCTCGACTCCCCTGGAGCTCAGGACCTGCTGGACTTCACTATCAGGTACCAAACGCATCGTTTCTGATATTACTGTTACACACAGAGCTTATGCTGAGTGTGTGCTAATGTCTTTCTCCCCACAAAGAGACCTGCAGAGGCTGGGAGAGCTGCAGACAGAACTAGCTGGATCAGCAGACTTCTGTGCCACTTACCTGCACTGCCAGCTTCTGCTTATGAAGGTATATGCATTTTATACATACAGTCAGATATTGGTACAGACATACTGAACTTTTTCTTTCGTTCAGTCAGGTTTGACAGGCATGAACACTCTGGCTGTGTTCGGGAAATATGATCCAGCAAAAATTGCAGGGTGTCTGTTTGCTTCCAAATTAACCTTGGTTCAGTTTGCTGCTGGTGGGAACAGATTTTTGTGATGATCTGCACCAAACAGTGCCTTTAGTTTTGGAAGTTACATGAAAATGGACAAAACAGTTATAAAAAAGCAGAGATCAAGTAAGGTTTATTATTATTGCTTTGACAGTGAACATTTGGCCACATCACACTATCTTAGACACATAGGCTACGTTCATATTACCAGACTGAAGTGGTTCAAATCCGATTTTTTGCCCTAATGTGACTCAGATCTGATGTTTTCAGGGCTGTGTGGACGCGCGAATCTGATCTTTTCAAATCCGACCTGAGCCACTTTCATATGTGGTCCTAGATCGGATACGTATCCGATTCATGCCCATGCGATCTTAATGTTACGCTCTGATCTGAATTCATGTGCGTCTTTTCCACTGCGTGTGCGCCATCATTCAGCGTTACCATGGCAGCAGCGCCGAACAGAAGTTAAAGCCTGTAAACGGTGGAAAAGCAACTCATCTCACCTTTTTCTCCTTCGTCTCGCTCTAATAATGAAGCTGAGAGCTGATCAGAGTTAATTATCTTCTCAGCGAAGCTCGTTCTGCTCGTTAGTTTGTGCTGATGATGAACGTGATTCATTCACTGAGTAGGATGTGCTCATGTGGGTCATTTCAGGGCGCCGGTTCGTTCACATTAATGACAGATTTGAATCACGTACCTAAACGAGTGAGAACCATCGTGTCAGAGAGATCGGATTTGAGCAAAAAAACGGATTTGAGAAATGAGGCTTTTAATGTGAACGTATATAGACGCTATAGATGTCCTGAATCCCTGCATAATTTCTGACCAATAAACAAACACTCAGTTGTTTAATTTAGTGCACTTTAGCCATTGCAGTATGAAACCACCCGAACTAAATGGACATCTTACAATGACACAAAACCCAAACTCTGATTCGGTCTTTAGAAAACAAACTAGGTGTGGAAAAAAAAGTATTTAAGCGGAATTTTTCAAAATTTCTGCTTTATTTAATAGTTGAGAGGTAAACAGTCATTCAGAGTTGTTTGATGCAAAGATACAAATGGCAAAGAAACGTATAGACTTGGATTTCTTTACAGTGGTGGTGATGATAAGAACCAGGGGTTGCAATGTGTACAACACAAATATAGCCGTTTTACTCACTATCCAAAACCGCCAGTGACTCTACACATCCGAGTTTTTATGTATAATGTTGATGGTGAAAAAGTAATAGTGACTGTTTTGCCTCACAACACCCTGCATGTACCTGTTTGTCATGAACGGATTTTTAAAAATACATTTTAGGCCAAAAGCTTATCTCTAAACTATTGTAAAAAACCATCTCAGACATCAGGCAATGTATTCACAACTATCTCATAAGTAGATCTTGAGGAGCAAGATCAGTGTTTTAGAAGCCTTAAACTCTAGTACGGAGCATTTCACACCAAACCACATGCAGAAATGTTGAAAAACTGGTGGCATTGCCCTTTAATGGATTACCGTTTATCTTTGTATATCAGCTGATGCAGTTAAAACAGAGTGCTGGTTTGTTTTAAGGGTTTTGTAACTGATGCATGCCTGAAATGCTGAGATTTTGCGTGTGGAATTAGAGTATCATGGCTTTTAATTGCATTTCAGGCTCTGCAGGAGAAGTTGTGGAACATGGCTGTGCCTCTGTGTCTGAAGCAGAATGCTATGGCATCAACCGCTGCCCAGCAGGTACACACACACACACCAAATTATATGAGAAGCATGCACCAAAAAGAAGCAGTAGCTAGTTGTATTTACAGAATAACACATACTGGAAAAGAAATAGAAAAATAATAAACACTAACACTCAAAGGTTTCTGTTCTAACAGTCGGAATCAATATTTTCAATAATGTAAAACCAAATTTAGCTGCGGACAAGTGTATAAAATGATTTTACATGTTAGTTCTGTTCAATTTCTCAGGTTCCAAATAATTAGTATGACACTAAGTAGCTGTAAATAAAAATGAAGAAATGTTAGATGTGTCCAGAATGATGAACTGAGCTGTAGAAGATTCTAAAATGACTGAAAAAGCTGTACAGCATCAAAAATTAAATTGTAATAAAATTAATATGCAGAGTTCGTAATTACAGAAGTGTAGATCAAATCCCAAAGCAGTTGAAAGAATTGATTTTAAGAGATAATTACACTATAAACAATTTATGAAAAGTTTTATTCCAATTTGTAACAGTTTTGGATATTGGGAGTTTATGAAAAGAATAACAGCTGACATATAATGGAAAACATTGTCTAATCAAGGTGGTATTAATCATAATGTAGCACTTATGTATAAAGCCCACTCCCAAAAACATATATCATAAAAAAAGAAAATTCTTGAAAGTGGTCTATAATGTTGGAGCAAAACCCTTCATATATATTTACAATATATACACCGATCAGGCATAACATTATGACTGCCTCCATGTTTCTACGCTCATTGTCCATTTTATCAGCTCCACTTACTATATAGGTGCACTTTGTAGTTCTACAGTTACAGACTGTAGTCCATCTGTTTCTCTGCATACTTTTTTAGCCCCCTTTTACCCTGTTCTTCAGTGGTCAGGACCCCCATGGACCCTCACAGAGCAGGTACTATTTGGGTGGTGGATCATTCTCAGCACTGCAGTAACACTGACATGGTGGTGGTGTGTTAGTGTGTGTTGTGCTGGTACGAGTGGATCAGACACAGCAGTGCTGCTGGAGTTCTTAAACACTTTGTCCACTCACTGTCCACTCTATTAGACGCACCTGCGTTGTTGGTCCACTCTGTAGATGTAAAGCCAGAGACGATAGCTCATCTGCTGCTGCACAGTTTGTGTTGGTCATCCTCTAGTCCTTCATCAGTGGTCACAGGACGCTGCCCACAGGACGCTGTTGGCTGGATATTTTTGGTTGGTGGACGATTCTCAGTCCAGCAGTGACACTGAGGTGTTCAAAAACTCCAGCAGCACTGCTGTGTCTGATCCACTCGTACCAGCACAACACACACTAACACACCACCACCACGTCAGTGTTACTGCAGTGCTGAGAATGATCCACCACCCAAATAGTACCTGCTCTGTGAGGGTCCATGGGGGTCCTGACCACTGAAGAACAGGGTAAAAGGGGGCTAACAAAGTATGCAGAGAAACAGATGGACTACAGTCTGTAATTGTAAATGTTATGCCTGTGGGTGTAGATCAGAACATAGTGCTTGTAGATTTTTGAATACTTATTTTTTTAATTAGTTGTTTTTTTTTAACAGTTAAAACAAATTCAGTAAAATGGTCCATATATAAAATAATATACTAATGTTATTGTTTATACAGTAATATTCTAATAATAAATATTTTTTTTTCTTGTTACAGTATTTAAAAATACATTTTTATCTCCTATTTTAGTTTTGTTCATTCCTTTGTATACAGATAAATATTGTATGTGTTGTGTGTGTTAGATCCTTGAAGAGACGTATAAGTTGGAATTCCTGTACAGCGGGCTGGAGACGCGTCAGGTGGCCACTATTCACAATGTACGACTGCAGGCCAAGGCACTGCAGCTCATTCTGACTGCCCGCACCAAACGAGGGTCAGCACTGACTCTAATATATGGACAAATATTACCAGTCATAGACCCTCTTCAGTATAAGACTAACATTTTCTTTAATTCCAGGGTGGAGCCGCTCATCGGACTGTGTGAGAAATTCCTGCAGGAAGTGGAGTCGTTTCAGAGGTGTGTCACACATGGGAGCTTTATACAGAGGAATATTACAACATTGACATGTATATCCCTGATCAAGACACTTTATGTTGCTATTAACATGTAATAGCAATGTAAAGTATATGGCACGTCTTTTATAGATAAGCACAAGGATCTGACATTTGAGTATTGTGCAAAAGGCAGAGACCACCCTTCATCTGTTTAATTTCCAGTCAAAACAGCCATTAAATTAAAGTTATTCATTTTTTTAGGAGATTAGATATAAGATAATCCACTTGCATAAGGAAGGAGAAGGTAAATCAAAAATAAATGGAGAGAAAAAAGTTTCCAAAACTAAGTTCGAAAAATGATTAAAAGCTGAAGAGGGAATGTGTCTCCTAACAACCACCTGGAAGACCTGGTAGACACCAAAACTGCCCCCATCAGATAAACAGCACTTAAAGCTTTCATCTTTGAGAGAGTGGAGAAAATCAAGCTGCTTCAGATCTGAAAACATCCACAGGTGTTTCTGTCCATCCTTCCACTGTGAGAAGACGACTCAGCGCTGTGGGTCTGAAAGGATGTGTAGCTGTCAAGAAGAAAGTAGATTGTAATCAACATAAATAGAAGTTCACCAGACAAAATCTTAGTTACCTGTGACTGAAACGTATCTAATAGCGTGTAAAACCTCCACGAGCAAGAATAACAGCTGTGATTTAATTTGACCTGGACTGGACAGGTTTCTGGATGTAGGCGACATCAGTGTTCAGCCACTCTTGCATCAAAGAATTTCACAGTACTGCCAGATTTCGGGGAGCCTTCCCTGGCGTCTTACTCGTTGCTCCAGGTCATCCCACAGATTTTCAAGAGGATTCAAATCTGGGGATTTTGCAGGCCAGTCCAGATGTGTGAACGCTCCTGAATGTTCATCATGACAATCAGTCACATTTGCAGCTCTGTGAATGTGAGAATTGTCATCTTGGAATACAGGGATAGGAATGTTATGTTCTTGATAAGATGATGGGCAAAAGGCAAAACCTGGTTGTCCAGCAGCTCAGTGTAGGCACTGTGGTTCAAATTTACTGTCACCTCAACCAGAGAATCCATTTCCACGTAATTGAAACAAACCCAGAACATCACAGAGCTCCTCCAGCTTAAACCACACCTTCACACAGTCCTCACTGAAGGCTTCCTGAGGTCTATGATGAGCACGAAGCCGAGCATCATTCACACCGAGGCAGAAACAAGATTAATCTGACCAGATAACACTTTTCCAGTCATGAACAGTCCAGTTTTTGTGTCTTCGCCCACTGTAACCAGGAAACTCGGTGAGCAGAAGTGAGCAAAGGCCTCTTGCGTGCCACTCTGCTCCATATGTTGATGGTATGCAGTTCCCTGCGGAGAGTTCTTTCAGAAACTGGTTGTGAAGAACCTGCATTGACTTCTAGACGCAATTCTTGTCTGGAAGTGAAACGATTTTTATTCACAAGCCGTGAAACACGCCAGCAGTCCCTGTCCGTCAGTTTTGTCTTTCCGCCACAATTCTGACGAGAATTTCCTGTAGGCTGGGATTTCTGCCTCTGCTGGTCGACCCGTATGACCATATGCTTCGATACACCTGCAAATTCAGCTACGTCCTTCACACTATGGCCTTTGGCCTAAATGCAATCACTCCTTTTTGCCGATCATAAACATCTGCTTTGCGACCCATTTTCCACACATCGAACTAGACGTTCACTGCTCTGTACCACCTCTTCTTAATTTATGAATCCCTGTCGCACACCCCACAGGTATTTATAGCCCAATCATCCTCGTGCAGCGCCATCTGCAGGAGCCTGACGTTACTACTACCATAAACGTGCAAGCTGACTAATTATTACACCACCACAAAGGCTACTTACTGTAGTATTAATCAGGCAGGGTGTGATCGTAACAGGTGCAAACATGTTCTAATTTGTAATAGATTCATGGTAATTACACAGAGTAACGTAATCACACTTCATAATTACACAAAGTTTGACTCACAGTGTAATAGCAAGATAATACCTGAAGCCAGAAGAGTTTAATCTCCTTTTATTTACCCACTCAGGCTGTTCATGACAGAGCTGCCCCACTTTCAGGACAGCTTTGTGGAGAAGCTTCTAGAACTGATGCCCAGACTTGTGGCCTGTAAACCGCTGGACCTAGTGAAGATCCTCCAGACCACGCTGAGACAAAGCAGATTCATACACCTCAAACTTCCTGAGCAGGTCTGCTTAGACACCAGAATCATAGTAATGTTGCCGTGTGCAATATTATGCATTTTGGCTTCCTTATCTGCATTAAATGTCTTTCTTTTGGGTTGCCAGATTCACAGAGCTTCAGCCACGATCATTGAGCCTACAGGAGAGTCAGATAACCCTCTGCGGTTTACCTCTGGCCTGGTTGTGGCATTAGATATTGATGCAACTCTGGAACACATACAAGACCCACAAACAACAGTCAAAGTGCAGGTAGGAGTTCTCTACAGCACAGATCGTCATTCTGTAGTCATGAGACGTAACAGCTGCTCTTTTGGGACTCATTTTGGCATCTAATTCATAATTTTAAGCCTTTCGTATTACCCAGTGATGTAGTTTTGGTTGGACGCCAAAAGTTATGCCTCTTTATTTTCACTGTAATTGCATCCAGCCTGTAATGGGACAGGGTTTTTCTCAGAATTAGTTACTCTCGCATAACCATGGAAATGGGTGTAGTGTATCTATGGAAATAGGTGTAGTGGAACTAATCAATGAGATGTAAACAGAGTCAATCAGAGTGGTTTGATGAGAAATGGTCAGTTGTAGAGAAACGTACAGACTCTGATGTCTTTACAGTGGTGGTGATAGGAACCAGGGGTCGCCATGTCTACAACACAAATATGGCCATTTTATTTACTATCCAAAACCACCAGTGAACCCACACGAGTCTTCCGAGCTTTTATATGGAATGTTGATGATGGACAACTTGTGGTAAAAAATTAGATTTTAAAAAGGACATTTTAGCCTAAATGTTTTTCTCAAAACTGTCATAGAACAGTGTCTTGGGCATCAGGCAACATATTCATAACCATTTCATTTAATAACTGGAGCTTTTAGAGGTGGATGTCTGGTTCCTGTCACCACCACTATGAACAATTCTGACTCAGTAAGTTTCACACCAAACCACTCTGAATCACCTTGCTTACATCTTAACCATTGACCTATGAAGAAATTTAGAAAAATGTGCAGAATTCCCCTTTAAAGGCTGTGTAGTTTATTGTATAGTGATTGTGTTTACTGTCAGTTTGTACTGTTGCACTATTTCCTGCAGTAACTGTTTTGTTCCTCATTCAACACATCTGTGACTTAGGTACTCTATCCAGATGGACAGTCCCATATAATCCACCCTAAACCTGGAGATTTTAGGACCCCAGGGCCAGGGCGTGTGCGGCTCATCACTCAGGTGTATCTGTCTCATTCGGCCTGGACAGGTGAGATTATTCCCAAACGATATGATGTGTCAGAATGGTTGATTTGGGCAAACTGTTGAATATTTGTACTTTTTTCCCAGTTTAGGGTTTTTTTTTAATAAGCACAACCAGAAAAAGGAGACAAATGTTTTTCTTCTTGAAGATTATCAGGGCATACTGAATGAAATCCTAGCAGTCCCACAGATATAAATAGAATTGCATCCAGGCCGAAGAACCTTCTTGCCAGACCTTTTAAATGTGTGTAGTGACCTGGGGAGTCATGTCGTTCCTCCAGTACACAAAGTGTAGAGCAATAGAGTAACTTAAAAGCCTTTAACATACTAATGTGTGCCTTGTATACCACCATTCAAAAGCTTGAATTTCTTGTCCTATTAATAAATCTTATTTTATATACAATAACTTTAATATTAAAAAATAGATACCACGATGTACTAACAGATCATTTGTTCAGTATTTCAAGCATTTTGTGATCAACAAGGATTTATTAAATGCTAAATCATACACTGTAATTCTTTGGTACTTTTTTCAGCTTTTCTGCACCAGGATTTGATAATCATTTTTCAAAAACAAAGCATGCTTGATATTAATTTTATTAGAACTTCATTCTTGATGTTTTACAGCTTTGTCAGTTGTTTTAGGTCTATAGTTCAGTGCAATAGTTTTATTCTATTGAAATTATTGAATAGCGTCCAAAAGAACGGTGTCAAAGAGGGCTTTTTGGAGCAAAGCCTTAGAAGAACCACATTTGGTTCCCTCAAGAAGCTTTCAGTGGATTGTTCTTCAGGCAGCATGTTTGTAAATTACATGTGTGAATGTGAAGTTTCAATAACACCCCCTTTGTGTGATGCATTTTCCCCCCAGAAATGTACAAGCCAGGAATGGTCTTGCAGTGCATTTGCTTCCCCCGTAATTTTTGACTTCTCCCTGCTCACTTTCTCTCTCAGAGCCGTGCCAGATTGAGGTGAGGTTGCTCCTGGCCTACAGCTCCAGCAGCAGCAAGCTCGCTGCACCCAAACCGGCCTGGAACGAGAGCACCGAAGGCCTGCCAACAAGCGAGAGCTCCGTCGAGGGCACCATCAACCTCAGCAAGCCTGTCAAAGTCTTCATCATGCCGAAACCAGCTCGACGCTAACCTGCGACTGAGATACAAACGTGCAACTACGCAGAGCTGAACTTAAGGCAAAGACTGGAGTAAATTAACAGCTTCTTTTTTGTTAATAGGGCTTTATTTTTTCACAAAAAAAATGTTTTTTCCATTTAAATAAACTTTGTTTTGTTTGTACCTCTAGTAAATTCTATAATTTGTAAAGAATTAAAGAACCGTTTAGCCTTGTTTTCTCTTCAAAAACAGTCAAAAGCAAACTCCTCCTTTGCAGCACAGCACAGGTCAGTTTTACTGACTCCCTAAAAATGTCCAGCTGAAATTTAAGGCACTGCGTAGCTGGCCAGGTCATATTCAGCAAGTAGAGTGGAAGACTCCTCCAACTTTAGCCCCCTGTCCAGCCAAGTTGTTGTATTCTTTCACAGCCTTCTCAGTCTGCAGCACTTTCACATCCACGCCCTGTTTCTTCACATACTCCACGGTGGATGGAGGCACCTGCAGCAGGAAGACTCAAGCATTATCCACCCTGCACTCAGGAGTGGAGAGAAGTGAAGTGATTGTACTTTATTACCCTAAAGTATTATTTTCTATGATCTGTACTTTAATCAAGTATTACTGAAACTGGAAATTTACAGTTGGATGCAAAGGATTGGGCACCCCTGGTCAAATTTTGTTGATTTTTGGAGTGAAAATAAGTTAAAAAAATAAGTTACACATCCTCTACAGAGACACACTTCTGCACATTTTCATGCACAGTTACTGTTTATTTACTGAATTTAACATAAAAAAAAATATTTTATATTTTGTGCTTCATTTTTGTATTTATTTTTATGCTTATTTTTTCAAATAAATAAAAGGTTGTGCATTAAATTTTGCAGAAAAGTTCCACATGAAAGTGTTTTGTGTAGAGTCGATGTGTTAACCTATTGCTGCTGTTGGAAGAAAACCTTATGTCAATTATGTCAAAAACTGAAAAAATGTCAAAAATGGAGATTTCTTCCGACAACAGCGATACATTCACTTAGAAAATCAATAAATCATGTAATTTGACCAGAACGTCTACTTTCCAAAACATTTCTTTACATTTTCATTCAGACCTTCAAAGTCCTCATTTCAAATTGCACAGGATCTTTTTACTCCTTTTTTTAAACATAATTTTTTATTAAATCTAAATTCATCACTGTAAAATGAAACACTCCACAGTTATGTTCATTTGTCTTTGTCTAAGAACGGCACCACCTGCAGTACGTCCAACATTTGTTAATTTTACTGTAATAGAGGGAAAACAAGTCCTTAATTTTATCTATTAAAGATCTATTACTTGAGTAGAGTTAAAGGGCCCATATTGTGGAAATCCAAATTTCCCTCGCTTTTTTAGAATACAGGAGTTAGAAGTTGCATGCAAATGATGTCACAGTTTCAAAACATACCACTGTCCAGTCCATAGAGTCTATATATGGTAAACATACTACAAAAACAGCCTGTTTTGAAGTTTTTGTTTCTGTGATGTCACAAGAAACAGCGTTTTAGAACCTCCTTTTCAGGCTGAAGTTCTAGGGAGTGTTTCAGCTCTGAGTGCTTTATGAATGAGCGACAATACAGGCCAATCAGAACAGTGCTCATTTACATATGTCAGTCTTGTGCAGGTTCAAAAACAGCCTGTTTAATTGCAAAGGATAACGAAAGGTCACATAAAAACTGACTGCTCTTTGATTGGGGGGCAGTCGTGGGCTGGAAGTCAAGGGAACCAGCCTTGTGACCAGAAGGTCACCGGTTCGATACCCTGAGCCGTCAGTATGTGACTGAAGTGCCCTTGAGCAAGACACCTAACCCCCAACTGCTCCCCGGATGCTGTGGATAGGGCTGCCCACCGCTCAAGTGTGCTCACTGCCCCCAAGTGTGTGTGTGGTGTTTCACCGCACAGGTGGGTTAAATGCGGAGGTGAATTCCCCGTTGTGGGGCTAATAAAAGGGTAACTTAACCTGGAAAAAATAAAACATAAGAAAAATGGACAATACGGTCCCTTTAAATGTGTCTCGCTCTTGATTTTCATCACACATTGTATTGACTCTGAATTAAGTATAATTTCTCTGCCCTTTTTTTCACCCCTGCTGACACTCAAGCCATTCAGAGAGCATAATCAGGTGAGCAAAGAGCACGACAGGGAGGCAGAGAGGGATCAGATGAGTGCTATCTACTTTATACATAGTCCTATATGGCATAGTAAAGTTGTGTAAATGACCTGCAGTGCTTCGCTCATTCCTCTCCCTATGACCAGCATGTCGACTCCTTTCCTCAGGATTTCCTCCAGGTCAGCAGGCTGGACACCTGGATAATGCTGAGAGACGTATGGCATTTAACAGTGAGTAGCCCAAGTGTTTCAGTTTTTCTCATATTTTATACCTTACTATACATTTATACTTGTACAATACCTGTACAAGTATTAGGTAAGTATAAGGTGAAACAGCACTCACATCGGTTCCAGTCTCTCTCCAGTCCCATGCCCGGCTGCCACCTGGCCACACCTTGCAGTCTTTATATGAAGAGGAGCAGCCCTTCACCTTCATGTGGCCCCACGACAAGGATGCAATTTCTGGGGATGACATTGCTCTGCGACAAAACACAGGAGAGGAGGCTTCATTTAATGTCTCCATTTTGTGTTTTTTCCATGTTGGCGTCCATCACTGCTGCATTAAAACCCCTGAACATCAAATCCATTAGACTGCAAATATGTATGCATAGAAAAAGCTCACTCTTTGTGAAATGCATGCTTTTAAAGCATTTATCTCCCACAGGGCACTGAACTGTATCCAAATGGTCTTGTGCTACCACAACAACATCATGTTCTCTAGATAATGTGTGAATTATGATTCCTTATTCCAATTCCAATTTTAAAAATTGCATCATTATCAATATTTAACTGCTGTTTGGAAAGTTATTGCGGTCATACAGTTACTTGTGTCCATATAAATGCAAGGACAGTGCTCAGAAATGTGTACAGGCACCAGTCATGACCTATAATCTTCAAACCAACTTAAAGCCAGAAAACAGTCCCAGGCAAGTTCTAACATTGCATGCATTCTATTCTTTAAAGAGTCTCACCACAACATGAGAATAATGCAACTTTTGCATAACATAACATCACTTATTTTGCAGTATATTATTATCTTAAAGCAGTTTTGTGTCTTGTTCTGTGCCCCACAGAAACCCATGAGAAGAAAAGTTGATTTTTGCAGCTAATCTTTTTGTAGAAGCATGCAATTCACCACCTAAATCAAACTTACAATGAAAGTGAAAATCACTTTTAAGATGTTGGACAAGCCCTTTAAGGGAGAATTCCACCCAACTTTCAAAATTTCTGAATAATTCTGAATAATAAATCTTTGAGATGTAAACAGTCATTCAGAGTGGTTTGACGTGAAATGGTTCACTGTAGAGAAACATACAGGCTTCTGGGTTTTATATGTCATGTTGATGATGCTAAAATAGTGAAAAATCTGAAAAAATCCGTTTTCTTTTGGGACTATTTTGCCTCACAACACCCTGCATGTACCCCTCTGCCATGAACATATTAAAATAAATAGATTCAAATACATTTTAAGGCAAAAGTTTATTACAAAACTACCTTAAAAACAGTGAGAGAGCTTTTAGAGGTGGACGTCTGGTTCCTATCACCACCACTGTGAACAATTCTGACTCTGTACGTTTCTCTAGAACAGAGCAGTTCGCAACAAACCACTCTGAATGACTTTGGTTACATCTTAAGCATTTAATTATGTCGTTTTTTTTTTTTTGGTGGAGCTCCCCTTTAACTACGTTGGACTAGCCCTATAAAAGCTTTGTAAGTTGAATGACGCGAAAGCCTGAAGCTCATACGATCAAATGAAGGCAGTCTCTGGTCTCCTGTGACTAACTTCATGCAAATATATTCTATGAAATAATCAATAATGATCTATTTTACCCCAAAAACAGAGAAAAACGCAGTTTCTCTCGAAACTAACCTCGCTCTTCGGACCGCAGCTCGACCTGGTTTTACGGCCGCGATATAAAAACAATAATGAACATGGCCGAGTCTGCTGGACACGCCCACCTTTCGCGTCACACACCAGTAGCCAATCAGCGGGCGCCTAGCGGCCTAGCCACAGCATGGCTTTCACCAGGAGGGGAGAATAAAAGTGAGAATAATTATTGCAAATTAAAGCCTTTAAATGATCAGATGAAGACATTTTTGCTAGACAGGCGTCTAAAATCGATACATGAGCGTCTTATTTTACATTTTAACTTTTTTGTTTGTTTTTTTTAACATACTGCATTTATGCAAAATTGTATAATGTAGTCTGTGATACACAAAGTGTGCAAATATTAAATATATTAAATATATTAAATGAGGCTTTGGGAGGGGAAAACGTGTGTGTGTGTGTGTATTTAGTTTGTGGGGACTAAATGTCCTCAGGATGCTAGAGAAACATGTTGACGTTGTGGGGACCTTTGGCTGGTCCCCATAAAAAATGCATTTTACAACTTACTTACTTATTTATTTATTTATTTATTTATTTAAACTGCATCGTTCATTACATTCTTTTAAAAAAAGATGGTTCTTCAAAGGTTCTTTAGTAAAGGCAGTGGTTCTATTCGGAACCAAGAGTTCTCCATAGAACCACCTGCATGCTTAAACACTTCTTTATGGTGAAAACAGTTCTGCTATTGTTACAAGCTCAACACCGCACACTCTCAAAAAAAAAAAAACAGGGTTCTTCAAGGGTTCTTTAGTAAAGGGAATGGTTCCATTCAGAACCATGCGTTCTGTATAGAACCATTTGCGTCCTTTGCATGGTGAACTGGTTCTTCAGATTGATGGAGAACGTGTTGTACATGGTTTTATGTAGAGCCTTTATTGAAAATGGTTCTATATAGCACCAAAAAAGGGGGTTCTGCTTTTGATTTGGTGCTATAACCACTCAAGCTTGCAACTGGTTCTAGATAGAAGTCATGGTTCTAAACAGAACCATTCCCTTTAAGAACCATCTTCTTTGGCTTTCTGAGATCAGTGGTGAAGGC